TTTGTTTTCGTTGTAACGTTAAACATTAATATTTTTTACATGTTATTGCACATGAAGGCACTATATAATTTAAAAATAGAAAATAAATTAAAAAATTGGTAGAGCAACAGCACGGAACGCTGACGATGCCGGTTCAAGTCCTGCCTGAGTCGAACATTTTTTTAATTTATTTTCGATCTTTAAATGCCTTGGGTATTTTATCTAACATCGAGAGAACTCCGTGTTAGTCATCCTCCTCTGTCAAGAAATAAGGCATGACATTTTTTATAATATTGAATTTTCCAACACCCTAAAATACCTCCGTCTACCACTGTGGTTCAAGCGCATTGTGTAAAGCAAGGGTTCCCTGCAAAATATTATGTTTACTGTCCAGTAGGTATAATTTCCATGATCTATAATGATGCAATGATTAATGAAAAATAATCTATAATATATAACATACGTTTATCAATATCTCTTTACAATGTAACTTACTACATGCTTGCTAATAATTATTGTCTAACCGAGCTAAGATAAATTAAAAGATAAACGCCGACGACAAACAACTGTTGTTTATCAAATAAACATTTAACGGTTCAAAGCATGAATTATATGACTTAATGTTCAAACTGTTTTGTTTAATCACGCGTAAAAACTACAGACCCTCAAATTTTCTGTCTGTAATCAAATACCGTCTGTAGTTTACGCGAGTACTGTACAATTAAATAAATCAGTGAAACGGGTCAAAATGCGATATATAAGTTAAAAAGCAGACATGTTTCCCCGTGACCATGGCTGCTGCAGAGCATCCGAAACATCGGGCTAACTAAGCTAATATATATTGCGTATGAAATATTAATATTAGTAACGTTAATGGCCTTCATCGGTTAATCAATGGGTAATTTGGTGGCTAAAATGGTGTTGCCTAGCATTGCGTTTGACACTGGATCTGAATTCCGGGGAAAAACTTTTTTTTCGGTCAGACAGAGCACAGAATTCTGATTATTTTGACGGCTCGGTGTAATGGTAGCGCTAATGCTAGGTTAATAGTCAACGGGTCGTGGATTCGATTCCCACAGGATCTGAAAAAAAATTTTGAAACATGTTTGGACTTCGAAAACATGAAATTCCGTGCGGGTCACGAACCACCGTCCACGGTTGAAAAAGCCGTCAAGTTTATTGGCGTTTCGGTTTCCGTCTGTGGATTTCCGAATATCCAAAGCTAAATAGGTCGACAACGCATTTTGTTTGGATGTTATATGGCTGGGATGTTTCACCTACCACAGGGCATTCAAACATCAATACATAGTTTCAATTACTAACTCATTATACAATAATAATAACTTTATGGTTAAATACAATTATATAACATTGGAAAAAAATAATAAAATGGTGACTTCGATAACGACACTATATTTAAATTTTAAATCCATTTATAAATATTTGTAACATGCTATGATGCCTATTACAATAAAACATAACGATTTATTGTGTGAAATGCTATGTAAAGTGCACCACATTACAAGGATATTAACATCGATTTATGGGTGTAACCTTGTGTTAGTATAGTATGCATTATTAATTTTTTTGCACCACAGATTATAGTATAATGAGTCGTTTATATCACAGTCAATTAGAATAAATAAAACAAATCGTAATATCGTTAAAAGCTTGCAGACGTTAAAAAAAGACTCGCTGATAAACTCGCAGGTGGTAACAGCAACTATGTTAAGTATCTTTAAAATTAAAAATTATTATATTAAATTATATGTAAAAATAAAAATCTGAAATCGATTTTTTATAAAATGAATAAAAACTTGATCCAAGCATATAATTACAATACATAAAGAACCTTTTTTATAACACTTACTAGCTTAGTTATTTTGGGCATCCAAAATTGTTTTTGCAAACTGTTACCTACGTCATCGGACGCGTCCCGTCGCTCGCGACCCGTCGTTCTTGCGACGTCTTAAGAGATAGACATATGTATATTGTCGCGGACATATTTTTTTTTATATTTGAAAGTAGAAGCATTCTCTCATACATATTTACTGTGTATCTTTAACCATTTTCGCAGTGTACGCAACGAAAACCAACTAAGATGAATATTTTATCCCGTTTTTTCCGTATGTCTTCGCTCCTACTAGTCACAGCGCAATGTTGTATAGCCTAGCTAAAAATTAATTCAATTCGAACTGGTAAGTAATTCCTGAGAACAAACAAACAAACTCATCAGCTTTATAAATTAGTATAGATTAAAGAATGTGCTTCTATATATTATAATGAATTAAAGAAGTCCTACACGCCGCTTAATTAATAAAATTTGCACCGTATATGTACTTTTTTAAACAATTTGTACCTGATGATTTTATATCATCCGGAACACGATGAATTTGTAAAAATATATTATATAGAAACAAAATACCTTCTGGTATAAGATAAAATATCTCTTGGAACATAAATTATCACTAAAGGAGAAGTACAATACGGATTTACAGCTAATAAGAAGATAAGATTTAGGCTAATACAATTAATCATCGTGATCAAACGATACCATTGGTATTGGAATATATATTCATATATATATTATAGGATTTTTGATATTAGATTGTCAGTGTGTCAGTTCCAGTTCGTAGTCCTTAAGTTTCAAGCCAATCGTCAATGTCTTTTAGTAAATTTCATCGACATATTGGCTCTTAGAATTATTGCTCCAGTGCCTGAGGAGAGCAACAAACCAACAAATGTGGGAGCTAGCGACAATAAAATAAACACTGCTTTGATTCTCAATTTTATGTAACTGATTTTTCTTTAAACTATGCTTCTATGATAACCTCGTTGTTATACAGAGGGAACCTTCGATTAAGACATAAAATTTAGTAAGCAAATATTTTTCTTATGATTTTTATGGAATATAAAATATTTTGATGTAAATGGACAATTATTGAATAATCCATTCAAAACCAATTTTCACTCAATTGATTCTGGTATAATTATTGCACCACTTACAGTATTAATTTGGATATTTAATTATCTTCCTTGATTTCGCTTGGCTAATTCTCAGGTATATCAAGATACATAGGACGAGCTGAACAGCAACAGATGAACCGAAAAATACAGGAACCACAATACAATTTATATTTTTCGTTCTTTTAAAAAGTGTTACATAAAAAATACAATATTAGATTATATACACTTTTTCATTGAATGTTTTATTACACACTAAGGAAATAGGGAATATCTGTTTTTCAGATTCGAATATTGAAATATTGAAATTTTCACTTTTTCACTTCACATTTTATGATTTCTCATTGTAATAAAACGTCAGGTATATAGGCCTTATAAAACTACTTAATTTTATTGTTACATTTTAGTTACGAAAAACCTGATTTAGATCTTCATTCTTAACCTTTTAAAACTAATTTTAACTGTCTGAAAAATAAATGCTTTGTCACATATAAAAATTCTGTTATCTATAGACGTGACCAAAGGCGAGTACGATCCCCCCCCCCCCCCCCCCCCCCCCCCCCCCCCCCCCCCCCCCCCCCCCCCCCCCCCCCCCCCCCCCCCCCCCCCCCCCCCCCCCCCCTTAAAACTGTTATCATTAATTGCTTAATCCTTATTTGATCTCTAGTAATTTATGGGTAAATGGTTAGGATACCTTTTAAAGAAGAAAATGGTGCATGTTAAAATTGTAATTTCACAGTACCCTCATTCGAAAAAGCTCGACATGAAGAAAACCTAAAGATAAGTTTACCTCATTATGTCACATATATCATATTATATTACTTATTAAAACTCTTCTAATTTACATGATTTTCCAAGTTAAATGATTTTCTGTTATTTAAAATGTCACTGAGTGGATAATATGCGGATTATAGGTGCGATTTTAGTAAAATACCTACCGCTTTATCAAATACTGATTGCAGGCTTATACAGGTGGTATCAGAAGACAAGCTGAGAATTACCCCCAAAAATATCCTTAAATTTAACAATGGTTAACCGAGTGTAAATTAAGTAATTTTATAAACTACTAGCTGTGCCCGCGTGGAATAGTGACTTCTTTGTTTATTAATTTATGTAAGGGCACATTTAAGGCAGTCAATCTATGTTGTAAGTGCAATTAGGCGCAATACTCTCACCTCACAACACGCCTGCTCTAACTCCCATACTCATTCCTACACTTACTCCCACTCCCACTCCTACTCCTATTCCCAAAAAGCCAAAAAATAAAGTTTTATAGTTTTACCTTTAAAAAAACTACGAATTTCCATACAATTTTTCACTCCCTCCTTTTAACCCCCTCCCCCCCTCTTTTAACCCCCTTTTCGCAATAAAATGTAGCCTATGTCCATTCTCAGGCTCTACCATCTGTATACCAAACTTCATTCAAATCCGTTAAGTAGTTTTGACGTGAAAGAGTAACAGACAGACAGACAGAGTCACTTCCGCATTTATAATATTAGTAAGGATGTATTTCTTATTATGTGCTTCAGATTACCCATAATTAACAGATAGAACAGATGTTGATCACACATAATTAAATAAAAAAAAGGAAAATCGATACAGTGACTACATCACTAATCCAATTTTATAAATGTGGATTTTGAAAATGAATGAAAATGATTTTGAAAATCTGGATATTATATGGAGGCTTCGAAAAACAAAACTCCGCCCGCCCCAGCACCGTCCACACATGAAAAAGTCATACAGGATTTCCTAACAGCTAAGTATTCATTGTCTATCTCTCTATTATTGAAAAAGTCGAAATTGACGGCTCTAAAACTACCTCCATATTAAATTAAACATAATTGTATGAATATAAAAAATACAGCATGTTTGTGGCACATGCCTCACCTCGTATTTTAAAGTGATATGTGCTATACGTGAGAGATTTAATGATAAGTTATCGAATTTGCTAATTACATGATAAATAAGGTTTTATAAATGGATTTGCTATATCCATACTCTTTATTTGGGTTCAGTGAGTTCGAACCCATGCCGGCTAGAAACCAAATCTGAAAATGTTACTTCTTATGTTAAGTGTGTGTTTGGGGTTGACTAGTGCGGTTCTACAAGATGGCCAGTGCGAAAACGGTTGGAGCTTACAGACAGATTTCGATATAGAAAAGGTAATTAAAGGCACTGTGATTTTCACTAAATAAATGTTATCGTAGAGATAAATAATCCAAGTATCTGAGATTAGTTTCATTTTCGTAGAATAACTTAATCGATTAATAGATATGTCTGCAGATTTATTTGAGGTCACAGGGGTGTACCAGCGTAAACTGAATGGCAGAGCTAAGAATCTCTTTGTATATTTATAAAATGTACCATCGTTATGTAATATGAAGTTATATTCTGATTGATTATACAACATTTCGTCGTAAAAGAGTAACAAACATATATTTAAATAAAACAGTTTTAACGGGTTAAAACGCGAAATGCATTAGTTAAACTCGTTTATAAATTATTTTAAGTACGACCCGACGTTTCGCATGCATTGCACCAAGCCGTTGTCACTGGGAGGGTAAACGTCTAGCCGTAGTTAAAATAGTTTGTATATAAGTTTAACCAATACATTTCGCATTTAAAGCTGTTAAAAATGTTTTATTTAATTGCTACTCTTCGTGTAAACTACCCACACTATTTAAACATATATTTATTAAAGCTAAGTTTTGTTATCCTTATATTAGTATGATATATTGAAGCGATTAGGTCAAACTCGAACTTATATACAATTGGCTAACAACAAACAGCCACTTGACCTCTGAAACCAGACTAACACTGTTTGCAATAGTAAAATTAAAATATTACTAATAAAATTGACTAAACATCTAAATTAAAGTTTATTATTTTAACTGATATAATGTTGCAACTGTAATGCAAGATTAAAAGATCCTGTTATACTTACTTAAATTAAATTTAAAAAAACAGTTATCTAGAACTTTTCCTTTATAATAAAGTAAAGTTTACTGATAAAAACTTGAATTGAAATGTAGTGTGGGTAAATTTAGAAAGAGTACAATAAATAAAGAAAGTAACTCAAACATGGTAGATTAAACGGCACGCTTGGGGTCGAGTACCGCCGTGACATTATTTTTAATCTAAAATAAATTTAAGACTTACATTAGCCAGTTAAGGGCTTTACAGTAGACTGAAACAATAAATACTTAAAGTATTAATAATTCTTTCGTATGTACATGCCCGTCTAAAAATTAAAATACTACACGGATCTTTCGCGGTTTTAAACCTGTTATATACATATAGTTTTATTGAAATCGCATAACACAAAAGCAACTAACAATTATAAATATTAAAAACACCGTTTTATGTGCAACATATATTTTTATTTTTAGTTAGAACTGTTTTTATCAAATAAATTGCAACAGAAATCCAGTCGAGGGCGTGAGTGTGAGTGTAATAAAAATATAATAATTGCTATATCACTATTTAAAATCACTATATCTAAAAAGATTCCTAAAATAATTATATCTTGTAAAAAGTGACAACAACAGGAAAAATGAAAAATTTAATCGACTCACAGTAAAAAATCCAATGCGACTAATGTAATGTTAATTTGATAAGCCTATCATATTTTATTATTTGAGAATGTCGTTATGTTGTATGAGTATCGACTCTAGGAAATATTTTTTTTAATTGGAAACTGTATGCAATGGGATTTCACACTATATAAAATTCATGAGACGGGCTCATTGCTGTTAAGGTAGTAATGCACGTCTAATAACCATGTCCAACATTTTTTTAATGAATTCATAATTTAATACTGTCTATAGTTAACGCGAGTAGTACACATTCAAATAAAACACTTTAACGCTTTAAAAAGCGATATATTAGTTAAACTTATTTGAAAATGATTTTAAAATAAGTTTAACTAAAAGAGGATCCAGAGTTTTTAATATGGGATCCCAGGTGTTTGATAATTTGAGGCCGCCCTCCCTGTTAAAAACAAAAAACACCGGATTCCGACGGCCTCAAATTATCAAACACCTGGGATCCCTTATTATAAACTCTGGATCCCAATAAACAGCATACCGGCAAACGCGAAGACACCGTTAGTCAATTATGTAATGACCCGGCTAGTTTCGCCAAATATCAACTTCGACGGAACAGATGGCGCTAGTGTAGCAATTTTCTACTTTGACGTCGGAGACATCCTCCATCTTTAGTCTCCCCGTGACCACGGCTGCTTCAAAGCATCCGAAACGTCGGGCCGAAGTTAAAAATCATTTTTAAATAAATTTAACTAATATATCGCGTTTGGAACCGTTAAAGTATTTTTTTTAATTCATAATTTTTCTAAACGAACCACCCTCCACAGATAAAAAGCCGTTTAATAATGTTTAGGTTTCAGTCTATGGATTTCCGAATACCCAAAGCCAAAATAGGTCGACTATTTTGGCTTTGGGTACACAACATGAAAATGCGACATGTTTAGATGCTATAGCATCTATAGGCATGCTATATGCATGCTATATGCATGCAGGGGTATTTTACCTACCTTCAAGTAAAGCCCATGCTTATTAAGTAACAAATGAATATTACAGTTTACGGGAAAATGGTACAGCATTCGAAGTAACACCCCCTGGCTAAAAGGCGACTGTTCGTACATAGACATTGAACAAGCAGACAACCAATATAAACTGCAACTGAGTTATGTTAAAGCTAACGCAGTAGTTGAAAAATCTGGTGCTGCAGTGTCTTCGGAGTCAGCTAGATTCAACTTAATCATCGATGGAGGCAGTAAGTGTTTAATCGATCATTAAATGTAGGTTTTTAATCCTCCTCAAATATTTTACATCGGATAGTTTAATCGTGTTGATTAATTAATCGATAATGTGAATTTCGATATTCTTTGTATTAGATGATAAAATTACGTTTCTCGCAGTTGATATTTGTTTTTATTAACAGCGTCGTATTTTGTAAGCAGTTTTAAACTTAATCTTTTAAACTCAATAACTTTAGTTTTTCTAATTTCTTGTCAAGTATATTATAGATAAAATTCCTTTTATACTCATCATATCAGTGTCTTTCGGACTGTTCGGCCGACATGAGCGAGAAGAGGTTCTCGACGTTTCGCCATCACGTGCGGACGGCATCATCAGGATATGTTAAGTCATCGATTGCTCGAAGAATCAACACGTCAAAAGTTGCACGTCGGCCGAATAGTCCGAAAGACAATGATATGCTGAAAGATTTCCGTGAAAGCCTTACACAATATATTCATTTTGTACTGTTTTATAATTTATACAAATTTTGGAACAAATTACGGAATTTTGCATCACTGTCAAAAAGCTTAAAATTAGGCCCTACTGTAAAAAGTTAATAAATAGTTTTGTTTAGAACTACCACGATAGTCTGAAAATTAACTAAAATAAAGTAACAAAAATAAACTAAAACAGACTAACTTTCATCTTATTTTTTTAGGTATCGACTTCAATGTATTAACAACGGATTACAATAACTACGCCCTTGTATACAGTTGTGAAAATGTTGGTACATCACAAAGGAACGGTTTGTACCTACACACTATTCAAATAAACCAGTAATAATAGTTTAAAACACAAAATGTTGCTTATGCTCTGCAGCGGCTTTCATTATGTACTTTTTAAGAAAAAGAAAAATAATATTTTCACTTAAAACTAGATAAGAGGTAGGTTTATAGCAATGTTTTTCTTAAATAATTTAATCCCAGTATTCAAAACAACAATGTCACTAAATGCCTTTGAAAAAAATACTGACATGATTTGAAAGCGAAATATATTAATTTAGTATCCGAAAAGTCGGGACATAGTAAAAATAAATTTTAAATATATTCACTAATATATTTTGCGTTTTAAACCGTTGAGAACGTTTTGTTTAAATGTACTACTCGAATACTGTCTATAGTATACGCGAGTAGTACACTTTACCGTATTTAGCTGTGACCACGTCTGCTGCAAAGCATCCGAAACGTCGGGTCGAAGTTAAAAATAATGTTCAAATAAGTTTTACTAATATATCGTGATTTAAACCATTAAAGTGTTTATTTAAATGTTCTACTCGAATTACAGACAATACGTAATTAGTACCTTCAGCATTGCTGTAGATAGATTTAGATATGGTCTATTTAAATTAAGCCTTTTTTAAGCTTTATGTGTAAAAATAGTAAACATACAATGTTAGTATTGAATTAACAATAATATGTACATGTCATAACAAGTAAAACGATACGTCTATAAGAACGAGACTAGGGACATGACCGCAACCACAGCGCTATAAATAAAAGAAAATTCCTCGCTTTCACCTATTACTTTACACAAGTGTGTTCTTTATTATTAAAGTTATTCTTATCTACTATACGCTAGCACATTTTGTGTACGGCTCCGTTAAGTCAAGCGCAAGAGTTCCAAGATTCAAATCCTAGGGGAACTTTTTCGGTGAGACATGGGTGTGATCGACGACTTGCTTGTACATAAAAACAAACAGTAAAAAACATTTTCATCATTTAACATACTAAAAACATTTAAATTTTTGTTTAATGGCACATACGAGGACGATGCTAATGGTAACAATGTATGGAACCACTTGAACTTGAAAACATAAATTTCGTTTCAGTGTCAGTCTGTGAATCTCCGAATATCCAAAACCAAAGTAAGACCAGAGCGCATCATGTTTGATGATGGCTGAGCTATTTTATGCCATGATTGTCTGTCCTTAAAAAAACTGCTCACGATGCCGCAAACTGCTTTAATTTTACTGCATATTTATTACTGTATATATATATATATATATATATATAGTTTTATATATATATATATATATATATATATATATATATATATATATATGTTGAGTCCCTATTACATTATAAGAAGATATACGTATTAGGGCAACCATACAGAGTATCTGTCATTTATAAAATTTGATTTCAGTATACGTCTGGCAACTAGCTAGAGATGTATCTAATTCTGATGGTGAAACCAGACAACGTATGGACGAAGTCATCTCCAACTTTGGACTGAGTGCAAATGTGTTGACTGAGACGTCTCACTCCGACGCTGCATGCTACGTTGAACCGTTTACAGGACAACCTATTGTATTACCTGGGCAGTGCGATAGTAACATTGCGGTTGTAGCGAATTTTAATTTTACCAGAGTACGTAATACATTTTTTGGACCCGATTACGCTGCTTACAAAAAATTCTACACAAATCTAACTATATTACACGTTAATACAGCTACTACAGGCGACCAAGCTATGACCTTTAATAAATAAAATACAATATAAAAAATGGAAAACACTAACAATATTTGTAAAAGACGCAGAAAAATCAAAATGCTATCATTAAAGATACCTATTCTATTACATTAATGAAGTTTTTGGTAATCGTAATAAGAAAAAAAGTGAAATTTTATTTAACTCCCGGCTTCGAACTTAGAGCTGTTTACGCTAAACATAATACTTCCTACGTTGTGAATCTTATATTTAGAAAACCCACGTAAATTTGAAACACTCACCTAAATCTTTGACATCTACATAAATATCGTTTTAAATCTTTTGCAGTTTGAAGGGGAATGGCGTCTCATAGAAACATATTACAATCGACGTCAAACTGGAGCCTGCAACCGGGTTACGTACACAGATAGAGGGTCTACCCTGGGTGTTGTGCATACCCATATCCTTAATAAGGAAAAAGATTTCACCACTGCCACCGCTACCTTCTCATCTAATAACACTGACGGCAAGCTGACTGTAACTGGCGTCAGTAAGTGTACAATATAGTTTCAGATGTAATTATACATTTGTTTGATCCTTTTGTGTTTTAAAACACCGTTCCAATGACTATTTTAGATGCAGCTGCTCCATTCTGGATATTGGATACTGATTACATTTCATACGCCTTAGCATACAGCTGTGAAAATCAAGCTAACAACCAAAAACGAAGTACGTTAAATAAGAGAAAGTAGATTAGATGAAAACACTTGAGCACGAAACTAACGCAACAAATGTTTATATTTTAGTTTCCAGTTGGAAGTTAAGTCGGACTAATATATTACCAGCGCAAGCCGTTCAAAACATCAATCGCATAGTCAATACAGTTAGTGACTTAGATAACAATAATTTTATCGCAGTTGATCAATCTGATGAAGCTTGCTTCTACTACCCATTTTTATTAGAAAACGATCCAGTTATATTGCCAGGACAATGTGATACGAATGTATCAGTTGTAGCAGATTTCAATTTGAATAGGGTAAGTGCAGAGAAAGACTATTTAATAATAATTACGCGTTCATCAATAATCAAAATAATGAACAACTGAAAATTCTAACCTTCTCCTTTCACTAAACCGCCGGTAAACTAAGCCTTTACTTGATGATTGGGCAAATGTTTGTTAAAAACATCTGGAAAAGAGCAAAGATCTTTTATTTCTATCACAGGTCTTAGGTACTTAAAGTACCTCATATAACATTAAATTAAACCATATTAATGCTATAGTTCAGCGGAGAATGGCGCCTTATTTCATCATACTTCAACGAACGTCAAAGTGGGACTTGCAATAGAGCACATTACACTGTTCAAGGAACTTCTCTGGGAATCGAAAATAGACATGTCATAAATGAAAGATTATATAGGGTCCCTGGAACTGCTACTTTTGCTACGGCTGTCCAAGACGGAAGACTCCGTGTTACTATGGGAACAAGTAAGTCGAATCAAGATGATGAAATGGTTTCGTGACTTCCTAGCTTTTTGTTCTTCGATGTTTTGTATATCTAATGTCAAATTAAAATTTTAGACTCTGTAGATTATTGGATCCTTGATACCGATTATGACTCTTACGCTTTGGCCTACAGCTGTCGGAATCTTGAAAACAATCAAAGGAGAAGTACGTATAATTCGGTACAGTAAAGTATTTTAAATAGACCATGAGTGTAATTCTCGCTATTTAGTTTTCAGTTGGAAACTCAGCAGAACAAATACATTGCCAAATCAAGCTAACACTAATATTAATGCAATAATAAACAGGGTTGATGCATTAAACGAGAATTATTACCAAAATGCCGATCAATCGGATTCAGCTTGCTTTTATTTACCTGAATTTCAACCTAATCAACCAGTTATTTTCCCGGGACAATGTTCTCAAAATATTTTTGCTGTAGCTAACTTTGATTTGCATAGAGTAAGTATTTTTTTTATAATTTTATTGACTTATATAGTTCACGTTATATCGAAGGTGTACCTTAATAATACATTATATTACATTGTAGGCTTTGGTGAATATTTTATGTAGACTATGTTTGTTAGTCTACATAAAAGATTCACCAGTAACATTTCAAGACTGATCTGACTTTACACTGATCGACGTTAAAGCAATTTAAAATAATTCCTAAAACTAGCCACCACTCTTCATTAGGCCACTTTTTAATTTCAAGCATTAACAGTCACAACCTTCTATAACTTCACAAATTGTATAAAATTTACAGTTCAGCGGAGAGTGGCGTCTAATATCATCCTACCATAATGAACGCCAAGTCGGAACATGCAATCGAGCTGAGTACACAATTGACGGAGACTCTTACATTATTAAGAACAGTCATGTTTTAACCGGAGGACTAGATAGTGTTCGAGGAACAGCTAGATTTGCGTCAGACAATATAAGGGACGGAAAATTTCTGGTCACGGTCGGGCAAAGTAAATATCAAATTAAATAATATTCCTATCTGAGGCAGACACATTTACGAGTATGCTGATTCTAGCAAATTGTATTTTTCTTTTTTTCTGCTACGACTTTTTTAATAATGATTTTTATATTACAGACACACGTGACTATTGGATCCTCAATACCGATTATGATTCCTATGCTTTGGCTTACAGCTGTGAAAATTTAGCGAACAATCAAAAGAGAAGTATGTTTTCGGTTACCTTTATAATGTGCACAGAAGTTAGATAGAAATCTAACTCAGATCTTTTTCATTTTATTTTACGTTTTATAAATAGTTTTCAGTTGGAAGCTTAGTCGCACAAACACACTCTCACAGCAAGCGGTTGAAGCGATAAATAGAGTATTTTTAAGGGTTCCCGAGCTAGACGATAAGTACTTTGTCAATGCTGATCAATCGGAGGCTGCTTGCTTCTATTTACCTGCTGTAGATGCAACAAAACCCGTAGTGTTCCGTGGACAGTGTAACGAAAACATTGCCGTTGTTAGAAATTTTGAAGCCACTCGGGTAAGCAATTAAAAATAACCATGTATAATTTGTTTATAGAAGGCAACAAGACCTTCCTAAAATATTAATAGACTGTTTATTTTATAATATTAATTAGAAGAAATTAGTTTTATTAAAGTACATATTGTTTACAGTACATGGGGCAGTGGTATGACATTGAATCTTACCCTTCTAATTTCCAAGGAGGCACCTGTAACTCTGCTTTTTACTCACGTCGTGATAACTTTTTGGATGTCACCAACACTCAAGTTGTCAACCAGAGAATATCAGTAAGGCAGGGTGTTGGAAGATTCGCAGAGTCAGAACAGATAGCTAAACTCAGCCTAAACTTTGCATCTTCTTCATCTCGGGATTATTGGGTATTAGCTACTGATTATACTTCATATTCTCTGGTTTACAGTTGTGTCAATATTGATAGCCAACACAAACAAGGTAATAGTTAACTAATTATGTAATTCATTGCGACTTAATAATATTTAAATAAATTAGTACCTACTTACTGATTGTAATTTTACAATTACAGTGGGAGCTTGGAAACTAAGTAGAACAAAACAATTAACTGCAACTGCTGTAACAGCTATTAACAGTGCTATGGCAAATATAAATGTTCTCGAAGCCCGCTACTTTGTACAAAGAGATCACTCTACTACTGGATGTTCTTACAACACCAATATTCAAGCTGGCGACCAAGTTGTACTTCCCGGAACCTGTCCTACCAATATTACGCCAATGGCTGGTTTTGATTTTGGAGGAGTAAGAATAATTTTGTTATTTTCATCAAGAATATGTTAGTTAAATACTACTTTAAAAGCAACCCGTACTGAATTTCTTTTTATTTTTCAGTTCATAGGCACATGGTTTGAAGTTCAAACATATCCTATTGACTTCTGGTCGGGACAATGCTCCCAGCAACAATTTTTCACCGCTGCTGCTGATAGGCTTACCTTTGTCTCAAGGAGTGTTAAAAATCAAGAATTTATTGAAATAAGGGGAACTGCCAGCAGAGTTACCGCCGATGGATCTGGAAGATTAACAATTACTCTAGAGAACGCAGGGGGAAGTAAGTGACAGTTTTGAGCGTCATAAAAAGTTTTTCTTATATAATATAAAAGAAGATATTTTTGTTTCAAAGGGGTATTATAATTCTTAATATTATAAACTATAAAATGTTTCAAGTTAAAGTAAATATTTACAAATCAGATGAAGGTATCGTTTTTTATGATAGAAGAGGACAGATAAGCATAGGGTTCACTCGATGGAAAATGAAGCCATATCAGGGCAAAAAACCCTTTCTTTTATCCAGCCATATTTACGAATATCCAAAGGAAATTTTCCTTTGGATATTCGGAAATCCACTGACTGAAACCGAAACGCGATCGAAATTCATGTTTTTTTTCATCAGTGGTTCATCATTCGTCAACCGGACAGAATTTCGATATTCCTACCACCCATTTATCCAGATTTTTAGATAAAATCCAGCATGTTTCAGAAAAATTATAAATTGATTAGAGACATATTGAACCCGATAGGTATTAAGCCCACGACCCGATAATTATTTTTACGTTGCTACCAATAGATCCCCTTGACAGGTCCTTTCTGACTATTGCTATTTTTAGCTTTTGCAGTTCCCTTCACCGTTTTAAGGACGGATTACCGAGAGTATGCACTAGCATATGGCTGTGTTACCTTGAACAGTAATCTGAAACGAAGTAAGTCTGAAACTATTATAACTCTTATTACAGTTGTTTGTTATTAACATATTTGAAGTATTTAGTGTCACGTAATACAACACTACAATATGAATGAAAGTCATCTTGGTCTTTTGAGAAAGTTGTGACAAGATATGAATGCACTTTTACCTCCATAGTTACACAGTATGCACAAAAGTTCTTATTATTTAGAATTATATATAGAGAAATAATAAAATATTTGGGTCAAGCAGGTCATAGGAGTGTTCTTCTTGACTCTAAATAAAAGTGTTGCCCATGGACGACGATTGGAAACTAGATCTCCCTTAAAACAAATATCTCTTATTTCAGTTTACAGCTGGAAACTTGGCAGAAACAGGTCGTTAAGCGCTGAAGCTAATGCCGAGATAAATAGAATTATCACTGCTACACCAGATTTGGAGGATCGCTACTACGCTAATGTGGACCACTCTTCTTCTGGATGTTTCTATCTCCCTGATATACCGTTGGGACAAGCCGTTATATTACCCGGTCAATGTAACCAAAATGTTCCAGTTGTAACAGACTTCAACATAGACAACGTTAGTAACTTTAACATAAAAATTAGATTAATTACGAATTCGTAAAAAGTCAATGGTGTTTTGTTATTAAACTTAAACATTGCAATAATTACTAAAATCATTGACAAATTTTACACTTTTATTTAGAGTTCTTGGAATTTAGATAAACTATTGTACGGTTATCTTATTTTACACTGTCGTTCTACAATGTTGACAAAGATTTGGAAAAGCCTATCCCTAACTTTTTTTATTTAGTTCTTAGGTACTTGGCGCCTCATATCTTCGTATTACACTCACCGTCAATCCGGTGAATGTAATCAAGCAGAGTACTTTAGAGATGGAACCACTATCAGGGTTAGGAACAGCCATGTTCTAAATGGAGACAGATTAACGACTTCCGGTACAGTTTCAACCATTGATAGAAGTGGAAAGCTAACTGTTACAATATCGAGTAAGTGAAAATATACTTTGATTTGGAACTGCCTTAGACATTTAGAAACGTAGGGAATTTAATATTTTCGACTAATAAGGTTTAATTAGAGGTTTTTTTAATTTTTCAATTTTTTATAAACACTACAATACACTTTAAAGTGTAATAACAATTACAAAAACGTATCTAAAATATGGTATCTATATATTGTTATAATAATTGACCACGGACAACCATAAACGACACGGTATCTCGATTGCTAGAGCAGCAACCCGCTAGTATTGCCAATGTTGTATTTTTTTCAATCTAAATAGATTTTATTTTAAATAATTGGGGAACTCCAATCCTCTACTAACGTTGACTAAAGTCAATTTTTAAGGGCTGACTTTTTAAAAGGTAAATTATTCAGTTGCCAGTGAGCACCGCTACTAAAAATCTGAAACATCTACTTACCTTAGAAATACAGTGTATTAAAATGAATTAAAAACTGGAGGATAATAATTGCTATCATTGTTTATTTATTGCAATCTGTTGATTGATTTATTATAATAGAATAAATTTAATTAAATACTAATAATATACTGAATTCCTTAGTTGTTTTAATAGCTATGTTGTATTTTAGCTCGCACCGTCGATTATTGGATTCTGTCGACAGATTATGAAAGTTATGCACTGGCTTACAGTTGCAGTAACCTAAATGAAAATCAAAGGAGAGGTAAGATTTTCTCACTGTTTACGAACGTTCTAAACTAAAGTAATAATTCTAAAGCTCGTTTGATTTCGATTTGCCTACGTTTACGAGTACAATTCTATTAGACAATGGGCCTTACATATAGACATATCTAAAACATAGAAATTACGCAATCAATGTTAGGAACATAGTAATTTTCATAGGTGAAAAGATATATTGTCATATAGATCAAACCGAATATCCAACTTCAAAATAGGTCCACAGTGCTTAAATTAATGTTCTGAAAGCGTTTAATCTCCAGGAAAGAAAATATTTACTGCTCTTGCACCAATTTCTCGAAATTTCTATATAAATCTATTTAATTGTTCTAACATTTCAGTTTTCAGTTGGAAGCTTAGTCGGAGCACAACACTAACTCCGAACGCACAGTCTGCTATAAATAATGTTATAAACCAAGTCGATGCCCTAAACGATCGGTACTATCAGGATGCTGATCAGTCAGAGAGCGCTTGCTTTTATTATCCTCCTGTGAATGCAAATCAGCCCGTAGTATTCCAAGGGCAGTGTGATCCAAATATTCCTGTTCAGAAGAATTTCTTAGCAAGCCAGGTAACATTATTAAAATAGTCGTTATCTTCTATTACCTATTCTAGCCTATATAGTTATATTACTTGGAGAAGAACATGGGCTACTTAACTAAAATTCCTGAAGAAGTGACATTAATTGCTTATTTTTTACTCCTATGACATTTCTGTGATCAAATTTCGATATAATTCACCATCATAAAATTATGCAAGATCATCAATGGCTTGCCTATTTAACATTGAATAAATCTCAATGCTTACTGAGAGAGGGAATAAAAAAACTGTTTTGGTCAGACACAAGTAACGAAAAACTTGTCTGTAAATAAAAATCATCCGTAGGCAGTTATGTAGGCGACATAATGGAGACGAGGTTTAACGGTTTAAAACGCGATATATTTTAGTTAAACTTATTTGAAAAATTATTTTTATATAATTGAAAAACCGAAAATAAATTGAAAAAAACTTCGACTCGGTTTTAAATTATATAGTGCCTTCATGTGCAATAACATGTAAAAAATAATAAAGTTTTCAAACGTTATAACTTCGTAATAACATGTAAAAAATAATAAAGTTCTCAAAATTATTTTTAACTTCGGCCCGACGTAAAACCGTTTTAAACCGTTAAAGTGTTTTATTTAAATGTGTACTATTCGCGTAAACTACAGACAGTATTTAATTACATATGATTGTCCCACAGTACCTCGGCACTTGGTATGACATAGAATCATATCCTTCGAACTTCCAATATGGCACCTGTAACACGGCTCGTTATTCCGCCCGTGGTAATGATGTTCTTATAACGAACAGTCAAATTGTCAACGCCAGCGTCTCAACAAGAGAGGCAGTTGGAATATTCTCTGAGGGAAATACAGTGGGAAAATTGCGAGTTAACTTTGGAACTGAAGACAGAGAATACTGGGTGCTCAGCACGGATTATCGCTCGTATGCTCTAGTATACAGCTGTAAGAATATAGACGCTAACACTAAGCAAGGTAATTTTATTGATTTAAATTTTTTGTATGTAATAAAAAGTACACATAACAACTTCACCATTTCATCTCGGTTTCGGATACGGATACTTTAACTATTTCAGATAAACCGTTTTGCACGTTGACGGGATCAAAGGTTACCAACACTTGTTCCAAGTAGAAAATCTAGTTTATATTGTATGAAGATTTTTTTTTTAAGTTCTGTGCTTGTTTATCAAAGGCTTAATTTTAGGTCAGCATGTAACTTAAGAAACGAGATTAAAAACACAAAAATAATCACATTAATATGCAGTCTCACATCAAAATTAAATTTTGCTTTATTTTAAATTAATTCTATGGAATGCTGAATGTCCAAAACGAATATGGTATTTCATTTGCCCTTAAGTAAACCCCATACAAGTCTCTTCTAATCTATCATAAAAATCTGTCATCCTTGCAGTGGGCACATGGAAGCTCAGTAGAACCAGGACATTGGAACAAAGTGCAAGAAATGCGATCGCTGTAGTAATGCAGAACATAAGAGTACTAGATGAGAGGTACTTTATCGCCAGAGACCACTCAGACAGTGGTTGCTTCTACCACCGAGAACAGCAGGACAACTCGATTATCTTCTCTGGACAATGTGATACATCTATCAATGCAGTACCGAACTTCAATATGAGCAGAGTAAGGATTTTAATTAAACCCTCATTAAGTATTATAAGTAACAGAGATAACAGAGGTCAAACCATAATTAAATAAGCCAAAATAAAATAAAATAAAAGATTTTAAACACAATACTTATGTTAACGTAAATGTAAAAAGAACTAGAGAAGAAAAATAAGACTAAATAAAACTTAATTTACATAGATGCATCGTTAGAATATCGTGTCGAATTTCAAATTTGTTTTAATTTCATTATAGTATCAAAGTATAAGATTTTAAGTGTTTCGCATTCGATTTTCAAAGTGTTCGTATTTTAGAAAGAGATAAAACTCGGACTTGTCCGTTTTGTTTCCGATTTTAAAAGTTTATTCTTATTCCGGGATAAAAATTACTATTATAACGAGTTTTAATTCTGACATACATATTATTATGTTATGTGTACATGTCTATAGACATAATTCGTAGCTAAGTGTTGTCTAGCAATGTGCGTGAGATTCCGGCGAACCGTGGTTAACAAAAAAATGGTTTTGGTCGGACAGATGAGTAAACGGACACAGAAATGTATGCAACCACCCACCCCCACTAGGTAGATGGGAATTCACTTTTATACAAGTTTATATTTAATGTTTCCAGTTCGTGGGAATTTGGAATGAAATAGAAATCTACCCGAGTGAGATGAGTTGGGGCGAATGTCTATCGCAGGAATACACTCCTGGCTCTGGATCATCATTGAACATGGTCCAAAGAAATGTTCGGTTGGAAACGCTATTCGAAAACCGAGCAGTTGTGTCTCAAATGGCTAACGATACTAGTGGAAAGCTGAGTCTTAGAATTCAAAATGCCTTTGATGGTACGTAAGCTTTGAAATCCACAAATAATCTAAATAAATATTCAGGCGAGACCTAACCTACTACAGAAGGTTGGATCGCAGGAGTTTATTTTTTTGAGGACACCGATAGACGGCCGGGCTATCAGTCCACATCATTTGCTGACCATGCCACCCTTTCCACGTCTGCGGTAGGGAAATGGGTGAAATCTTCAGGTTATCCAGCTGTCCCTGCATCCCCTCCAAACCTGGTTTAATTACAAAATCTTATTATCTATTCCATCTTTAATTCTTTGATCTCATCTATTGTTATGTTGTCACTTCTTATATCGTCTGTCGTAGTTTTGAGTTGATTGAGCAAGAGTGTATGTGTGTGACTTAGGAAATAACCATTTTGCTCGAAAGTACGAGTATAACATCTTTATAATGTGTATGCTATGTAATATCAGATATTATAAATTTAAATGAAGATATTATGTATATAAAATAGTTTAGAATTTCGTGATAATAATCAGCGCTGTGTGACCCTTTTAAAATAATACTTTGAATATTATCTGTGTTTTTGTTAAGTTTAGCATCACAATTTCTGTTTTTTAAATTGTTTTTGTTGTTTAGCTTACAATTTCTGTATGTAAGTGGGGGAAAAGTGGTAATAATTTTACTTTTTTATTTCAGTGACCCTACCATTCTGGGTCTTAAGCACTGATTACTCAACTTACGCATTCGCTTATGGTTGCATCAACCTCAGCGCAAACGAAAGACAAGGTAATTATATTATAATATTTTAGTTTTCAATGCTAAGAAAGTGCAGCTACAGGTGTTGTATTGGTATAGTTAGTATAAGTAACTTAATAAGCAAGGAACGCTATCAATAAGCGAAAGGGCCTGGGTTCATATCCAGGTAAAACAATGTTTTAGGCAGGATATAAGGCAGAACAAACAATTGCTTGTCAATATTGCAGTCAAATACATTGTCTTAATACCTGACTCATGCACCTAAAACCATCGGCTTTTAAATAAATGAAATAAATACTGTCTGTTAAAACTTTTATTTACGGTTCAAAACGCGTTCTATTTAGTTTCGAATAACTAACGTTGGAACAGATGGCGCGGTGCTAGAGTGTAGCCACCTTTTCTGTAGTCTCCCCATGACCACGGCTACTGCAAAGCATCCAAAAAGTCGGGCCGTAGTTAAAACATTTTTCAAATAAGTTTAACTAATATATATCGCGTTTTAAAGCGTCAACGTTAAAAAGAAATGAAATAAATTTGTTCCGTCGTTTTTCAGTTGAATATTTATGACACGCGTTTAATTATAGCTTTAACTTATTGCTACCTACATACGCATCTTAGTTATTGTCTCCTGTTGGTTACTATGAGCTGTATTAATAGACATGATCTTTGCAATTCGTTATTTTGTTTGTACAATAGACATTCCAAACCCTCATACGATACAAAGTTGGTTCATGGCCGAGCAAAAAACGAGCTTAGGGTTATTTTATTTGGAGAAATAAAATTAATTAGTTTGCCAAAGTACGTATGTATGTTTTCCTGTAAAACTACTAAACGTTTACAAAGCTATTAAAAAGATGTCATAAGAATAGAAACTAAGTATACCGCAGAGCGTTATTAGACTCGTTTTTTATGGGTAATATTTAAATAAAACACTTAAAACGGTTCAAAACGCGAAATGTATTAGTTAAACCTATTAACAAATTCTTTTTACTACGGCCCGTCGTTTCGGCGGCTTCGCAGGAACCGTTGTCACGGAGAAACTACGGATGGAGGGTATCGCTAATGTCAACGTACAAACTGCGATTCTAGCGCCATCTGCCAACGTAATTATTAACGAAACTAAACAAAACGCGCTTCAAACCGTTCAAAATAGTTTTATTTAAATGTGTACTACTCGCGTAAACTGTAGACAGTACTTATATGAGTTATAATTTTGTATGTCACTCACACACTTTTGTATTGTCACCTTTCAGTATTTAGCTGGAAGCTCAGCAGAGAACAGCAACTGTCGACAGCTGCTTCTAATGCTATTAAAGCTGTTAAGAGAGATATTGCTGTTTTGGACGACCGGTACTATAGAACTGTTGATCAGTCTCCTGAAGCTTGCTTCCACTTGCCAGATCTTGGCCCAGAGGATTCTGTCATATTACCGGGCCAGTGTGACGTCAATATCCCTGCCGTCAGAAATTTCAATGCTCAACAGGTAAATAATCTATACTAATATTACTCGTTATAATTTGTTTGTTTGAAACCGATAATCTCAGAAAAAAATATTTTGTGTGTGGTGAGAGCATTTATCGAGGAAGGCTATATAAAACTTTACGCTGCAACCACTAGGAGCGAAGACACAGTGGGTTTTCGTTTCGCTTGCTGTTTTCGCTGTTCAAGATACCCAAAAACTGTGTATGGAAGAATGATTCCTCTTTAAATGTCTACGAAAATGTCCGCGATAGTATGTCTATCTTTTAAGATTAACATGCAAGAATGACGGGACGCGGACGACGTCGTGGGCAACAGCTAAAATTTATGAATATAGAGAGATTTGCAAAAACTAACTGTGATGTCCAAAATAATTATTCTACACGGACGAAGTCGAAGGCACAGCTAGTAATCAATAAATTACATTTACCATGTTATGATTCCATGTATGAGAGTTTCGTGCTTGCCGGCCCTACTCGTTTATATAAAAGTTAAACTAAGAATGCATTTGAAATCAAAGAAATGTACTATTTTACAATCTACACTCGGTCGGGCACTTGAGTTAAAACACAAACAGACCTTGGACTCAAGATAAACTCAATTTCAGAAAGATTGCTTGTTTATATGTTAGATTATTGCAACGGTCACTACACAGTGTTTTTATAACTAAAAATATTTTGTATCACTCTCACACTTTACTCAAATTTTTATATAGTAATTCAAATAGCAAAACCATTTACAAGTAAATTTTTTTATAGGCGTCGTAGTTTTAATTGTGAAAAAATTCATATCGAAAGATCCAAAATAATTCCTAGATTCCTAGATTTTTTTTTAGTAATTGCATTTGATTTGATTGAGTTGTAACATTAGATTTAACTCTGCAAAATGTTTAATGCGGTATTATAAAATGTTTAATATAGCGAGTTTTCGATTTCTTTATGTAGGGCGTAAGGCTCGACCGGGAGTTATTCCAAGATTCTTAGGGCGATATATTTAGCCACTGACCTACGCTAGCTCTACGATGTGAGCATCGAGTACAAAAAACGCAAAAACTCTTAATTCATTTTATAAAGAGTTCATTGTATTGATTTAATGAAAGAATTCAGTGTCAATAGTTATTCATTTTCGTCCGTTATCTCCGTTGGCGTTGATAACTTTTTGACAAGAAATTTTTGTTATATGCCTACGGCTATACTCTTAACACTTGCAGTATTTATAGGTTCAACAGATAACATTACACGATAAATCAATATGCGCCGATATTCGGGATTTTGTATTATCTGTATTGTTATAAAACGTACTTGTTTTATTATATTTTAGTATATTGAGCGCGTATATTAGTGTGTATGGCATCGTTATTGACATATTTTTTTTAATAAAACGCTTAAACGGTTTAAACGCGGTATATATCAGTTAAACTTTGAAAATTATTTTAACTACGGCCCGACGTTTCGGATGCTTTACAGCAGCCGTGGTCGTCGGCAGCCAACGGCGCAAACGTGGGGTTTAACTAATATATATCGCGTTTTAAACCGTTTAAGTGTTTTATTTAAATGTGTACTACTCGCGTAAACTACAGACAGTATATACTTTTTTATTAATATTTACTAAAGCGCTACAGATATTTTACTTTATACACGTATCTTCCTTTTTAAAGGGAAAGCAGCGTTGTCGGAAGATTAACGACTTACGACTAACGACTTGTCATCTGCCAGCGAGCTTTTGGCCAGTAAATTACGATCGGATTTACCTGCATTAAGAATCAAAAGCACTATTCTCTTTTCAGTATTCCGGAACGTGGTACCAGATCGAGAAGTATCACCAGCGTTACGAGGGTGGGAACTGTACCGGCGCCAGGTATACCTTCAATAGAAACTCTGACACCGTCACAGTACTGAATTGGCATGTGGTCAACGGCGTCCTTGATACCATTACAGGAAATGCTACCGTTATATCCAGTGACGGGAGTGGTAGACTTAGAGTCAGTCTGCCAATACGACGTAAGTTTTTTTTAAATCGAACAGTATTTTAATTGTGACATGTCCTGTAGTTATTTAAATAAAACACTTTAACGGTTTAAAACGCGATATATTAGTTAAACTTATTTAAAAATGATTTTTAATTTTTACTTTTGACTTTTAATTTTTTTTGAAGGATTTTTATTTTTTTTTATTTTTGACGCGTTTTAAACCGTTAAAGTGTTTTATTTAAATGTGTACTACTCGCGTAAACTATAGACAGTATGTCCTGTAGTTACAAACAAGTATCCAAAACCAAAATTGGTCGACAGCAATGTCAACTAAGAGTCAACGGGTCGTGGGTTTGATCCCTCGCCGAGTCCACTGTGTTTCTAATTTTAAATTTTTTAAAATTTTTCTGTAACACCTTGGACTTCGTCTGGAAATAGAAATTTGGTCCGGGTCACGAACCACCGTCCACAGATGAAAAAACTGTGAAGCTTATTCGCGTTTCGCTTTCAGTCTGTGGATTTCCGAATACCCAATGCCAAAATAGGTCAGCGTATCTTAATTTAAAAATCGAAAATAAATTGAAAAAATTTTCGGCTCGCCCTGCCCGAGTCGAAAATTTTTTCGATTTATTTTCGATTTTTAAATTATATAGTGCCTTCATGTGCAATAACATGTGATAAATATTAATGTTTTCAGCGTATCTTGTTTAGATGGGTATATCACTATAGGCTGGGGTGTATCACCTACCATTAAGTGACCTCCATGTTTGTCTGTTCGCCTCTATCATTAAATTAAGATTGACGAAACGCGATAAATTATCATTCACAATATTTCATAATATTTTCTTATCAATTGCACACATTTGTCACCCCAACCTTGCGTTAATTAAATATCTACCGGACACTACGCTGTCCTGGCCTTATCTCGAAATAATAATTACTATTAAAGAGTATTTAACAAAATCTCTCACTCGATAAACTTTAGATTTTAAGTGCGTAATATAAACGCTTCTTGTGAAAGCTTAAGACATGAATTAATTCACTTGTCTGTACTGCGAATTTAAATAATTATTAAAAAATATCAGACCGAGTGAACGTCAAAAATGAATCTTAAATTTGGGTTATTATTTTATATGATTCATGTTTAACATTCATTGTTTATTGTATATTGATTTACAATATTATAAAGTGAAAGGTTTGAAGTTAAACTCTTTTTGTCTTAAGATGTCTTTTATGACAGTTAAAAACGAGTGTACTTAAATTTAATTTTACGTTCATATGCTAAAGTTAACGTCTGTATTATGTATATTCACCTTTTTTGTATTCAAATAAAACTTATCGATAAAATTGATCATTTTAGCTAACTAGTTGTAATTTTTAAATTCATTTTTATTTAAGTATTCAAAGCAAAAGCGTGAGTAATAAAAAAAAACACTTAGTGCTAGATTAGATTAGAATAAAAATGGGTCGATAGCGTATCCCCTTGAGATGTTATGTGTCTAGGTTATTTCACTTTTACGACATGCTTGTCCATCCACTTGATGATGTATCTTTATAAAACGCAGAAATTAAAAACCTTGAGCGGTTTAAATAAAACACTTTAACGGTTTAAAACGCGATATATTAGTTAAACTTATTTGAAAATGATTTTTAACTTCGGCCGACGTTTCGGATGCTTTGCAGCAGCCGTGGTCACGGGGAGACAGTCTCCCCTATTATGGCGTTTTAAACCGTTAAAGTGTTTTATTTAAATGTGTACTACTCGCGTAAACTATAGACACCTTGAGCGGTTGACAGAATATCTTTTATAATCTTAAGTTAAGTTAATTTAATTTAAAAGTCCATATAAATTTATAAGTCGGTTCGACTTTTTTTTTTCTTTATTAATTCCGATTTTACTTTACAGCGAACAATACGGAGTTCAGAGAAACGAGTCTATATATACTTGATACAGACTATACATCGTACTCACTAGCTTACTCATGTATCAACGTAGATAGCGATCGCCGAGCAAGTAAGTGACATTTTTATCTGTCTCTTCGTGAGTTGTCTTAAATGCGTCAAACAAACAACCATTTTCGCCACAGCAAAAGAATTAGTGCATTTCATGATATTAAACTTCTAAGAAAATTAATCTTTTAAACATAAAAATATTAAGTTTACACATACCTACTAAATTTCGTGGTCATAAAGTCAATGAATTTTAAACTTATCTAATCTTATATCTCCTTTTAATCAGAAAAAGGGTACATAGGTTTAGATATAGTACTAACCTGTCCTTGATTTGAAATTGTTCTTGCATTAGTAAAGATAACATTTGCCACGAAATGATTAAGTAAAATTAGGATTTAACAATTTGTATTGTATTAGCAACTTTCCAAAAATAAGTCAGTTATGTAATTTACAGAAGCCAAATAAATTACGCACATTTATACAACAATCTATTAATGTATTTTTTTCTATCCTTACTTAATGATGTTTAAGCTGCTCTCAAAACTTCTAGATTTTTATCATAATATCATTGTTTTTCGGGCCGTCCGTTTCGCCATCACGAGCGGACGGCATCATCAGGAGATCTTAGCTCCTCGATTACTCGAAGATTTAATAAATTCTTCTAATCTAATTCGAAATGATGTGCTGAACTATGGGCATGAAAGCCTTACATAATTCTAAATTTTTATATTGTATTTACTTACATTTTAAAAGTGGTAAAACAGTTACTGGTAGTAACTGATTGAACTTAGAGGAACCGTCTCAAAACGACCCGAATAATAACATTTTTTTTTTCTTTTTAGTTGGTGCTTGGAAACTCAGTCGCACTCGTACAATGTCAGCGGCTGGCAACACCGCTATCGATGCATATATGGCAACACGGAAAGAGCTTCAAAGTGCATACTTTACACCTGTAGGCCAAAGTGATTCGTGTCCGGAACCAAATTCCGCATCTCTAATTAAGAATAGTATTATAATGATAGCTATGTTATGTGCATCGCTACTATACTTATAAGTAAATCTAGATTCGATATTATAAACCAAAAGCGACGCTCAAAACACCTGTTAATACCAATATTGTTCTAATATTTCTGCTTGGTACGACCCTTGTAGTTTGGTTGTTGTTTATTTTTGCGTAATTATAGATAATTATTTATTACCTTTATGGCGTTAGTCTCTATATGTTAGGCATAGAAGTAAAACCAAATAAAAAAGCCAGAGGGCTTTATATTTGATATTACTATAATGATTTTGCATTTGTTAATTTACATGTAATTTGTACTTGACATTAGTAGCTATGCATGTTAGCGTTAGGGATACTTTACTATGAATGTAAGAGTCTTGAATTCATAGTCGAGGCGGTATCTTAAGAACCTTTTAAAAACGTATTATAAATCTCAAGAACAAGTAACGAAGGGTTGGTTTAAAATTAATAACAATATTTTGAAAGCGTGGTGTTGGTGTCATCGTAGCAATTTCTTAGCGGCTTTAGAATTTTGTCATCCACTTCGTTAATGGTTGAATAGAGATTTCTTTTCAAGGACAATTTCCGGGATATTGCTCCTGGTACAAATGTGTTACTAAAAACTAAAATAGATCGTGAAAAAATCATTAGAACGCATGTTGGAAGAGTGTGAGTGAATATTTATCTTATCTAATGAAGTTTATCGAGCTATAGACAGTACTATATCCCTACTGACATTGAATAATACGGAAAACATTGATTAGACCGGTCGCGATTTGGACTAGCCTTCTTTTGAAATAATATTACCAAGACATTCTGCAACTTCATGGCCGAATGGTTCCTGTAAATTATTCAATGCTTTTGATGTAATTACTTACGTTGCATAAGTTTTCAATTAACTAGTGTAATATATTTAAATATAACACTTTAACGCTTTAAAACCCGAAATATATTAGTTACTTATTTAAAGATTAACTACGACTCGTTTCCGTTGATTTGCAACTACAGTCTCCACGACTTAAAAATCATTTTCAAATAAGTTTAACTAATATATCGCGTTTTAAACCGTTAAAGTGTTTTATTTAAATGTGTACTACTCGCGTAAACTATAGACAGTATTTAGTCTCCACGAGATCACTGCAACTGCAAAGCATGAAGTGTTTTAATTAATGTGCCCACTCGTGTAACTACAGACAGTATTTAGTATAATATATTTGAAATAAATTATGTTTTATACTTCTAATTGTTTTACTGACTTAAATATCTTTGGATAATGATCAAAGAATTGTAATCAGGCGATGTATGAGTCATTCTAGGCGATCAAAGGTAAAGACCCTTTTAACTACATTTCAAGTATTTTCAGAGATTACCACCACGTTGCTTGCACATGCCGGAGTATCAGTTTGAAGGATTTTAAACATATTGATATCAGCTGTAACGATTTATCACGTTGTTAGACATATTGTGCGTTCACGAGGCATGAACCTGCGTTTGAGTGATGCCCCGTCGATTGCACGCAATAAACTACGCGATTGTGTTATAAATAATAAATTCCTTTATTCTATAGGGCCTTTGAAATATTAATTGCCTGCCTATAAAAATATTACTACACGAATAAATTGCACCTACTCGAATTTCGGGCAACGCATGCTGACAGAATGTCAGGGAATAAATCGTGCGATAAAATTCATTCAACAATCTTCATTAAACGTCTGGAATTGTATAGCGGATAATTATACATTCTTCAAGAACACGATAAGTCCTGTTTAGGGCTTTTTTACATTCAAATGTAATTAGCTAAATAAAAGTATACCGCTTTTTAGGGTTATAATTAATTGTGGTTTACCTATTTGTCGGGCTCCTTGGTGTTGGTAGCAATGTATTCTGAAACATGTTGGGCTTCATATAGCGATCTGGATATGAAATCTTTGGCAGGAATATCGAAATAGCGTCCGGGTCATGTGGGACATGAATCAACGTCTACAGATAAAATCTCCTCTATCAAAAAATGCTATTATAATAAAACTGAAATTAACAAGCGTTGTCATATTTTTTAAATTTACTCAAGTAGAGCTATGTTTCCAATACTGATGACAAAAAGCATTAATAAAATTACCATTAATGACATTTTCAAAATCAAAAATCTTATATTCATGTAGGTAGCTTAGTACACGTCAAAACAATTAAAAATTTTAAACTAAGTTTACAGTTACTACCAGTTCCGTTCATATATGCAGAAAAATATATAAAAAACTATAACAAAGATAAAAAGGTTTGCCTAAGATAATGCATAAAGATTCTTCATGAACTTAGGTGATCTTATCGACAAGAACCGATGTCTTTCTGGCAACCTGGAAATAGACCAGAAAATTAACTGTAAAAATCCAATATGAGGAATTAAAGATAAGAAAATATAATAATTAACTAAATTTTACTTTAGGCTAATCGACTACATCCGATACTACTTAACTGATATAGTTTTCAAACACTACTAGTTGCCAAACAGTTTGTTAGACCCTTAACATCCTCACGTGTACTTCAGCATGACAAATGTTGGAATTTATGCTTATATTTCTAGAAGGGTCTTTATGACATTCCTCAATAATTAAGGCTATATTGATAACGTTCTGAGTAATCAAATATTTCGGCCGAAATCGTTTTATCTGAGATAAGAACTACGGAACACTGTTCTATTGTCTAGAAGAAATAATTACTGTAGTTTACAATTTCGAGATATGTCTAATCTACTAAGTAGCGTCGTGTTATTTTAATTGATAATCTTAGCGCGGCATGGATAGAACTTTGTTAAATATATCTAACAAATTTCATGAATCTATACGAATATATGAAGAGTTTGTTTGTTTGTTTGCGCTAATAAGTTAGAAATTTGAATATGGAATCGTTTGTATATGCTGTAACAATATTTTTGTTCGTGTACATGACAGCTATGCGAGTTTTATTTTATTTTTGGGTAGCTAATAATAATTTTAATTGCACGTTACAGCAGATACAGATTAAATTTCTATTATTAGAATACATATCACTAAGCTTATAGTATTAGTGACTTGCGACTACGATATACCTTTTCCTGTAAACTTATCACATTTCTTAAATCACAAAAATTACTGAAAAAATTTGGTGGTGCGATAAGACTGAAACAAATTTCTCTGAGGAACAGCAACGTTGATTATATTTAAGCGGCCGTTAAGCCGTACAAATATCAGATATATTTCCATACACTAGTAACTCGTCGTTTATAAGAAACTATATCAGATGACGGTTTAAAAAAAGGTTTAACAAGAACATATACTAATGGTCAGTACCAAACACGCATTCCCTTAATAAAAACATGTCTTTGAAAGGAACAACAAGCTATTAAAACCCTTCTATGCCAGAGAATATCTGAGTCCAGCTGTGATATATAATAGAGTAGCTGTGTCAGCGACTTCGTCCGCGAGAATCGTTATTTTGGGCATCCAAATTCGTTTTGGAAACCCCTTTACCTTTATGAATTTAAGCTGTTACCCACACCTTCGGTAGCGTCCCTTCCCGTCGTTTTTACAAGATAATCTTAAAATATAGACATATAGCGTCACGGATTCAGCTTTATATAGTAGTATAGATAGATTATACGATTCCAACAAAATATATGACAAACTAGCTGTGCCAGCACTTGGACCCCGTAGAATAATTATATTGGCCATAATGGCATTGTGTTTTAGATTTAGATCGTTTAGAAAGAAATCATTCTTTCATACTTATTTTTTGGGTACCTTGAACCGTTTTTGCAACGCACGCAATGGAAACCACATTCTCTACTGTTTCTTTACTCCTAATGATCGCATCATAATGTTACATACGAGTTATAGCCTAAAGCTTTCTTTAAATTATTATCTAACCAACACATAAAACGCGAGTAGTACACATTTAATTAAAACACTTTAACGGTTTAAAACGCGATATATTCGCTAAATATAGTACAGTTATATTAACATTTATCTAATTTAACGCGTTTTAAACCGTTAAAGTGTTTTATTTAAATACTATCCATATTGTTACTTAGTAGCACATGATGACATTTCCTAGTAAATGATTTTGTATTGCTAAGTTGCACGGTTTCATGTAAAAAAGTGATACTAGACCCATCTCTCTCTCAACTCTTGACACCATAACGCTAGCTGAGACGGTACCTAAAAAGGAAATTCCGTCAGTCAATAAAATGTTAGCAATGCCCAAGAAAAACTCACCGTATCGCAATTAACGATCTTGTATTTTAAAATGGAACATTCCACGATCACTACGGAAAAGGGTTAGGGTAGAGAAATGTCCTTTTTCTTGGTTTTAATAGAAGTGCTGCTATTTTTATATTAGAGGGGTACAGGCAAGCCTAATCATAACTTACTTAACAAAATGCACTGTCGACCTGTTACGGTTTTGGATATTCGGACAATTATGTAATTGTAAACACTTGTAAAACCGAATCGGTGGAGCGCCGTTAAAAATGAATAACATTGATATCACACATGTTTAAAATCTTGCATATTGTTGCACGTGACGGCATTATATAAATGAAAAATCTATTTAGATTAAGAAAAAAACGACACGGTAACTCAATTGGTAAGATCAACAGCACGGAAGGCTGTCGATGGTGACGGAAAATCATTTTCATTCTTAATCGATTTTCAATTAATATAAATGTTGTTTAATATGTAATTCTTGCTTCTGTTTGGCAGGTACATATTATGTAAGTACTTTGTTATGTCCGTGATGATATTTGAACTCCTCTGAACTGATTTATGTCAATACAGTTTTACTAATGGCCTTGACTGTTCAAACATTCGCACCCACTCAGACGGTCAAAATTGACACATTTATCTGATGTCCAGTGATAAATTCCGTTATCAAACACTCGTTATTCAATGCCAGTACTTAATCGCGCATAAACTGCTTCTAAATATAGACCCTTAATATTGATCCCGAAACCCTAATACCGTGTAATCTCAAAATAATTGGAAAGATAAACAAAAGGTACTTTTTTAAAGTAATCGGTAGCGTCGTTTAATTCAAAGCTATCACACTATCAACTGATAAGATCATATTATATATATGATAAGTAAAAATATAATGCCATTTCGTCAAGTTGCTGGGAAGTGTAATAATGATCTCATGATGTTGAAATTATTTATATGTGTTTTATGTATAAGTTTAAGTAGTGCCCAAATATTGCAAAATGGACGATGTGAATCAATCAATGTTAGTCTGCCAGAGAACTTTCAACTGGGAGAGGTAAGATTTTTATATATGCGCCTACACCCATATTCAGTTATTTTCAGTAACACCATTTTTATAAATCACCAATTAGACGTTTGTTTATATTGTTATATCATATTTAAAAAGTAAGTGTAACTTTTCAAATTTCGAATTTTTTCTGAAATTAAAACACGTTGTCAAAATTACAAGTACTCCAATTTGCGTTCCTAGAGACTTCCTTTATATATTTATATTTTCGATCACCACTTTAAGAAAATGTTTTTTGATCTTTTTTATTATTTGAATTGGCCTGGTCTAGAGACCTAGTCGAGCTCACTTAAAAGTCTTTATTTCAAGAGAGTTAAATTGTATCAGTCTTCCTTTAGGCAGGTTAGCATTTTGAAAAGCTTCTCAGATTTTCGAGCCGGTTCAGTCATTGCTTAGTCGAGGAGCGTTCATCATCTTCTGATGATGGCGAAATGTCAAGACACAGTTTAAATAACGAGAACCGAGCAGCTATTCTAAATACAAGTTGGTCTTGCTTATTTACCAATTTAAAAAATCCATTAGCATTTACAAAATCTTTCATTTTGCGATTTAAAATAAAATGTTAAATATGTACTCTTTTTGTTCAGTGCTTTATTCTGTTCGGCTTAATTCCGGAATTGAAATATAGGTAGCAATTAAATAGAATCCACTAATAACAAAGTTATCTACGATGAAAGATAACATTTTTAATGCTATTATCAAAAATCACTACCACGTAATTGATTTGATCTAAGATATTGAAAAAAATACTGTTTTGATTTTAAGTATAAAGATGAATCATTAGGAGTTAACATTATGTAAAATGGTATGTAATATTAATTTTAACATCTTAGTGTTATGGGTAAACAATTTGAATAAAAATTGAAATACTCGTGATGGGCTCGTTAGTCTAATTTAACAATGTATGGGTCGTGTGTCCGATTCCCACCGCGTCCAACATGTTTATATTTTTTCTGAAACATGCTGGACTTCGTCTGCAAATCTGGATATTAAATGGAATGTAGTAATTCCGTCCGCGTCGCAAACCACCGTACACAGATGACCAAGCCGTGAAGGTAAATCGCATTTCGGATTCAGTCTGTGGATTTCCGAATATCCAAAGCCAAAATAGGTCGACCGCGTATCTTTAGAAGCTATAAGCTTACAACTACCATCAAGTGAACCCCACGCCTGTCTGTCCTCCACTATAATTAAAAAAAATAACAAAAAATATATTTTTTTTTTTTAAATATATCTGTAGAACGTCAGAACGTCATCGATCGTAACAATGAACACCAGAAAAAAAGTAAAATAAATTGCACGTGTAAAGAAACGGATTAAACATATATTTTAAAAGATAATAATTAATTATTATTATCTACGCGATATCCATAAAATTATGTTGCATAGAAAACTTGCATACAACAATCGATGACCCGTATTAGTCAGTTATTATTATTATTAATATTATCTATTTCTATACTATGTAAAGCTAATGTTTGTTTGTGTGTTTGTTTGAACGCGCTAATCTCAGGAACTACTGGTTGGAATATTTTTTTTGCGTTGATTAGAGCATTTATCGACGAAAATTATTCAAACATCATAGTTGCGGTTGCGTACGCTGCGAAAATGGTTCAAGATACCCAAAACATATGTATCAAACAATGATTCCTCTTTAAATTATGTTAAAAAAAATGTCCGCGACAGTATATCTCTATCTTTTAAGATCAACTTGCAAGAACGACGGGACGCAGACTGCGTCGTGAGTAAGAGCTTGAATTTAGAGTTAAACAGGAGGTTTGCAAAAACAAATTTTGATGCCCAAAATAATAATTCCGCGAAGACGAAGTCCCTGACACAGCTAGTACTTATATTATTAGTGGCTGGATGACCTCTCACCTAGATAAAGATTTTGTATTTTGTTTAGTTAACGTTTTCCGAATGGAATCTTATACGAACTATTAATTCACGTGTTTCTGCAAACAATGATAATATCTTGCTCGCAATTTCTACTTAACTAGCTTTACTCTTTAATAAAAAATAAGTTATTCTATAGTAAGTGTGAAATGTAACTTTTTTTATTGAATATATACATCTCCATATGGAACTCAAGAATTTATAAATAAGCCCTGTAAAACTATTTAGGTTGCATTTGCCTAGCTTAAGGCTTGCCTACTTACCTCTAGCTTTAGGCTTCTGGCTTGCCTAGCTTAAGGCTTGCCTAGCGCAAGAGATGCTGAGTTCAATTTCCAGCGAAACTTAGTAAATAGATTAGTATAGAAATTGGATCAACTACCCCAGCGTATTGTCTAGCAGTATACATTAAAATAAACCACCCTTAACGCACGAAATACTTTGGCCTAAAATAGACACCCGAAACGTCGTTAAATACTAAAAATAGATTTATATTTCGCTTGTTGCCGTTAAAATGTTTTATTTAATTAAGATTTCGCTTATTGAAATTTTTCTTATTTCATAAGTATACTACTCATATTATGGTTATAGTTTTATACGCCACATAAACCTGCATATTCACAACTAGCGTTAAATGTCGAAGACCTCTACTGTAATAATATTTATATCGTTTTGAAAACAGCCAGTACGTGTTTTAGGGATCCGCGGCGAAATGCAAGACAATATAGTAGATACTTTAAAGGAGCTTAAGTAATAAAGTCTAATGATAAAAATACTATTTCCATTTAATCGAATTGTAACAGTTACATTATAATCGTCCTTTCTAAAAACAATTAAAAATTCTGTAAAACAAACTAATGTTTAACTGTTGCTGTGTTTACCGCCCGACTCACCCTTGGCCAAATTTGATTTCAAAACGAGCTTTTTCTTTTTGCACGCTTTTAAATATGGTTTAAATGTCGAAGTTAATTATTACTTTTTTTAGTAGTTAGCTGTAATGAAACTAGTGGCGGTTCGCTAGACTTTTGACTTTTTTTCATGACATTTAACTGAGTTGTAGAATCTTCTAGGTAATTTTGAAAAAGGACAGTTAAAAATGGGAATAAAAATGCAGTATGCACTTTGAATCATTAAGTGACTGTATACTAATATTAACTATAGATTTTTAATTAGGATACCATCACTACGTACACTCAACTAATAACATATATATTTTTTTAATGATAGAGCATAGGTACTTGATGGTAGGTGATATACCTCGGCCTATGGCATCTAAACAAGATGCGCTGTCGGCCTATTTAGGCTTTGGATATTCGGAAATCCACAGACTGAAACCGTTCGTGACCCAGACGGAATGTCTATATTCCTACCACTCATTTAATACTCAGAGTTCCAGCCGAAGTCCAACATTTTTCAGAAAAATTATTAAATACTGTCTATAGTTTACGCGAGTAGTACACATTTAAATAAAACATCTTAACGGTTTAAAACGCGATATATTAGGTAAACTTATTTGACAATGATTTTAAACCTCGGCCCGACGTTTCGGCTGCTGCCGTTAAAAATCATTGTCAAATAAGTTTAACTAATATATCGCGTTTTAAACCGTTAAAGTGTTTTATTTAGAAAAATTATTAATTGAAAAACAGTAGAAACATGTTGGCCGGTGAGGATCGAAGGCACGACCCGTAGATTTGACCAACGAGCTCGTCAATATAATTCTAAATATTTAATTGATTAAGATTCAATTTCTCATATATCGATATATTAAAATCAATGTCAAAACCGTTCATAATGACTTTGAAAAACGAGTGGACTTTCAGGGTCATGGGAGCAATTTTGGAAAATAACAATTTAAGTAAGTTAATCAGTCAGTTAAAATGTACTTGGCTAGAACCTTGTTCCGTGGCGCATAAATTTCGCTGATATATTTGTTTGTCGACCGCGTTTCATCATACTGGTGAAAAAAAAACATCTAATCTAATTTAGACAATTCCACTGTGACCTGAAGTTTATCGGTTAATGTATTCAGAATGTGATTCGATATCGAGGTTAGTGTATGCTCACCTTTATCTAATACTAGCTGTGCCAGCGCCTTCGTCCGCTAAGAATATTTATTTTGGGCATCCAAATTCGTTTTTGCTATTCTTTATCTTTATAAACTTAACCACGTCGACGGTCGATTCGTGTTCTTACAAGTTAATCTTAAAAGATAAAGATATATAGCGTCGCGGACTTTTTTTAGATCGTTTAAAGAGGAATCATTCTTTCACAGATATTTTTTGGGCATCTTGAACCATTTTGTAGCGTACGCTACGATAACCCATACTGATGAGTCATTTTTCCCATTTTTTTCACATTTTCCGTTGTATTATATTGTATAAATGCTCTAACCAACACAAAAATAATTCTAAAACCCGTAGTTCCTGAGATTAGTGCGTTCAAACAAACAGACTCTTCAGCTTTATATATTGGTATAGATAAAACACGTAAAAAATCTTGTTCCAAATACGTTATAACGGATGGTGTTTCTAGTTTCCCCCGAATAAAATAAAATACATCGTATGGATGGATCTCTTTCTAAGTTTTTAAGCCAGCTGTATTCCTGCGAGTTAAAAAAAGTTAAAAAATTTACGATAACGTAATCGACAAACCGATAAATATTAGATGCGTCTAAAAATAGATTGATTTAAAATTTATACTTTAACGCCGGATGTAATGTTCGTGGTTGAAAAATTGAGATATTGTGCTGCAAAGTTACAAATAAACATAAAGCATGAATGGTAAAATAATATTAAAATTTAAGCACTTACACTCGAATTTCGTTATAAGCAAAAGGACAATCGTCTGAATGATTCTTACTTGTGCATAATAAAAAATATATATTTAATGTTACAACAGTAACTTATTACTGTCTCAAGAAAATAACTTATTCTTTACATAACTCGTACTACACCAATATCATTATATTTTAAGTTTAAAATAAGAGATTTTGACATTCGCATTATATTTTGAATATTTTAATGTATAAATAAAATACTTTAACGGTTTAAAACGCGATATATTAGTTAAATTTATTTGGAAAGTCTCCCCGTGACCACGGCTGCTGCAAAGCATCCGAAACGTAGGGCCGAAGTTAAAAATCATTTCCAAATAAGTTTAACTAATATATCGCGTTTTAAACCGTTAAAGTGTTTTTTAAAATGTGTACTACTCGCGTAAATTATAGACAGTATTTATTTTAATGTAATATATGCTTTCGGTTGCATTCACATACTTAAATCAAATACTTTTTATTGATTATTACTTATCTTGAATTATCAATTCTTCATATCTTTTTATTAGCATAATTAATATTTAACGTGTTTGATTCGTAATTTATTAAATTCCACGTGCGTCCTATGTATTTTTACTAGGTTTCAAAATGTTAGGTTTTGTATATTTCTTTAATAAAAGGGCTCTGCAATAAACTATAAGTATGTACGTGAAAGATAAAATGAAATAAAAAGTGTCAATTGTTTTTATCGATTGCCTTTTATCGTTCAATAAATAAAACTGTTTATTAAAGATAGAGGCCACTTGTGAGTGCTATGATAATTATTACAATATTAACGTAAGAGTTAGTAAGAAAATGTAAAAAGAATAAATACCATGGAAGAACAACCTTCAGAAACTATAAAATTTAAAACTAAGAATCTGTCATGAAACATTAACGAGAATTTAACTTCGATCATTACAAAACAGAACAGTAAAAATCTAAAAATATTTCGAGATCAAAATAATATTGCAAAAACTTATCTGCTGAGAATTTATTTTTTACCGCGGTTGGTTCTATACAATCCTCCCATATTACCTCTGAACCAATCGGTGATCAAGAAAAACTAGTTATAGTTCTATCCTACCGTTATCCCTACTAGAAGCAGGTACACATTTTAAAGGCTTAAATATGTAAAGCAATATACACTTAAGTTAAAACCGACCGTTAGGTAAAAATATATAATCCGAGTTCCAGTACCAATATAGTGTTTGGAATTATGATACAACTTATTTCTATTTTAGTCATTTATTTAGTTCCAGGTTTCAATATATTCATATTTATCGAATTGTTTAACTTTGACTCATTATAATGTTACTGTTAGCCGTGCCCGCGACTTCATCCATATAGAATAGTTATTTTGGACGTCATATTTAATTTTTGCAAACCACCATCTCAGAAATTAATAGCTGTTACCCATGAAATCATCCGCGTTCCGTCGTTCTTGCGAGTGATTCTACAAAGACATATACCTTCCCGGTTTACTTTACATATTTTTTGGTTTCTAGAACCGTTTTCGCAAGCCGTCAAAGCTGAATAACTTTTCCCTTTTTTCCACAATTGCATCCGTTTCTTTGCTCCTATTGGTTGCAGCTGTTTCATAGCCTAAAGCCTTCCTCGATAAATGGGCTAACCAACACAAATATATTTTTTTTTATTCGAGTCAGTAGCTCTTGAGATTAGCGCGTTCAAACAAATAAACAAATTCTTTAGCTATATAAAATTAGTACTTTATAGCAGTATAGTATATAATAGTAGATTATCGTTCTTCTTTTAAACTGATAGAATAATACTTTAGAGCACTTATAAATAAATAAACTGTTTACCGCTGACGTTTTTAAGTACTCGCCCTTCAACGAAGGTCTACACACAAGGTACAAGGCATGCTGTGATACTCTTACGATTATCTATCTTACTTTTGTGATAATAAACATTAATCATTTCCACATCCTGACACTAGGTACTGTATCTAAATATTTCTAGGTCTTCGTCGCCATTAGAAAGTTACTTGTCCAAAAGCGTTGCAATTCTGTCCAGCCAATTGACGTGCTGCAGTACAAACTTGTTTAATTAAAATCTACTTGCTGCGCAGAAATATTTTTCGTACTAAGTACTAGATTGCAATATCTACGGAGGCTTTCAAAATTGAATACTAAGTACTTATGGCAATAATGTTTAAAAGCTTTGATATTTATGAAATATTCATGTCGCGAGTAACTTTTATCGCATTTTAACTTAGCCATTAAGAACATAGTATATAGAATTACATAGGATACGTATGTACGAGAGCCATCTTGGTCTAGTGGCATGAGTATCTTTTTCTTTTCTTCAAATACCTATTGTAGCGGGTTTAGTTTTGAACCGTTAAGTAAACGTAGAAACATAAATTGTCTAAAAGGCGTATTATTGTTTGAACGATTTTGTTTAATGACAAGGCTGCGTGGCAGTGATCTGAATTTCCAACTTAAGAAGCAATTCATGCTTCTTAAGTTAGGAAATTCACAAAAATTTATTAAATACTGTCTATAGTTTACGCGAGTAGTACACATTTAAATAAAACACTTTAACGGTTTAAAACGCGATATATTAGTTAAACTTATTTGAAAATGATTTTTAACTTCGGCCCGACGTTTCGGATGCTTTGCAGCAGCCGTTTGTCTCCCCGTGACCACGGCTGCTGCAAAGCATCCGAAACGTCGGGCCGAAGTTAAAAATCATTTTCAAATAAGTTTAACTAATATATCGCGTTTTAAACCGTTAAAGTGTTTTATTAAAAAAATTATTAGTTTATAAGACATGTTGAAAAAAGCCGGACTGAGTTTCTTGGGTGTTCTTCTCGGTGATGTAGCTATCTATTCTTCGTCTTTTGAACACTCAGTAGAATCACGTCGGACGAACGGACAAACATTTTTTTAACAAATCTAATTTTTTTTTTTAATTTTTTAAGAGAATAAAGTATATTTTATTTTATTCATAAACCCGAAAATCGGAACTATTTATGATATTCAAATCGGTAATTGTCACTTTGTCGTCGTAAATGTAAAACTAGTCATAAAGATTAATGTATGTAGGTTTAAAACATGATAAGTTTATACTGCCGTACCTTTGGGGTGTGGCCCCAGGAAGTAATAATCGTAATGCATTTATTTTATTAGTTCTGTGTAACCTATACCTATTGTATTTAACGGTTTGAAACGCAAAATTTATCATTAAACTTATTTTAAACGTCGGGACGTTGTTAAAAATAAGTTAACCCATATTTTTCATTTAAAAATCGTTAAATATGTTTTATTGAAATAGTCGTTTCTATATTATACACAATATTTTTTATATTAATCAATTTTATGTATCCTAACTTGAAAGTTAGCACCGTTAAAGATGATATTTGGTACACAGTCATAGATCGGAATAAAACTAAAGGCATTTATTTTTGTCCTGAAAAGTATTTAAAGCTATTTGTATACAGACGTATTTTAATCAATATCGCATGTATAACTTAAAATTATTTGGAAATTATTTCAACTACGGCACACGTACCATGTGACCACAACTTCTGCAAAGCATTGGAAACGTCGGGCCGTAGTTACTAGTATTTATATATCGGGTTTTAAGTTAAAGTGTATATTTGCAATGTACTTCTCGCGGACTACAGACAATTAAATATTGTCTGTATTTTATCAATTCTTAATGCAACTTAAAATGAGATGAGAACGATCTTTACTAAGATACAAAAATATCATTTATTACTTGTGTTTTCATTAGTTCGCAGGCACATGGTACCACATAGAAGGAACAAGGAGTCCCCTACAGACAGGGGACTGTTCCACTCTGTCAATCACCGCTCGAGGCGATATCTTGACTGGATCTAACACTTTGGATGTGAAAATCAAATCGGTGGACGAAAACTTCCCGAATGAGATTACTGGGGTGGCCACGGTACAAAATGGAAGTCCTTCTTTTAGCGTTAATTATCCGACACTTTCAAAGAGTAAGTACGGATTATATGACGTTGATATAATAGACATTGATCGCGTAGACCACGAATCACTTTTAACTGTCTTCCGGGTCCCTTCCGAACTTTCGAGTTCGATCCAAGAGTCACTTTCTGTATCGTTGAAACCCAATATCGCCACAACATCATGACTTTAATTTCACGCCTAAAACATTTCTTTCGTGCCTTTTTCATACTACAGGCTAACGTCTGAAAATAATAAATGAATGATACATTTATTTGTTATCACATTTACATTTCAACTGGAACTGGAACTGGTGTCGTTGAAATATTATATGATATGTATTACATAAGATTAGATGTATAACGTGCTTCTTTTGTTTCTAGCATTGGACTTGAATGTCATGATCACAGATTATGAAAACTTCGCCCTTGCGTACAGCTGTGAGAATTTTGGAAGCTCACAAAAAAATCGTAAGTAAGAGATACTTGGAGGATAATTTTATATTTTATTTAGTGAACATAACTGCCGCATAACTCAATGGTTAAAAAAGTGGTAAGCTCTAATTGTCCCGGGTTTAATCCCAGGGAAACGATTAACAGTTTCGGTCGGGTACGGCATGGAAGTCTGATCAACTGTCTGTAAATATAAAATCGATCGAATGCCACAAATTTCAAAACAGTCAAATATTTCGTTTTTAGGCGATATCAGTGTTATTGTTTAGGTTTGCAGAACTCATTAAGTTATCAGCAGATAAGATTAATTAAATCGCTGGCACCGATTTAAGCTGTGAAAAGCAGTGATTTGTTACATCCGGATTACGTTATCGTATTGTGAGAATAGCTAATTTAATAGAACTACACAGTCAATTGCTATGAGAATTGTCTATCCGAAATGATTTTCAGAATTTCAGACGCGAATTGAGATTTTCGCCACGAACACTTAAAGGTGAAATTTCGGGTCGTAGTTAAATTTATACTCTTCAGGATTAATACCGTTAAAATTGTCTTAATCGATGTTGTTAATATGGTTAGCACGTCCCGTTATACCTTATAATAATAAATCTCTTTATTTGGCATTCAATTAGTATATTCATTAGTAGTAGTAGAGATAAATGTCATTACAACAAAATAATTAATCCAAAATAGGTCTTGCATCAGCATAAGTTGCAGGACAGTTATGCTACAACACTGATTTTCAGCAGAACCCTGCTGTTCGTCTGTTAGACAGCTCTCATATAAAACCATTTAATATTTTAAATAGTAAAATAACCGCAAAACATTATTAAGTAATTAACACAATATTATATAGGATATTTAGTTTAAACGAATATATCTATGTATCAATTAATAAAAATATTTTTTTGACAGTATACTTCTGGCAACTCGGTAGAAGTAGTGCTTTCCCCACGGAGATGATAAAAAGTCTCATGAATCGTACGCTGTACGTTAACTTTGATGTGACAACCTCTGATCTGACACCTGTGGACCATTCCGATGTGGCCTGCCATATCCTACCAGAAATTGCTCCTGGAGAGTCAATCATTCTACCTGGTCAGTGTGACCAGAACATCACAGCCGTTCAAAATTTCCAGGGCGATCGGGTAAGTCAAGTTCTGAATAAAGACTAAGGCTATGTACTAAGGTTACTTCGCATTTCAACTAAAGCACAAAAATAATAAGACACTTAAATCTCCAGACCATATGTCTAATGTTTGATAGAATTCATATAACACTATGTCAGCGACTTCGTCCGTGTAGAATAGCTATGTCGGGTATAAAAATTAGTTTTTGATACAAACCTTCTCTTCTGTAATTTTTATAACTGTTACCCACGACGTCGGTCGCTTCTCATCGTTCTTTTAAGTTAATCTTAAAGGAGAGACATATTGGTGTCGCGGACATTTTTTAAATCTTTTAAACAAAAGTTATTCTCATACATAATTTGGATATCTAGAACTAATTCACCATTACCCACATTACCCAATGTTTCTTTGTTCCTATGGTTCCAGTTATGTTTTTTTTAGATTTAAGCCTTTCTCGATAAAAGCTCTAACCAATTGTAAAAGAATTTTTCAATTCAAATTAGCATTCCTTAGATTAGCGCGTTTAAACAAACAAACTCTTCAGCTTTATATATTAGTATAGACGTCACTGCTAAACAAAGAATTTCCTTCCAGTTCCAAGGTGTCTGGCATCAGATCGTTGCGTACTATTCGACAAACTCGATGGGACAATGCAACAGGGCGGAGTACAGTTTCTCAGATGGCAAAGTCGACAAGGTCATCAACAGTGAGGTGATTGAAGAGAAACTGAGAACAATTACCGGTTCAGCTATCGTTTCAAGTGATGATGGGAGTGCTAAATTACTTGTGACCTTAGAAGTTACTCCAGGCAGTAAGTTTTTGTCACTCTTGTACTGTTACTTAGCTTAAAATAGGCTTAGGCAATGTTTTTATTGGGACTAAAATACGGGCAAGATAAGAGCTGGTAAAAGGTGCCTACTGTTGGTAACATTTTGGTCCTCGCTTACGCCACTATACTATGTTCAATAAAGTAAGTAAGGTCATGAATTACTACATCAAAATGGGAATATTTTTAAGAGGAAGAAGTAAATTTAAAAGTTTGATCTTAAGTCTATAAAAACTTATGTAACTGCAAAAAAAACTTAAAATTACAAATGTATTTTAAAATACTTGCACATTCTCTATCATAAAAAGATAAATAAATATAATGAATACAAAAAATACCTGCACTAAGAAATGCGGTAGCTAAAGATAAAGCAAAAAGAAATGAAATAAAAGATTAAAATTGTCTATCTAACATAGCTCCTTTTCTATCAAGTGTTAACTAATTAAAACGTTGTTGATTGAAAAATGATAATGTGATAAATAGTACTGATAGCGGTGTAATATCGTTTATTTAAATTGAAAAACGTTGTAATTACAAAGAATATTATTATTTAATTTAAGTGGTAGATATCAAGTGGGAAGTAAACACAGCCTTGTACTATTTTTCCTTTGATAATTATTACTTAATACAAGGAGATTCCTTCGCTTTAATATAACAATTCAATACGTGCTTTTAAATAGCATAAATAAAAAGTCGTCTCAAAGCAACTACAATGGCATAAAATCTAGATATACAAATTCCGTCCAGGTCACAAACCTTCCACAGACCGAAGTGATACTCTTCACTTTCAGCCAGTGGCTTCTAATTTTTCATGGTATAGAGGCAAAAACGGTAGGTTCCTCTACCTACGTCCATGAACATCTACGGCACCGGAAATGCGTTGCCGCTTTATGCTGCCAAAGAATTTTTTTTCTTAACATCACTCTTGTTTGTTTTATAAAATGAATAAATAATAAAAATTGCACAAATACAATTATAATATGTTTATATAACTTCTTACGGCTTAATCCTTGAAAGCTAGTAAAATAAGTCTCCTTTAAAAAACCTTATCTCATTATAAATAACAAGTTATGAATAAAACAGCTGCTTATTTTTTGAAATAGAATTTTACGATTTTTAAACTGCCGTCGGCCGAAATACATGGATAATGTTTTAAAATAAATTAAACTGATTATTATTTAGATTCGATGCGGTGCGATTTTGCATGCGAGATTAGATCTTAATTAAATCTTCTAAGGAACAAGAAAAACAGAAGGCTTAAGTACAGCTTTGTCATTTTAAATCGCGACATATAAGATACTTGTTCCACTACGATCCCAAGTTTTGGATGCTTTGTAGCAATTTGGTCACGGGAAAATAAGTTAACCATATATACTTTGCTTTTTAGAACGATACATTTTTTCATGTATATTCCTCGTGTACACTAAACAACGCTAAAAAGAAGAGAAGAGATGGTTAAATTATTGGATAAATAACATGTGTTATTCATCCATTAGGTATTTCCGGAAATTATAAATCTGTAATGTTTTTTTGTTTGAACGCGCTCATCTTAAGAACTGATGGTATTGGATGTACCATTTATCGAAGATTTGGGCTATATAACATTACGCCGCGATCGTAAATCGGCACGGTCTGACAGGTGCAAAGAAACATAAGAAGGACAATTTTTATCTTTGAGGTCTTCCGCTGCGTACGCTCCGAAAACGGTTCAAGAAACTAACAAAAAGATGTAATAATATATACTTTATTCTATTAAAAAGTGAACTAGACTATTCTGTTGCCAAATACACTTTTAAAAATGATATTGACTTAACTTAGTCGGCACGGAAAGTAAAAACAGTCAACATCAGTCCTAAAACAACATTAGTTTTAGTATTCAGAGGGGTTATCGACAGAATACTCCGATAACCTAGGCAACAAAATATCTTGTTTGTGGTTTGACGGCTGCCTAATCGTCTTAGATAAGTACTAACTACCAACAACGGGATAACTAAGGTCAAATGCCTAATTTAATTAATGATAAAATATTCGAAAGTAGAGTTGAAAAAATCTGACCTGTATTGAACCCAGATCACCGTAACTTTAATTTCCACATCAGTACCATATGTCATTCAATGAGGCCGCTAGAGCCAGAGTGGCCTAATAAAAAACATGATTTTCAATAAGGAGGAAAATAAAAATTATCTTTTTATTGAATTAACTTAAGCAAAAATGAATATTTACTATTATTTATTTAAGAATTATGTTAACAATTTCGGTCACTGTGCTCTTGTAAATAAATATGTCGATTCATAAAATTGCAGTTAGGCTACTCTGCTTCTAGAGGCCTTATAGATGGTCGTCCTGGTGACAGAACAACATCACACCACGCCAACTGTCACGTTTACGTCAAAAATTGTTCAGTTTCTCTTTGAAATATATTATAATTTGAATCAATAGTTGCCAGTGAAGAACCGATCCTTTTTTTCTTCTAGGAGTTCCACTATTAAGAAGTTTTGAAATTTTATGTTGTTTAGTCTTATTATGTATTATATAAATACAATGCTATAAACCTACTGGAAATACGTGCTTTTTATTACATACGGTTGAAATGCAACATTGTCATGTGAACAATAATTTGAATAACAGATTTACTCGATATAACGAGTGAAAAAATACACGACAACCAGTTCTTGCAATCAATCAGTATACAGGTTTCATATCGTCATTAGCATGTCTTGCAATTTTCAAAAAAATCCTAGGAAACGGACGCATTAAAATAAATTTGGATTATCGCGTCTATGTCTTATCAGAACCAGTTGTGTATCTTAATAGGATGAAATCTGCGTTCTCCGAAGAAAATATATCTTTGTTCTCAAATAATTTAGGCAAGGTACAACACTTTGAACATTTTGAAGGATTTAATTGAATAGAAATAAGAAATAATTGTTTCTAACTTCCACTAGCTATGTATGTCTTTATCTTAAGAATAACTTGTAAGAACAATTTTTTATAGTATTTAAATAAAACACTTTAACGGTTTAAAACCCGATATATTATTTAAACTTATTTGAACATGATTTTTATATTCGGCCCGACGTTTCGGTCTCCCCGTGACCACGGCTGCTGCAAAGTATCCGAAACGTCGGGCCGAAGTTAAAAATCAGTTTCAAATAAGTTTAACTAATACATGCGTTTTAAATCGTTAAAGTGTTTAATTTAAATGTGAACTAGTCGCGTACTATATACAGTATTTAATTTGTTGTTACAGTTTTATGAATATAATAATAATCTTGCAAACAACAAAACAACTTTTACCGCGTCACTTAGTTATTGATAAATCACGATTTATTTCTTTTCGTTGCATTCATCTTTATAAACTTAAGTTACCCACGACGTCGGTCGCGTCCCTTCCCGTCGTTCTTGTAAGTTAATCCTAAAAGATGAAGAAGAAGAGAAATGATTCTTTCATACATAATTTTTGTATTCCTCAAAAACCGTTTTTGCAGCGTAAACTCGGCACCGATGAATGATTTTTCTAATTTTTTTCGCATTTCTGGCTATACTTCGCTTGTATTAGTCACAGGGCGATGTTTTATAGCCTTTCTCGATAAATGCTTTAACCAACACAAAAATATTTTTTTTATTCGAACTCGTAGTTCCTAAGAATAGCGCGTTCAAACAAACAAACTTCAGCTTTATATATTAGTATTGATTACATAAAGAATATAAGTGTGTAAAACTTCTAATATTAATTACAAATTGTCTCCATATTTCTTTCAGACTTCGTGGATCAGCCACTTTGGATCCTGGCCACAGACTATACAAATTATGCTGTTTCCTATTCATGCAGTGATCTGAGCGACAACCGAAAAAGAGGTAACGCAAATATTATATTAATCAACATAAACAAATAATCAATTGACAGTTCATATTAATTTTATGCTCATTATCGGATGCAAATTGATTCAATAAATATTTTAAGGATTTAATTCGTGACTCGTTATGAAGTAAGATCGTTCTTAATATATGTAGGATGTAAGAAAAATATGAAAAAACCATTTTAAGGGCTCCATGATCCATTTAGCTTCAACGCTCTTCCGGTTCAAGACGTAGCGTAGAATTGCGTTAGGTCGGGTCTTTGGATCCCGGTGTAACATTCTCTCCATCAAAAGTTTTAGTAGATTATACTTATTATCATGTATGAGATAGCCATACACAAATACACTATTTATGAGCAGGAAATATCAATCTTTACCAAATGACGCACGCAGACGCTTTTAGTGAAATAATGGACGCATTAAAAATACTTTCAATATATGCACAGTATTATTACGTATCTAATGAATTACCATGAAAAAGAACTAGTTTGGAACTACATTTTAGCACTAGACAAGTGCGTCACTTGTTTTAGATAGAGCGTAGGTACGATACATAAACGAGAATAATAAAATAACCAATAAAACGTGTTGAACATTATTGTAAATAAATAGTAATATTATTGTTCTTGTTTTGGAAAGGCAGATGTCATTAAACGGCGAATTTGTGGGCATTTTGTTGGATCCTACACGAAAAACCAATTATATTTTAAATTAAAATTATATTTCGAGTTAGCTTTTAACAGACCTCTTTACGAAAAGCCGTTAATTATATATTCCAATTTCAAATATTTAGTTTATTACAATAATTTATTAGGGTAAGCTTACCTTATGTGCACTTTATTAAATTGAATACATTTTCAACTTACGTAATTTTTACAGCTGCAGAGGTAATAAAATAAAGAGGCTAGTAGGAGGTAGGTTCGAAGTCCGGGGAAACGATAAATGTAATGGAAAGATACTTTTTAATAATCTTAGAAACACGTCTGTAAAATAAGAGACAGTGATATACTTTAATATTTTGAACATGATGGCAGTATTTAATTCAAAAGTCGATTGTAAATTGAAAAAAATCTACGACACGGGAACGACTTGAACCACAGCGTTCCGTGCGGATCTAACCAATTGAGTTACCGTGTCGTAATTTTTTTCAATTTATAATAGATTTTTAATTTAAGAATAATATAATTTAAACAACATATTTCACGTTTTTATTTGTCTTTGTTAAGGTAGATAGAATTCGAATTTCAAAATCCATTTAACTTTTCCAGTGACAAGCTGGATCCTTAGCAGGAAGCGTCAGATGCCAGAGTCAGTTCAGCCTGAGGTGGACCTTGTGATAAAATCCTACAAAGACCTCAACAGAGCGTACTATCTGCAGACCAATCAGAGTGACAGCGCCTGCTTCTACTATCCAGACACAAGCCCAGGGCAGTCAGTTGTTTTCCCAGGACAGTGCGATGACAGTATAGAGGTCGTGCAGGACTTCCAAGCCGCTAAAGTAAGAAGCTGTATATAATAATAATAAAACCTTTTTATTAATTGTTTTACAGCTGTGAACATTAAGTACTGTCCGTAGTTTACGCGAATAGTACACATTTTAATAAAGCACTTTAACGGTTTAAAACGTGATATATTGGGATATTTGGGAACGTCGGACCGTAGTTAAAATAATCTCGAAATAAGTGTAGCAAATATATATCACGTTTTAGACCGTTAAAGTGTTTTATTTAGATTTAAAGCTTAGAATATGTTAGTAATTAAAATATAAGTAATGTTCAAGATTTTTATAAATAAAGATATTTAATTTATCCAACGTCACTTGCTTTCAATGATAGAATATCGTGGTATATCTTTAGCTTACGTCAGTGGTCCTAACATTTAACTGTTTGTTTGTATTGATTGTTTAATTTCTAACTAAGACACGAAGGAACACTACGGCTTCTGTAAAGCACAACGTATACGATTCGTAGATTCGTTGATCTTCGTTGTTTATTGTTAAGTACAATGTTCAGTTTGAATTGGAAAGACTCGTCGATCCAGTGCAAAATATGGTGTAAAGCCAATTTGGGTAAAGCAGTCGTTTACTTACTGTTATATAAAACACTTTTATCGCCTAAAGACTCTAAATGTTAACCTATTTATAATAAATTTATTTTAACTACATCTCGACGTTTCCGATACTTTGCACCCTCTGTGGTCAAGGGGGATCGGAAGATGGAGCTTGTTCCTAATGTCAGAGTCAAATCTGCTACGCTATCTGTTTCCACAGTTGATATTTTGGTAGTTAAATCATCCGAAACGTTGAGCCGTAGTTACTAATATGTTTGGTGTTTAACCCGTTAAAAGGGTTCTATTTAAGTGTGTACTAGTCTACTAAACTACAGACAATACTTAATAATATTGTTATAGTATTTGGGACTGTGGCATAACATCGAGTCATATCCATCAGTGAACCAAGAAGGCACTTGCAACAACGCGCGCTATTCGCTAGCTGAAGATGGATCGGTGGATGTTTTCAACACGCAGGTCATCAACGAAACACTACTTACTATTAATGGAGTCGCAACGCTGTCTGAAAACGCGAATACTGCCAAGTTAACTGTTCAGTTCCCAATACCTGGAACGAATCGTGAGTTTTCATTCTATTCAGCATTGTATTCTGCTTATTTTCAACTATACAAATCAAACTGTTCTTGTCGGTCTAATGATGGCAATGTAAGGCTAATAATCGACGGGTTGGGTTCGGTCTCCAACAGATCCAAGATGTTTATAATCTATTAAAAAAAATCTAAAACATCATGAACCTCGTCTGGACACCTGAATATAAAATGGGTAGCAGATTACGTCCAAATCACTAACTACCATCCACAGATGAGAAGTCGTCAAGTTTATTCGCGTTTAGGATTTCAGTCTGTGGATTTGGGAAAATCCAAAGCCAAAAAAAGGTTGACAACATATCTTGTTAAGACGTTATATGGCTGAGTAATTCACTTTGAATCTCATGTTTGTCTGCACTCTATCATAAATAAAAGAGATTAAAAAAATACATCCTAATAACATAATATTTGGTAGATTTGATCTAAGAAAGATAGGATTCAATACCTTTTTTTTTGTAGGTTATTGCCTTTGTTCATCTTAAATACTATCCGTAGTTTACACGAGTTGTAAATATTTAATAAAAAAACTTTAACGGTCCGGCGTTTCAAATTTTACTTTGACATTAGAGACACGCTCCATTTTTTATCCCCCCGTAACCACGGCTACTGCAAAGTATCCAAAACGTCGAATAATTTCCAAATATGTTTAACTAATTATATCGCATTGTAAACCGTTAAAGTGTTTTATTTAAATATGTACTCCTTGCGTAAAGTACAGACTGTATTTAATATTCTAAGCTTACTAAAAAATATATATACTATCTGTAGTTAACGCGAATAGTACACATTTAAATAAATCACTTTAACGGTTTAAAACGCGATACGTCTCCACGTCTTTCATTTGTAATTGTAATTTTTTATCTCCCCGTGACCACGGCTGCTGCAAAGCATCCGAAACGTCGGGCTGTAGTTAAAAATAAATTTCAAACAAGTTTAACTAAAATATATCGCGTTTTAAACCGTTAAAGTTTTTTATTTTAAAAAATTGTTACACATCGCACAAAACACATATGCAATCGAACAACTATAATACAATCGAAGATAGGATACAAAAAATCACTAAGTAATTTATGTGTTCTATTAACTTAAATTTCACATTATTTCCTTGTTGCCAGCCGATTTCGAAAGGCATTGAGACTCAAAACATAAATATTTCATTGACCACCACTGAGTGCTAATTAAAATATTGTTATCTGTCTAGTGCTTGTTTTTTATTCTAAGTCGCGCGTTATCAACTTCGCAACTTAATTAACATAACATACAATGATAGTATATAACTTGAAATACAGCTAATATTTACCTAATTAATAAAGACTTATTAAAAAAAACACTAACTAGCTATTTAGAATATTTAATAAGCATAAAAGTTTATCCATGAATAGGCAATATATTGTTTTGGTACTTACTTTTAATTTAAAAAAGCCTAATTAAATCTATACTATTATTATAAACTAGCGGCCCGTCCCGGCTTCGCACGGGTAGACATATATAGGCATACAGATATTTAAATTATAAGCATGCTAATTAAAACGACCATGAATCACTAAATTAAAGAAAAATTGTATTGCGCGTCCTAGCTGTTAACGATAGGTGTCTGTCTCGCTGTGTCCCGTGCACGCGTTCGCGAATTCCTAGCTCCTTTTCCTTATTAGATTAGCGCGTTCAAACAAACAAACTCTTCAGCTTTATATATTAGTATAGATTATTCATCCTTGTGTGTTTCCATTGCGAACACTGAGAAAACGGTTCAAAATATCAAAAAAATAAGTATGAAAGACTTATTCCTCTCGAAATGATCTAAACAAAGGCCGCGACAGTATATGTCTATCTTTTAGATTAACTTGCAAGAACGACGGGACGCGGACGACATCGTGGCGAACAGCTCAAATTTATACAGTTGAAGAGGGGGTTTGCAAAAAGAAACATTGATATCCAAAACAGTTATTCTACGCGTACTCAGCTAGTATTATATATACACATCTCTATAATTATTTACATCACTAAAATATTTATTAATGACAAAGGTGATCGATTATTTTCTGTTGTAAATATAAAAATACTTAACTATAAATTATTATTTTTAATCTATAATTTAGAGAGCAATTGTATGTGGCTTGATAAACAAAGGAATCGTGATAAAATATCTTTCGAGTAAAGTTCCGTAACTTTTGTATGTCTTTAAGTGTCAACTATTCCACAATAATTGTAAACTAGGCGACACTGGTAGTCAAATTTGTTTTGTATTTCTTAAACTATTTTTATATTTATACTATTTGGATGATATATATATTGAATACGGAAAATACTTCGATAATAATATAATTTCTAAAGTAACTCTGTCTGTCTGTCCGGCTTTAACGCCGAAACTACTGAACTGATTTTAAATGAAATTTGGTACACAGATATTTTAAATCCTGAGAAGGGACATAGGCTACTACATCTTAATGCCAAAAAAGTGGTTAGGGGTTGAAAAAAAGGGAGAAAAGTTGTATGGAAATTCGTGGTATTTGAAGCTAGAACAACGAAACTTTCTTGCTTTGGTTTTTTGGTAATAAGAGTGGGATTGAGTGTAGATATGAAAGTGGAGGAGTGTTGGGGAAAAGTAACACTTACAACATAGATTGACTGCCTTAAATGCGCCCTTAAAAATTCTACCGCAAGTCACTATTCCACGCGGACGAAGTCGCGGGCACAGCTAGTTATGTATAATTGATATCAATGACCTACTAAAGTTTATTTTTTATAGTATGGGTTAAACATATGCCTATATATAGTAATTAATGTATGTAAGTTATTATATTAATTCTTTTAAATTATTTCCTTTCACAATGTTAATGCATCAATGAAATTAAATTTGATACAGTGCGATATATGTTTGAGTTTTATTCTCATGCATTTTAAGTAAAATATCGTGTTCACAGCATTTATGCAAATTTTATTAGGTTAATACCGTAGAAAGATTGATAAAAGAATTCCCACGAAACTTTTTATTTTAATTTGTTTTTGCCAAAAAAGCATTTAGGGCGGGTACCCATTATGGTGCAAATGTATTTTATTTCTGATAGCATAAGCATGTGGTTTACTTTATGGTACCTGAAAAACCTAGCTAGCCTAAACCTAGCTGGGAATTGGATATTCGGCACAGACTGAAACCAAAACGTGATTAAACTTTGACAGCATTTTCATGCAGATTTCCAGACGAAGTCCAACATGTTTATCCCGATGGGAATCGGACCCACGACCATTGATTACTAGCCTTTGCTTGGAGTTCTTCCTAAGATAAGGGGGGTGTCCTGTAGCACGTTAAGCTATCGATGGCGATAATTGTTAAGATTCTGTTCTGGCGATCGTTAACCCACACTGCTCGCCTAGTAACAGGGGTTCCTAAAGAGGGGGTGGGAGGGGTATGCGAAATGCTTGTGCCCAGCAGTGGGGAATCGATAGGCGAAGACAGTTTTTTTTAAACAATCATTATTGTATGTATGAAATAAAATATTCTTTTTTTTAGGTACAACATCAACGAATTACTGGGTCCTCGCGACTGACTACGAGTCATTTGCTTTTGTTTACTCTTGCACCAATATAAACGAATATGAGAGAAAGGGTATGTATTACAAATGGTCCCCTAGCCCCAGTCTTAATTTTCTCCTTAGTCTAAGTGATAACGTAATTTTGTTTGGTGTTTTAAATTTGTTTCGAAAAAGCGTTTTAGCTAAAGCGACTTTTTTTCTTTGAGCATCATTGTTTTAACGACATTTGCCATGTTGCAACAAAATTATAAAATCATTGCCATGTAATGTCAAAGATCGCCTCCGTAGCTTAATGGTTAAACGTTAGCATTGCTTAGCTGGGGGAGCGAACAATAGATTGTACTGAGACAGTCTCAGAAGCAGGGCACAGAAGTCTGATCAACTATTTGATCAACAACTTACTTAAAAAACCCATCAGTGAAACAGACTCAGAAATGTGTTTGCTACGTTCGTAGGTGAAACGGAATGTCACTTTTTTAAATATCAAACACAATAATAAGAAAAGATGAGATGAATGTGACCTTAGGATGGATAATTTAAAAATCTGTTAAAGTAAGACAATACCTTAAGGTGGTGTTCAATTTTTAGTTTTCGGTTGGAAGCTCAGCCGAACCAAACAACTACCGCCCAACGCTAATACAATAATCGAGGGTATAATGAACAACGTGCCCGTTCTGAGGCAACGTTACTTTGAAAAAAATGATCAAACTGGTGAGGGGTGCTTCTATTACCCAGCTGTGGAACCAGGAGTTCCTGTGGTATTCCCAGGACAATGTGACGAAAATATCCCGGTCATAAATAATTTTCAGGCAAATTTGGTAAGAAATTTTTCGATATATGAGGACACAATGCGCCGTTGACTTATTTTATTTAGCTATTAGAAAATCTGCAGTAAGAATCCGGAACGTGACTAAACTTAAGGCTTTTTCATCCGTAAACGAAGGCCAACGCCAATCGACCGAATTTCGGTATTTCAACCGACAATTAAACATCCACATTTCCAGATGAAAATAATAAATTCATTAGAAACATATGGACGTTGTGGATCCACGATCGTTAATTTCGTAAAAAAACATTATAAATACTTTAGCCCCCAGAAAAATAGGTTTTAGTCAAGATTAAGATTAGTATAAGTTCTTTATTTTAACCATAATCCAATTTAAAAAATACTTTTACCGTTAGCTATTTAAGCATCTCAGTTAGGTATGATATCATAAATAATAATAATAAATTGCATAATGTACACAAAAATGTACAATCTGGTTAGCGTGTAGCATCCTTTTTCAGTTTTCTGGTGATTGGTATGAAATCCAGGCATACCCCAAGGAATTTCAACCTGGACAATGTGTTAACCACAAATATACGTTGGCGGGTGGCGATTTGAACATTGAATCTTCTAGTGTCAATAATCAGTTCCTGATCACTTCTAATAGCACTTTGGTTACCAGTGGAACCAGCGGAAATCTCAGTATAATTACACCAGGACCCAACGATACTAGTAAGTATTTTAATTTAACAAAATTACTATAAACGTTATTTTTTAAACAAACTTCTTTCATTATTACATAAAAATATTTTCTCATTACAGCAATTACAATACCTTTCTGGATATTAAGCGTGGACTACCAAGATTATGCATTAGCCTACAGTTGTGTTAACTTAGTGGAAGATAAAAGAGCCAGTAAGAACTTTAATTTAAACTTAAGTTTAAATACAAATTTAAAAACGCAAAAAGATAAGAATTGATTCAGACAAATGTTAACATTTTTAACGTTCAGTTTACAGTTGGAAGTTAAGTAGGAGAAAGGAACTTTCCTCCGCAGCAAATACAGCTATTGATAATGCAATAGCAGACATTGTGGTGCTTGACAATAAATATTATGAACCTATCGATCAATCAGACAACGCCTGTTTCTACCTCCCAGACTTAGCACCTGGTGAGCCAGTTATATTGCTTGGCAAATGTGACTCAAATATCCAAGCTATCCAAAATTTCAACGTATCAGCAGTAAGCATAACTAATCGTGGCTACCCTCAGTTAAATTATAAACTATAAAATCTAAATATATAATTATTTGCTTCTTTGCAGTACTTGGGACGTTGGCGTCTTTTAGAAAGTTATCCAGCTGAACAGCAAAAGGGAACTTGCAATACCGCACAGTACTCTATTCAAGACAACGACAGTGTAAAGGTTGATAACTCACAAGTTGTGACCGAGGAGTTAGAGATTGTCACTGGCTCTGCTACGGCTGCAAGCGACGGTAGTGGAAAAATCACTGTCACTTTCCCAAACAGTAAGTTGCAATTAGTTTTATGATGTTTCTTAGTAATTTATATCGTGTATTTAATTTTTATTTCCTTTTAGGTCCAACGCCAGCTGACATTTGGGTGCTGGATACAGACTATACATCATATTCTCTGGTCTATGCCTGCAATGATTTACCAGACAACAAGAGAAGAGGTATTTTTTATACAGAGGTTTTCCTCATGTAGAAAAAATACTATTAAATAACTATTACCTTATAGTTTACAGTTGGAAGCTTAGTCGAGGCAAGGAACTTACAACTGAAGCTGTCTTGAATATAAACAAAGTTATAGAAAATGTCCAAGTGTTGAACAACAGGTATTATGAAAAGATCGATCATTCAGACGATGGATGTTTTTACTTCCCAGCTGCAGGCACTGACCCAGTTGTATTCCCTGGTCAGTGCGATGTAAATATTCCCGTCGTTACTACATTCAATGCATCTGAGGTGAGTACAATAATCGAAAGTAATTTTGAAATACAAATAAATTGTTTGTTGATTTAGAGTTTTAACGAATATATGTAAATGTCTTTTCGTAACTTCAAATGATGGTATCAATTTGACAACGAATCAGAGGTGGAATTATTTCATATAAAGACGCATTAATTAAATGTAATATAAATACGCTACTACTTCTGCATTTTTTTCGAAGTGACTTCAAATTAACTTTTGTGTTTTAGTATCTTGGTTTATGGCACAACATCGAATCTTATCCTTCTACCTTCCAAACTGGTACTTGTGGCAATGCGCTTTACTCTTCTGGCACTACAAGTGCTGTTGACGTCTACAACACCCAGGTTATTGATAGAAAACTCGACAGCATCCGAGGAACGGCTGATTTTGCTGAAGCAATAAATGTTGGGAAACTTACAGTCAGCTTCCCTATTGCAGGCACGAATCGTTAGTATTTTTTTTAATGTACCATTTCTAATTTTTTATCAAAGTTTTTTTTTATATTTATTTTAATGTACACAGGATCCACGTCAAGCAGTTACTGGATCTTAGCCACGGACTACGAAAATTATGCTCTTGTCTATTCATGCGTTAATTTGAATGAAGAAACTAGACGAGGTAATCATATATATACTTACAACTAATTAAACTACTCCACAACAATTTAAAAGTTTTAACATATTGGATATTCTACTTTAAATTTCAATTAATATGCTGAATATTCATTTGTAATTTTATATCGTGTTCTTAGGAGTAACTTAACATTTACTTATTATACCTTTAGGTTTCAAAAAAAAGGTAGCATTCTCGAAAAATAATTCTTTCATATTCTTAATTGTTTTATGATTATAGTAAAGTATTCTATACAAAATGAATGATTTCAATAATACAAAAATTACTCTCATTTTGTAGTATCAAGTTGGAAGTTAAGTAGAACAAAATCATTATCAAATGTAGCAACAAATGCAATTAACGCAGTAGTCGCCACAATACCAGTCCTTTCTGAAAGATACTACGCGAAGAACAATCAAAGTGCCGAAAGCTGTTTTTATTTCCCTGAACCTGAGCCTGGAAAGGTTGTAGAATTCCCAGGAAAATGTGATGACACAATCCAGGCGTACCCAAACTTTAACCTAACTCTTGTGAGTCTTTATTATCAAAAATAATTTTTACTGTATTTAAACTAGCTAAAGATAATGGTTAAAATATAAATTTACTAAATATTCATTTCTAGTTCGGTGGAACTTGGTATGAAATACAAGCATACCCTAAGGAACAACAGACAGGACAATGCATAAGACACGACTACTCAGTAGCAGGAAACGATGCTTTAAATCTTGTTTCGAGCAACGTCTTAAATGAAGCACTGAGAGAAACAAACAGCAACGTTAGGTTCGCTTCGGCGCAAGACACTAGTGGAAAGCTTATAATTCGCATCAACAGTGGTGGATCAGGTACAGCCGTAAACTTTGTTGTGTCCACTTGTCATCATTGTAGTATGTTATTAAATATGTATTTCATGTTCGTTTTTTGCAGAGGTCCAAATTCCGTTCTGGATACTTGACATTGACTACAGCGACTACGCTTTAGCATATTCCTGTGTTAATGTTGAAAACGACAGAAGAAGAGGTAATCTAACCCTAGACCTGACAATGAAGTGACAAAAGGTTTTCAACGACGATTTTCAATCTTGAATTATGTTGCAGTATTTAGTTGGAAACTCAGCAGATCAAAAACCTTGTCGAGTGCCGCTGCCATAGGCATTGACGCCGCTATTAAAGATATCGATGTTATTGACAACAAATATTACGAGGCCATCGATCAATCTGACTCCGCATGCTTCTATCTACCCGATATTTCCTTGGGAGAATCGGTCATCTTCCCAGGACAATGTGACGTCACTATCCCTGTGGTCCAGAACTTTAATGTTACTAGAGTACGTAATGATCCGTTATCTCTATACATAATTACATTTCGGCATATGTTCAATTCACGCTTCCGTATCATTTTAGTACGGAGGTCGATGGCGGATGATAGAAACCTACTATTCAGACTTCCAAAACGGAGAATGCAATGACGCTACTTATTCTTTACTAGAAGATGGTACAGTTTCGGCACTGAATACCCAAGTTATTGGAACAGAACTTGACTCAATAACTGGTAATGCAACACTCGCCAGTACCGATGGATCTGCAAAACTATTAGTTAGATTCCCGACAAGTAAGTTCTCATCCAAAGCCTTCGTAAACAAATCACTTATGAACACTAAAATTTCAAATATTACTTAACAAAAAAATGTTTTTCAGCAACTGAGGCTTCAGATTACTGGATTCTGGATACTGACTACGATACATACTCCCTGGTATACAGTTGTAGAAATCTTGATAATAACCGAAGAAGAGGTATGTATTTTTTAAGTAGTAGTAACTTTATTTTTTTGTGTTATCTTGATTTGTCACATTTTTTTGTTACAGTATGGAGTTGGAAACTCAGTCGATCAAAAGAATTGAGTACGGATGCTAACAACAAAATCAACACCATTATCAATAGCATCAACGTTTTAAACAGTAAATATTACAAAAAAATCGATCACTCCGATGATGCGTGCTTTTATCTTCCTACACCTGATGGAAAACCAGTAGTATTCAGAGGCCTCTGTGATGAGACAATACCCGTTGTCGCCAATTTCAGAGCTACTGATGTAAGTTTACTTTTTTTCCTTTAAATTTGCGATTTGTTCGAAGAAGGAATGCAATTTTTTGATAATAATATTATTTTTGCAGTATCTCAATTTATGGCACAACATAGAATCATATCCATCAGCTTTCCAAACCGGCACCTGTAACAATGCTTTCTATTCCCCCGGGACAACGACCGCCGTTGACGTGTACAACACACAAGTGATAAACAGAACGTTGGATTCCATCAGGGGAACAGCTGATATAGCTGAGAACGCCAATACTGGGAAGCTAGTTGTCAGCTTTCCTATTGCAGGCACCAATCGTAAGTAATAAAAAAATGTATATACACTAAGACGAAGACTCTTTTCTTCTACTTTTTGATCTATCTAGAAACTACCCTGTATATGTGTTAACGATTTCTTTCTGATTATTGTTTATCTAGTTGCAAATCGTGTAAAGCATATTAATTATAATATTCATACTAGACAAGTGTGAAAGTAGTACATACAATTCATGAAATGCCGAATTATCGCCACTTCCTCGATTTTGTTTAAAATTTGACAACCTGGCTCTTTATGTCAGGTCTTGCATATATAATATAAAAGATACGCGGACGACCCTCGCCGATGCCATATCTTGTCAGTCCAATATAATTTCTTAATTAAAGAGGATGTTATAAGCTTACAAGTGCAATAAAATGTGGAAAGTAGTAACGTTACAAGTGTAGTTAAAGTTTATTCTTCATATCCAAATGTAATAATTGTAATCGAAAATATTTCAATAAAAATTTTCAGCCTTAAAATAAATATCTTAAAAAAAATCTGAAACATCGTATGATGTGTGACCAAATGCGACTTTTCTATTTTAGTTACGACTTCAACTCCGTACTGGATATTAGGCACCGATTATACTTCCTATGCTCTGGTATACACTTGTATGAATTTAGACGAAGACTCCAGGAGAGGTAATATTTGTACAATTTAATATTATTTATAAAAGTAAGACAAGTCCATTAATATAAAAAGTATCAAGAACCTATCAGATTCTTCTTTAATCGTATAAAAACTTTACAGTATCAAGTTGGAAGCTAAGTAGGACAAAATCGTTAACATCTGAAGCAACAACTGCTATTAATACAATAGTCAACAGAATTCCAGTTCTCGATCAAAAATATTATGAAAAGAATGATCAAAGTGCTGAGGGTTGTTTTTACTTTCCCGAACCCGAGCCAGGAAAGGTTGTAGAATTTCCAGGAAAATGTGATGAGACAATTCAAGCGTACCCAAACTTTAATCTGACACTTGTAAGTTTATTGAGTTTACGGTTTCAATAAATTCGGTAGAAAGAAAAAGCACTTAATAAGTAAGTTCATAAAAAGTTGTTACAAATACTAATTTGTAACAACTTTTATGAAATAACTCACCAACTCTGTTTCGTGTTAAACGTATAATTTCATACCATACGTATACAATATAAGCAGCTTTACCCTTTACGATTTTTTTTTAATGTAATATTCAGGGAACATTTCTTCATAAATTACTATTAACAACTCATTTCTAGTTCGGTGGAACTTGGTATGAAATACAAGCATACCCTAAGGAACAACAGACAGGACAATGCATAAGACACGACTACTCAGTAGCAGGAAACGATGCTTTAAATCTTGTTTCGAGCAACGTCTTAAATGAAGCACTGAGAGAAACAAACAGCAACGTTAGGTTCGCTTCGGCGCAAGACACTAGTGGAAAGCTTATAATTAGCATCAACAGTGGTGGATCAGGTACAGCCGTAAACTTTATTGTGTCCACTTGTCATCATTGTAGTATGTTATTAAATATGTATTTCATGTTCGTTTTTTGCAGAGGTCCAAATTCCGTTCTGGATACTTGACATTGACTACAGCGACTACGCTTTAGCATATTCCTGTGTTAATGTTGAAAACGACAGAAGAAGAGGTAATCTAACCCTAGACCTGACAATGAAGTGACAAATGGTTTTCAACGACGATTTTCAATCTTGAATTATGTTGCAGTATTTAGTTGGAAGCTCAGCAGATCAAAAACCTTGTCGAGTGCCGCTGCCATAGGCATTGACGCCGCTATTAAAGATATCGATGTTATTGACAACAAATATTACGAGGCCATCGATCAATCTGACTTCGCGTGCTTCTATCTACCCGATATTCCCTTGGGAGAATCTGTCATCTTCCCAGGACAATGTGACGTCACTATCCCTGTGGTCCAAAACTTTAATGTTACTAGAGTACGTAATGATCCGTTATCTCTATACATAATTACATTTCGGCATATGTTCAATTCACGCTTCCGTATCATTTTAGTACGGAGGTCGATGGCGGATGATAGAAACCTACTATTCAGACTTCCAAAACGGAGAATGCAATGACGCTACTTATTCTTTACTAGAAGATGATACAGTTTCGGCACTGAATACCCAAGTTATTGGAACAGAACTTGACTCAATAACTGGTAATGCAACACTCGCCAGTACCGATGGATCTGCAAAACTTTTGGTTAGATTCCCGACAAGTAAGTTCTCATCCACAGCCTAAATTAACACTAAAATGGCAAACATTACTTAAGAAAAAAAATATTTTCAGCAACTGAGGCTTCAGATTACTGGATTTTGGATACTGACTACGATACATACTCCCTGGTATACAGTTGTAGAAATCTTGATAATAACCGACGAAGAGGTATGTAATTTTTAAGTAGTAGTAGCTTTATTTTTTTGTATTTTCTGGATGTAAAGATTTGCCACAATTTTTTTTTACAGTATGGAGTTGGAAACTCAGTCGATCAAAAGAATTGAGTACGGATGCTAACAACAAAATCAACACCATTATCAATAGCATCAACGTTTTAAACAGTAGATATTACAAAAAAATCGACCACTCCGATGATGCCTGCTTTTATCTCCCTGTACCTGATGGAAAACCAGTAATATTCAGAGGCCTCTGTGATGAGACAATACCCGTGGTCACTAATTTTAGAGCTACTGATGTAAGTTTACTTTTATTTATTTAGGATTGCGCCAAAAAATGTTCGATAAAAGCATGCTCGTGTTTAATAATAATTTATTGCTTGTAGTATCTCAATTTATGGCACAACATCGAATCATATCCATCGGCTTTCCAAACCGGCACCTGTAACAACGCTTTCTATTCCCCCGGAACAACGACCGCCGTTGACGTGTACAACACACAAGTGATAAACAGAACGTTGGATTCCATCAGAGGAACAGCTGATATAGCTAAGAGCGCCAATACTGGGAAGCTAATTGTCACCTTTCCTATCGCCGGCACCAATCGTGAGTAATAAAACTAGTAATACATTTTGAGATACTAATTTGGTCTTCGAGCTTCGTTCGTTCGTTCTTCGTGATTGAAAAATATGATGTCACGATTTGATGGCTATTTGAGGTGATGGTGAGTGATCTGCGACTTTTTTAATATAGAGGAGATTAGACAAGCATATAACATCTAAACAAGATGTGCTGTCGATCTATTTTGGCTTTGGATATTTGGAAATCCACAGCCTGGAACCGAAATGCGATTAAGCTTCACGCCTTTTTCATTTGTTTTGTTTGTGACCTGGACGGAAGTTTTTATATCTTTACACCCATTTAATATCCAGATGCTCAGACGAAGTCCAATATGTTTCAGCAAAATTATAAATTGAAAAATTAGAAACATGGTCCCGGTGGGGATCGAACCTACGACCCGTTGATTATAAGTCATCGCATCGCTACCATTAGACCAACGAGTTCGTCGAACTACCCAAAACTGCGACTAAGCAAAGCGATGTATCCAATTGTGGCAGTCCGTCGAGAACTATTTTTCAATCTCGTCAGTCGAATTTACGCCGTAGTATAAATTACTTATTGGTTGGAAACCTATGGTTTTCTGATTTTAAGTGTTATAATAGGGTAAAATGTTGCATTGCATTTCGTGATTTTATATTAGGTTATCTCTTTTTAGGTACCACTGCTACAGATTACTGGATCTTAGATACCGATTACACTTCTTATGCCCTCGTATACACCTGTAACAATTTGGAAGACGAAAGCAGAAGAGGTAAGATCATTACAAAACATATGAGCGTGTTAATTTATGTGCTTGTTAACCAAGTTCTATGTACTTTTTGTATCAATAAAAACTTTTGCTTTTATAAAGTATTTTATTATTTCAGTATCGAGTTGGAAGTTAAGTAGAACAAAAGTATTGTCATCTGAGGCTGCGAACAAAATTAACGCGGTCGTAGCTAGGATCCCAGTTCTGAATCAACAATACTACGAAAAGAATGACCAAAGTGACGAAGGCTGCTTCTACTTCCCTGATCCAGAGCCAGGGAAAGTTGTTGAATTCCCGGGACGATGTGACGAAAGTATTCAAGCGGAGCCAAACTTTAATTTAACATTGGTTAGTATATGTGATAATACTTGCTTTTACTTACAACCCACCTTTACGTAACACATGAAAGGTAAACAATGTTATAATATACTAATGATCATTAAAATTGTGATTGCTACGTTCATCAATCTGTGCCTGTGTCCACCTTTGAAAATGTTACATTTTTAACCGCCTTAAAATAAAGCGGTTCTTATTACAGTATACATTTTTCAATGCTTCTTATTTAAAAAGTAGATGTTATACAGTAGACGACATGCAATAATATTTTACCTGGCACCGAATTAAAAATAATATAAAAAAAATATTTATTAAATTTCTAATCAAAGTATTTTTATTTAGTTTACTCTATCAAGTCGGTAACGTTCTGTAAAAAATAATTTTATTATATCTTATATATAACTTTTACTTCTAGTTCCGAGGAACGTGGTATGAAATACAAGCATACCCGAAGGAACAACAGACAGGCCAATGCATAAGACACGACTACTCAGTAGCAGGAAGCAATACTTTAGACCTTGTTTCGAGTAACGTCTTGAATGAAGCACTGAGAGAAACAAACAGCAACGTTAGGTTCGCTTCGGCGCAAGACACTAGTGGAAAGCTTATAATTCGCATTAACAGTGGTGGATCAGGTACACTTTGTAAACTTTGTTATAAATATACCGTCCATTCGTCATCATTGTAGTATGCTATTAATTATGTATAGATATGGTTCTTATTTGTTGTGTTTTGCAGAGGTCCAAATTCCATTCTGGGTACTCGACACTGACTACAACGACTATGCTCTAGCATACTCCTGTGTTAATGTTGAAAACGACAGAAGAAGAGGTAATTCAACTTCAAGACCTCACTTTTCATTAAAATAAACTATGTGTCTTATTGGAAAATAATTTTTCAGTATTCAGTTGGAAACTAAGTCGTTCAAAGATTTTATCGGCTGAAGGTGACAGAGCAATATCGGACGCAATGCAAAATATCGATGTTATCGACAAACGATACTTTGAGAATATCGATCAATCCGATTCTGCATGTTTCTATTTACCGGACGTTCCTATGGGATCACCAGTTGTTTTTCCAGGACAATGTGACCTTAATATACCAGTCGTCCGGGATTTCAACGTTACTGCGGTAAATAAATAATTAAATTACATAGTTTTATATCATGTAAAATACGTAGAGTATAGCAAATTAAAGGTTAGTTTTGTTAACTAAAATTATTATATTTTTATTATAGGGAAATACTTTTGAATCTGTATGCTAGTAGTACACTGTTTCCAACTGGCCGATACGCAATATATTTTGAATACACATACATATTGCTTTTATATGTGTTAAAACTTTTTATTCATACATCGTTTTGTATTTTAGTACGGTGGGCGTTGGCGTATGATTGAAACGTACGCCTCAGAATTCCAAATAGGTGAATGTAATGATGCTACTTACACATTACTCGATGATGGTTCGGTATTGGTATTAAACACTCAAGTTATCAACCAAGATTTAGATACAATCACTGGCAATGCGACGCTAGGAAGCGATGATGGATCTGCCAAACTCTTTGTCAAATTCCCAACAAGTAAGTTTGAATAAAGTATTACTACATAATGTTTCCTTTGCAAATTAACATTGGAATTTTTTAAAAAATCATCTTATTTCAGCCATACAGACCGCAGATTATTGGGTTCTTGATACTGATTACACTTCATACGCCCTTGTCTACAGCTGTAGAAACCTTGATGATAATCGCAGAAGAGGTAAATTGCTTATAATATTTGCGTTTTATTTTGGTTATTATTAAATTTACTTTAATTATTACTATATTTATAATTAAAATACTATAAATTAATCTCTTACATTTCAGTATGGAGCTGGAAACTGAGTAGATCCACTGAACTTAGCGGTGTTGCCAACAATAATATCAATGCTATCATTAATAATATTAATGTATTAAATAGCAAATACTTTAAGAAAATAGATCATTCTGATAAGGAATGTTTCTATTATCCTATACCTGACGGCAAACCAGTATTATACAGAGGACAGTGTGATGAAACTATATCAGTCATTAACAACTTTAATGCTGCGAATGTAGGAACATACTCGCTTTATTTTTTATCGTTGGACTATCAGGATCCTCAATCCAAACAAACCTTTTGTTCTTTTTGTTTGAATCACTAATTTTATCTAGCCTCTATTAAGAGACAATAACTACATATAATTCCTTTCAGTACTTAGGAACTTGGTACGATATCGAGAGTTATCCTACCAACTACCAATTTGGTACCTGCCCTACTGCTAGGTACACTCTTAACGGCGACCGAGTGGATGTGTTTAACACAGAGGTCATAAACCAACGCCTTTCCACTGTTAATGGTGTAGCAGTGCCATATCCTGATGGATCATCCAGACTGACGGTTTCCTTCCCCATACCAGGAACGCAGGGTAAGTAGGTTACTTAGTGTGCAGTGCAGTTACATAGTTTTGTATTATATAAAAAACCTGCTAAATTAAAAAACATTACCTACAGTTAATTTTAAATAGCTTTTGGAAATGGTATGTTAAGTAAACCACCACTTCTCATGAGAATTCATGAGAAGTGGTGGTGAATACAAACGCATACATATGAAATATCATCTCCATGTGCTATGAAATTCTGCTCAAAAAGGAATACTGGCTTGATGAGTAAAAAAACAAATTAAAATTCTTTCTACGTCATTTCAGAGTCAACAAGTACCCCATACTGGGTACTCGATACTGACTACAGAAACTATGCTTTGGTGTACTCCTGCGTAAATGATGGTTCCGAACATAGAAAAGGTAAATATTACATGCATATTGTAAATATGACATGAAATTTTGAACCCAACTAATTTAATCTTTACTTTCAGTATCAAGTTGGAAACTCAGTCGTCAAAAGACTTTGAGCCCTGCGTCCATTGCAGCAATTAACATCGCCATGGGCAAAGTAGATGTTATCGATGAAAGGTATTTCAATGTGCGAAATCATACCGATGAGATGTGCTTCTTCTACCCTGAGAACAATGGAGGTCCTGTCGAATTGGATGGAGAGTGTGCAACTGACTCTATAGCAATCAGCAATTTCGACGTTGAAGCGGTAAGATAATTGGTCACGGCGCCAGCCCTACGTGTAGAGTTTTCAATTTTTCTATCCCAGATGCATTACTGCATCCACTCCACTGATCTTATTCATTTTTAGGCAAATAAATAAACTGTAGGATCTAACCAAAACTTTAGCTAGTACTAGAAAATCTGAGCTCCCAATACTTAGAAAACAATTTGTAAAGAACGATGACGAACGTGAATTTATTTAAGATACAATATTTCTTCGACCTGAAATTATTATTCGGGAAGGAAATAGAATTCACTATTGTAATCGTCTCTATCCTAACGAACGGAAACAATTTTTACAGTTTTTCGAAGCCTTCTCGAAAGACTATTCGTGATTAACAAAGACCACCCGAATTACCACTGAGCCTCGGATGGTATTTTTAAAATTATCAGGTTTCGACCATATTTAATTACCCATTTTTTCACGTATCCCTCTGTTTCTTTGCTCTTATTAGTTGCAGCCTGATGTTTTATAGTCTAATGTCTTCATCGATTAATGCTCTAACACAAAAGTTATTTTTCCTTTTCGAACTAATAGTTTCAGGGATTAGCGCGGTCAGACAAAGAAACTCTTCGACTTTATAATATAGTACATTAATTGTACACCTTATATTATTTTATAATATGGCCACAATTTTACTATGGAAAATATTATCTACTCATCACCTAACTTTATTGTTATAGTTTAATGGTGCATGGTACGAAGTATCCCGCTACCCATCAGAATTAGTATCCGGCCAATGTGTATCTAACGAGTTTGTTGCCTCAAACCAAAACGCTTTTACTATGAAGAAATCATATGTTTCCGATGAGGCCCTGCTAGAGGTAACTGGTACGGCTACTGTTGCCACTGATGGAAGAGGAATTCTCAATGTACGACTAACTGAAGGAAGCGGTGGTAAGCAGTTTTGATGCCTTGCATTGAAAGATTGAGCTGAAGCTGAAATTTAAATATTGATCAATTTTTAGCCGATGATTTATTAATTTGTTTCTTTTCCCTGTTACGCAGCCTCCTTTGAAACTACTATGTATGTTATGGATGTTAATTACACCGACTACGCTTTACTATACGGGTGTAGAAGTCTTGGAAATGGAAAGAAGCAAAGTAAGTAATAAAGTAGATTAAAAGTATGAGAATAAGAGTTGTACTTAAAAAAACTTTCTCTCTAAAACTATATTTATTAAACTTATTATAAATCGGTATTTGGACTTAATATAAAAAAAAAATATGTCCTTGTCACAGTTTACAGTTGGAAACTCAGTAGAAGTCAAGAAGGTCTATCTCCTGAAGCAGAAAACAATATACAGAGTATTGTAACGGAGACGAAGGATCTGTGGGAAGGGTATTATGAAATAACTGATCAGACTTACAAAGGCTGCTTCCACTACCCTGAATTCGATGAGACACCTGATGTAATTGAATTAATAGGCCCATGCGATGAAACAATTAAAGGAGTTGCTAATTTCAATGCATCAGCGGTATGTTGAGATATTTTTATAAATATATTACAAACCTCAAAACTTTTGATATTAAGAAATTTTAGTAGAGTGGAAGCTCGTATAAATTGTTTAATAGATTGCGATAATAGAATACCCATGGCAGCATTCGCATAATATTAAAAACTATTTTAACTATATTTTTCCATTGATCTAATTTATAGTATTTGGGTAAATGGTATGAATTGGCGAGCTACCCTCAACGATTCCAAAATGGCGAATGTTCCCGCGCTTACTACAGCACAGACAATGGTGCCGTTGTCAATGTTATGAACACGCAAGTAGTCAATCGCACTTTAGACGTTGCGTATGCTACCGCAACGGTGGCATCAAACGACGGCAGTGGAGTTCTAGACGTCACTTTTACAATGCCTGGTATGTCTTTTACACAGCTTTTAATTTTGTATAAACTAAATAAGATTAAAATATATTTAACATTCAAATTTTTCTTCTTTCTCCCATAGTATCTACTACTTCGAACTATTACATTCTTGCAACGGACTACACGAGATATGCTCTTGTATACAGCTGCAGAAATTTGGACAACCGAAGAAGACAAGGTATTACATTTTGAAAGTGAACAATTTTGAGGAAACAATGTTTCTTTTATTATAACAATCTTCTCTTCTGTCAGTCGGTAGCTGGAAGTTAAGCAGGGACAAGACATTGAGCTCCGATGCCGAAACTATTATGAATGATGTTATTAACAAGACGCAAGGACTAAATCCAAATTATTATATACCAACTAGCCAATCGGAGGATTCTTGTTTTTATGTGCCGGATGCAGATAAAAACGAGGCGCCCACGTTTAGAGGACAGTGCCAAGATGTTAGTGGCGTGCAAGGGTTTAATACAGCAAGGGTAAGATATGATTATATAGAGAGGTTCGTCTGTAACTTAAAATTGCTAAAAAATGCAATTGGACGATGGTTGCATCTCACATGGAAAATGTAAATTACAAACATGATTTTTTACAGTTCTTAGGCTGGTGGCATGAAATTGAAAATTATCCTACTGGCACAGACACTGGATCTTGCATCAGTTCAGATTTCCTTCCGTCTGGAAACTCTTATCAAGTCGTTGACACCAGCGTCCGTAATAATAGCGCAAGTGTTATCACGAGTGCAGTAACTTTCACCAATGATGGAAAAATAAGAAAGACATTAAGCGATGGAAAAGTTATCGGTAAGTAATTCAATTGTTTTAGTTTTTTATCAGGATATAACTAATAAAAAGCTAAAATTAAAAATTATAACGATGTTTATAGTTAGGATTTGATTAATAAGTACGTTTTTGTCTTTTCCTTCTTAGATATTTTGGTGCTTGCAACGGATTACGATTCTTTCGCCTTATTGTACACATGTGAAAATATTAACACGGACTACAAGCGTGGTAAGCAATTTTTATAGCTTCTACATTGTAAGACATTATAAATTTATTGCAGATGTTTATAGATAGCTGTATTTAGGTAAAGTAATGTTATTCTTTATACCTTTAATATTGCCCAATATGTTTGGGTATCTACTCTTTTTAATTAATATTCCACGTATAAAAATTACAAACACATATAAAACAAACTTTGGATTACTTCTAATTATGCTTCTTAAGTGGTGATGCCGTCCTAAATCTATTCTATCCATATTATAAATGGGAGAGTCGACAGACTAGATATGTATGTATAAATTATTTAAATTAATTGTAAAGATTATTAATTGTCTATACAATAATATTTTAGTATGGAGTGCAAAATACAGCAGAACTCGGGAGTTAACGCAGCATGCGCAAAGTATTATCGACTCTTATATGAACAACAACAGAGTTTTGGAGCCAAAGTTTTATTTCTTAGTAGACCAGAGCGATTCAGTCTGTTTCCATTACCCGGAGATTTCAGGAGACCAGGTCATACTGCCTGGACAGTGTGATACAAATATACCTGTTAAAAAACAATTTGATCCTGCCCAGGTAATAATTGATTATGGCTATGTAACAGAAAAACCGGTTGAAGTTTTTATGCCTTGTTAGGCGACTTAAGAAATCTTTATAATACAATTCGTATTTTATTTGAAAAATATCGTGAAAATTAAACGTGAATTTAATTAAAATGACTAACGCTATTTCAGTACTCTGGAACGTGGTACCAAATAGAAAGATATCCACAGCGCTTTGAAAGTGGAAACTGTACAGGAGCACGATACAGATTGAACACAGGAACCGGTGTTGTGACTGTTTTGAACTGGCAGGTGATAGATGGAGTGCTGGATTCTGTAGAGGGTACAGCTACCGTTAATTCTACGGATGGAAGTGCTAAATTAATTGTTAATTTACCAGTACGAGGCACGGACGGTAAGTAATAGCATCTGCGTCGAAGCCATTGCAACTTTATTTCGCGAACATACACTGTTGCGTACCATTAAATGAATATTAATATTCGATGATTCTGACCCGTTAATTAAATTTGAGCTGATGCCACGTCTCCATCCCTTTCTTGAATAAAAAAGCATAACGTCGGGATTTTTTGATCGTCTAAAGAGGAATAATTCTTACATACATTATTTTTGGGCATCTTGAACCGCACCGCAGCGTATGCAATGGCAAGTGGAAACTACAAGGATGAAAAGTTTTCCCCGTTTTTTCGACATTCCTGCTGTTTCTTCGCTTCTACTAATTAGCCTTCCTCAATAAATACTCTAACTAACAAAAAAAAAACTATTCGAACCAGAAGTTCCTAAGATTAGCGAGTTGAAACGAACAAACTCTTCAGCTTTATAAATTTGTATAGATTAAATACCAATTTTAAATAGTTGTAAATATTCGTAAAATGTTTATTTTGTCGTTTTGTCAGTGTTGTTACGGTGACCCCCCCCCCTGCCCCCTTAAAGTTAGGATGTGTACATACAAAGGTTAGAATGCCACGTCGACTTTTATTTTACCATATTAACTTGAATGACCTTATTTCATTTTACCTGATCTCCATATTCAAGATAGAATGTTTATTAAAAAAATATGTACAGACAATTTTCTTTTTACAGATCCTGAGCCGCAAATGGTTTCGATGGAGCTGTTTGTTTTGGACACGGATTATATCTCATACTCTTTGGCCTACAGTTGCGTTAATGACGGTCATTATCGTAGAGCAGGTAATTTTTTATGATTTCTACGTATAATTTCTATTAGGAGCTCAATAGTACATCAAGAAACCATTAAATCTTGTTGTGGACGAAATTCCGACTAACAAACCATAACCGGATGAAATTGGTATCAAACCTAACGTTCGTCACTTTAATAGGGGTGGTTTTAATTAAAAGAAAACCTTTGCTAATTCTTTAATTACTTATTGATGATATATGTTTTTGACAGTTGGCGTTTGGAAATTGAGTCGAACAAGGTCATTAACTGAAGCTGGCAACACTGCTATCAACACGTATACTGCGGGTCGAGAAGAATTTAACGACAAATATTACCTCAAAATAGGGCAAAATGAGACATGCCCAGAACCAAGTTCCGGTGTTTTAGCAAAAAGCAGTATTATAGTATTAATAATTAGTATCGCGCTGTCTAAACTGTTTTGATAATAGTTGAAGACTGTTGTCATTGAAAATAGTAGCTAGTAGTAGCATTTTAAATTATTAAAAATGATTGCTATCCGCGCCCAGATCGGGTTATATTATAAACAGCTGTGTCCCTTGTTAGCTTGCACGATTTAAAGATAGATAGCGTTTGATTAATTTTGTAACACCACAATGTAAGCTTGTTACTGAAATGTTACCTCCAGTTTTATTTATAATTTATGTCAATAAAAACCCTAATAAGGCTAAGTATTATTAATAAATGTATGAAACTGTTATCACTTAATAATTTATAAATTCTATTATGTTTATCACCTTGGTTACCTGCAAAATAAATAGCATTTATATGAGTAATTACTTTTAAGTAATGATGGTAAAACTTTTTTTAATGGTTTTTTCCTGTAAACTTTTATGTTGACATTTTTAATATTTGTGTTTACTTACCTTAAAAACCTAATTGGGCCAAAATTACTTTGGCCACGTTTGCTATTCACTGCTTAGTGAAGTAATTTAGACCATTAGGTAAAGTTTTAAATTTGTTACAGCAAATGACTAGTATATACAATATATATATAATACTTTCCTCATTCGTTTCCTTCTCATTAGAACAAGCTAATTTACTTAAAATATTAAGGATAAAAGTTGAGAAAAACGTAATCAATTGACTTAACTCCTGAATTCCTTGTTCATTATAAAGAAATGTTTGTTCTGTTTTTCCGTTCGCATATGAAACATTTTAAATACTGTGATTTTTCTTAATGCCATTGGTTCAAAAAATAAAATGAAAATAAAAATAATAATTTATACTATCACACCTTCTCATTGCCCATTCAGAAAGGGAAACTGGAAAGCCATAAAAATATGAAGAAGAACAATACTTAAATTCTTAAAGACCCTTGTTGTTGTCAGATGTCACACCGGTAGTAAATCAAATTGTCATGGATACCTGACAATTAACTGCTTTAAATTTATTCATTCAATCTTTCAGCTGTCATTTTAATTTTCGTTCACAAATAATAGATCATGTCAAAATATAATTTGATTTTGAGGTATCACTCAAGTATTACTTTTTAATATTTCACAATCATCTATCAAATTAATTTTTCATATAGATAATGCGGTTATAATACTAAATGGATGTAGAAAACTTAATGATTTTTTTATGATTAAGTTCTCATACACTGTTCAAGGACTATAAGAATTAGGGTTAAGTTTGTTATCAATAATTAAACTATGGCTGAAAACGAGGAGCTCACCGGACCAGTGTCTCAAGAAGACCTAGACGCAGCAGAAAAATATAAAAATGAGGCGAATGACTATTTTAAAAGTAAGTACCCCTTGTTATTTCATAATACAATGCAAAAATTAAGATCCCACTCGTCATAGAGTTACATTTGTTTGTTAATCTTTATAACCTCTTACAGAGCAAAATTACATAAATGCAATTGAGTTGTACACCAAGGCGATAGAGAAGAATCCTAAAAATGCTATATATTATGCAAATAGGAGTATAGCTAATTTAAAGTTGGAGAATTTTGGTTATGCCTTGAATGATGCTACAAAGGCGATTTGCTTGGACAATACTTACACCAAGGCCTTCTACAGGCGAGCTGCTGCAAATATGTCTTTAGGGAAATACAAACAAGCCCTCATGGATTTTCAATATGTAAGTGTTGTAAATATTATGCTGGCTTATAAATTAATTTGTGGCTTGTATGGAGCTAGTGAGAAACCACTTTAAGGAGCATTCTTAAATTTTGTTGTTTCTAAAATTCCAGACTAATTTATGAATAGAATATTTAAAATACTAAAGCAGTTGCTTAAAAACATATATATATTTGATATACATTAGGTTAGCATTATTGACCTATATAAGGAAGGTATTTCAACTCAATCTGCTCAATAGGTATATAAATGCAATCTGCATAATAAATGCAGAAGTCTAAAAAACTATAAAATACCCAAAGTACTTTAACTTTGGTTTTAATTTCTATTATAAAAGCTTTTTCTATTATAGTAATAAGGATTGCTATGCCTTGCTATTAACCTAATTAACCTCTTCTAAGCTTCAACCTGTAAAATAAATTGAATGTTTAAAGATTTTTTGATATTACTGATACAAATCTCTTTTTTAGGTAACCAAAGTAAGGCCAAATGACCAGGATGCAAAGATGAAATACAATGAATGTAATAAGATAGTAAAGAAAATTGCTTTTGAAAAAGCTATAGCTGTAGAAAAAAAAGAAGTTAATATAGCTGATTCTATTGATTTGGATGCTATGAGTAAGTATTCTTGTCACAGTCACAGTGACTGTAACTTGATGATTATAAGCATTGTTGTAGATGGGAGAGGTCATAGGTTTGAATCATGGGAAACTCAGTTTGGCTCAGATACCCTATGTAGATAAATATGTTGTCTTTGTTCACAATCTAATTATACATAAAGTTTTATCGGTTATTGGTTTGACATCTAAATGTTTTTTTTAGCAATTGAAGACGATTACGTAGGCCCCTGTCTTGAAGATGGTAAGGTAACACTCAAGTTTGTGACAGACCTCATGAAATTCTATGAAAATCAGAAAAGGCTTCACAGGAAATATGCATATAAGGTATGAAGATGATTATTTTTTGGACCTTCTTCTATGTCACCATTGTCGACAAGGCAACAATAGTTCAGACTTAAATGTTTGTTTTTTCCAGATATTAATAGATGTTAAGAACTATCTGCAAAAGCAGGCATCTTTAGTTGATATCAAGGTTCCTGATGACAGAAAGTTTACAGTGTGTGGAGATATTCATGGGCAGTACTATGACTTGATGAATATCTTCAAGCTCAATGGACTTCCGTCAGAGAATAATCCATACCTTTTCAATGGAGACTTTGTTGATCGTGGCTCGTTCAGTGTTGAATGTATATTTACACTGTTCAGTTTTAAATTGTTGTATCCAGATCACTTCTTCATGTCAAGGGGTGAGTTTATTATACATACATATTTTAGTATCTTTTTAGAATACTAAGTGTCTATTGCTTTATAGAATTAAATAGAAAAAAAGAACACGAATATTTTAAATTATGAATAATGTGCCTTTTAACATTTTTTATTGCACAACCTTTGTGGCTCAGTGTAAATGCACTGCCTAGCATTATGTTTACTTAATTTATACCAGACTTCAATATTATATATTAATAGTAAAAAATTTTGGACTTGACTGATTAAAAACCATTTCTTAATTAACTATTAAAATTGCAGGAAACCATGAAACACTAGACATGAACAGGGTATATGGCTTCCGAGGTGAAGTGACACACAAGTACTCCTCCCAAATGGCAGATTTGTTTACCGAGGTGTATCACTGGCTGCCTCTTGCGCATTGTATCAATTCGCGGGTGCTCGTGATGCACGGTGGCCTCTTCTCTAAAGATGACATCACGCTGGATGATATACGCAAGGTCGAGAGGAACAAGGAACCACCAGAAGATGGTAAGTTTTGTAGTGGTAATTGAACATATTAAATTCGTCTACTATAAATATTTAGATACCTTCATCACAAGCTTTTCTGTGAATAAATAATTACTTTAAAAAATCAAATATTGTGTTACAAACTTAGACATTTATTACTTAATTTTATACATTTTATACCTAACCGTTTTTTTTTTTCAACTACGACGTTTTATATTTAACTAAACTATTCTGTGTTTTGAACTGTTTAAAGTGTTTTATTTAAATATGTCATTGAATGTTCTGCAAAATGGCCCTAGCTTTATTTCTCTTCAAGATATATATAACTCAAATATCAAACCCTACTTTTCAAGTACGAAATTCTTATGTGTATATATTATGTGTTTATGAAAAATACATTTAAAAATAGCCAAAAATAATTGAAATGTAATGTGTACACTATTTATAAAACAAAATAATGAAAACTGACCTTTGCTCGCATTATCTACATTTTTTTTGTGCACAACGGTACGGTAACCTTTCGCAAATTTTTACGTAAGGCATAATGCAATTACTAAATTTGTTTATCTTTTCAGGTATAATGTGTGAGTTGCTCTGGTCGGACCCACAACCGTTGGAGGGTCGCGCGCCGTCCAAGCGAGGTGTAGGGTGTCAGTTCGGCCCTGATGTGACTGCTGCGTTCCTCCAACGTAACAAGTTGGACTACATCATACGAAGTCACGAAGTCAAGAACGAAGGCTATGAAATTGCGCACGACGGAAAGTGTATCACGGTCTTTTCCGCCCCCAATTATTGGTAAATATCGTTTAGATATTATATATAGACTTGTATGAACGTTGATCGTTCGACTGTGGTTGACGCGAGTAGTACACATTTTAATAAGACACTTTTATACTACGAACTGACGTGACTCCTGCAAAAAATCCGAAACGTCGGGTCGCAGTTAATATAAATTAAAAGTAGTTCTAATCTCCTAGTTTAAAACTATCACATTTTAAAATTCAAAACGGTATATACGTTGTGGGTTCGAGCCCTGCCAAAATCATACATATAATATAATCATACATAATTGTTTACAGCCTCTGTACCTTATTGATTAAACATGTCGCCTAGCTTTGCTTGAAGCTCGACAGCTCCCGGGTTCAAATCCGGCGGAAACAATAGAATGTTTCGATCGGGCAGGGCACAGAAGTCTAATCAAATACTTTCCTGTAAATAAGAACGATCATTGAAACCGACACAGAAATGTGTTTGCCCCATCCCCATAATCTCAATCATGTTTTGATTGTTCTAGTGACACCATGGGCAACTTGGGAGCATTCATCACAATGAACGGAAAGGACCTCAAGCCGAAGTTTACTACATACGAAGCTGTTGTAAGTTGATTCTCTATTTGAGTTCACATCGCTGTTAAAATAGCTTTATTACAATTCCTTCTATTGAGGTGTAGGATTCAGGCTTTAATCTACTACAAGTCCGCTAGGTAGACAATTTAAATTTTCACAATGTGTAGAACTATTAACAAGTGTAACAATTTTTGTCCTATTTGTTGATCAAAAATGGCTATGACCAGACTTGGAATACCCAATTCTAAGTTGTATTGTATTAATATTATTTATGATAGAGCAATACAGGCAAACACAGGGTTTACTTGATGTAAAATACCCAAAGTCATTCTAAACAAGATACGCAATACGAATTTTGGCTTAAATTCGCAAATCCACTGACTGAATCCCAAACGCCGTTAAACTTCATGACCTGGGATGGATTTTCGATATTTCTACCACCCATTTAATATTCAGATTTCCAGACCAAAACCAACATGTTACAAACTTCTTAATTGTATTAACTGGTGGGGCTTGAACCCACGACCCATTGATTATTACTAAGACTTCCTTTATATAATCAGGTAGGGGAAGGGGTGCTTCTGAATAAAACCTTTTAATTTTATATATTAGATATCACAGTATTTTATAATTTTTAACATCAACACTTTTCCTTTTCAGCCTCACCCGGACGTCAAAGCCATGGCGTACGCAAATTCAATGCTCAGCATGTTCTATTGAATACCCTTTAGACAACATGATAGAAAATATCGATCAATTTATTAGCGGCCTTAATATTTTTTAAACATTGTTAGTACCGGGCTGGATTCAAACATTATGGTTGTTTATAAAAATCACAGTTTTAATCTTTTATGTAATTCGGGATTTTGCGGTTATAACGATTAATATTATGTTAAGCACATAGTAACACAATTAGTAAATTAATTTTTACAATGTCGCGAATTATTTTTTAAACGAATTTCAACTATACTACAATTCATTTCAACTAGCGTGTCGTGTACAATTCGCCTCTGAACTGTTCCTTCTGATGGCTGTTCACAAATCAATAGACTCGGCATTTTTATCCCTATAGAAAAGTGTCACTAAAAGAAGATATCATATAGAAATAAACGTGACTGGCTCCGTAATAAAGCCTCCTTCAAAAATAAGATCACCTGGGCCCATTTATTGTAAATCGTGTCAAAGATTCTGTAGCTAAATGGTTAAACGTGTTGCATTGCGTTTAGCGCGAGAAGTCCTAAGTTCGAATCCCGGGGAATTGATAGATTATTTCGATCGGGCTGGGGTCAAAAGTCAGATTAATTATTTGCATATAAATAAAACCGACTAGTGAAACGGACACAGAAATGTGTTCACCCCACGGAATTCACAAATTCTATGTCATGATATAAAGCGGCAATGCTAGGTTTAAACCTAGAACACACTACGTTGAACCACATAAATAAATTAGAAATAATAAAACGGCATTTAAAAAGAAATACGTAAATACCAGATGGTTTTTTATTCTTCTAATCTATACTTAACTCGGGTTTAGACAATATCAATTAATTATATCAAACTACTACTATGATTATAGCTATGTTATTTTTTCATTTTCATGCAAATAGAGGGGTCTGGCATCCTACAACCATAGATAAAGGTATTATAAGCAGCGACACTCGACACTGCTGTTACTTAATTTATCTTGCTGAAAGCTATTATGTAGCTAGTATTAAAAAATAAAAAAATGATTTACACACTCGATTTTAGCATACCGTTATCGGTTTGGTAAGCCGTAGATAAATATAGTGAATTCGCTATGAATGCCGCAGTATTTATTGAACAATAATAACTTTTACATTATACTAAAATTAATACAGTGTGTCTGATGATGAGAGGAAATGGCGTGTTTGCAAGTTCTATTCAATACTAGTAATTTAATTAGGTACCCAGTTACTTTAAAAGGACTACTATTTAAATCAAATGAGGTCAGGTTTTAATTTAATTTGTTTTTTTTTGTACATAAGAATGCTATTGTACGCGACTGCATTTTTGTACTTCTAAGTTTTTAATGTTGCCATTATTTAATTTTAATATTGATGCAATAAAGTCTTTTTTTCAATTCAAAGTGTTTTTACATTTTATATGTACGTGCTCCTTACTGTAGCTCTAATTAAACACGTTAATAATGTTTACTTTTTATTCATGTATTTACATTTATGATTATTCTCGTCTTTGGTATGTGTTCTGGCAACTCTTATTTATTGCCTATGTATTTAACTATCATTTAATGCAAATTCTGTTTTCGGTTCCAACTTATATGATTTATATTATATACATAGTCAAATCACTTTAATATTAAGTAAACTTATGCAATAATTAAACGAATTTTTGTGACCAAGATTCATAAACTAGCTTTACAGTAGTGTAAATCTGAATGTAATATCATTGAATCCTCTAGGATAAGAGCATTTATTCTGTTCTCAAAGATTGTGTAGCATTTTCGTTAGTTATTTTGGTGCTTCATACTGGAATAAGTATGTACTTCATTATAGTTATTAAACGATTAGATGGCGATAAGTGCGATTGTATGAGAATTACTAGAGTTGCCAAGCATATCAGATCGAAATATTATGTAGATAGGGTTTGGTGTTGACATAATAAATTGTTAAATTTGTAATATTTTTTTATTGATGACATGTTTTTCAAGGCCTTATTCTACACCCCAGAAGAATTTTGACGTCCCATAGATATACAATGCAATAAGTATTTAAATTATATAATATTATCTATGGCATTTAAAAAATAGTAAATAATTTGTTGCTGGCTAGTAAGTATATTTTTTCTTACTTGGCTCATGACCACAACAAATATAGCCGATTTCAAACCATAGAGAACAAGTATTTTTAACTTTAGCTTGAATGTGAAGTTTTTACTAAGTGAATTTGAGGTAGTTCATTAGTTTAATATATAATTCAGTGTTTTTAGTGTAATTCAATATAAACGTGAGAAAATTTCAGGCAAATTGTTTTTGTTTATCGAAAACGCCAAGTAAGAAAAATACACTATAGGTATTATTATTATAAAAAACCGCAAATTAACATTAAATTGTATTTATTCTACGGTATAATCTGTGTGATAATTTTGACAACTGTATTACGATCTAGTCTACATTTGGAGTAACGTTGATGACAATCTGTATCCAAGGAGCGGCCCGCGTTCATAGCCTCGTAAATAGAAGTGCCTTCAAACATTCGCTGCACCAGGGAGTTGCTGAAACATGATATTCGTTTTATATAGAGCATAACGAAATTTTTTCACAAAAAAATATTTCTCTTAGTATCATTCCTCAATGTGGCATACACAAGATGACAGCTACCATTAAATCAAATTTTATCAAAACCAAGCCGTGTTAACGTTCGATAAGATTCTAGAAGAAGAAACAATCGTGCAGAAGCAACGGAGTATTAGGGTGGGGGGTAATGACACCCCCATCCCGAGCTGGTTCCAGTCCTTGGTGGACGACATAATAACATTGATTTTATTTACAAATTATTATATGTTAAGTTCTTCAAGTGAATAATTAAGAATGAAAATTTTCAAGTACAATACGTTTACGTATATCAATAAAATACCTACTTGTTACTTGTATTGTTATCAAAATAAAATAAAAGCTCTTGACTTGACCACGACTATGTGACCCCCTTTTGGCGCCAATGCTGAAACAGCTCTTGTATAGGAGTTTTAGAACTGAGTACTACTTCTTAAAGCTTCTGACAAAATATTCTTACTTCGATACGGTCGCGAGAATTCCATCGAAATCTGTAGCATTTCCTGTCACCATGTTCTCGTTAGCCAATTGTACATAAGAGCAAGCCAAACGTTGCATGCAAGATGCTGAATCTACATTGTATCTGCTAAGCGTCTCATCAAACCGTCCAAGGAGGTCGGATAGCTGAGTTAGATCTGTTTCTGCACCTAGAATAATAAAAAAAAATAACAAAACGTTCTTTATTCAAAGTAGAAATATATTGAAATTGCACGATAAAGTCATGTATTAATAACTAGATGTGTCAGCGACTTGGTCCGCGAAGAATAGATGAGATTCTGACCAGTATTTCCTGACAAACAAACGTTCAAACAAACAAACTCTTCAGCTTTATTAGTATGGATTGCTGAGTCATTGAAAGAATCGTAAATCTGCCTTATCTTAAAATATTTTGTATTCAAACATACGATTATTAATATGATAACAACAATCGAGCTCCTTCGTGATTAAAAAGGAGTCAAGAACAATTTGTGGTATAAAACTTTCTTAATTTCTTAAACTTAAGGAATCAAACTTATTAAATGATACTAGTCTCCCTCACTTCTTCCATATCCGCCGTAACCGTAGGAGAAGGCGTGAATAATTTTCGGAAGCACGATGACAGCTCCGAAACCCAGGATGGAACCCAGGAGAACACCGCCAAGATCTATCTTTAGCGGTCCATAAATGCCCGGAGCTGATCCGCCATATGGGCCCTGAAGAAGGTTTGATACTGACGTTATTACTATTCAATTTTTTGTATATATATATATTTATTTTATGTTTTCTGATTTGTACGATAATGTAAATATAAAAAACTCAAGATAATAATGTAAGTGAAGTGACAAGAAACAAGTCAAAAATATAGCGAAAGACAAAAGTTATCCTAAAGTCTAATAACATTTGAAAACTTTAATATTTTTCACATGTGGCACTACATATATAAATTGAAAATCGATTAGAAATTTAAAATATTTACGTCACAGGCAGGACTTGAACCGCCATCCATGTCACGAGTACCCGGACACGGTAGCTCAATTGGTTACAGCAACAGCACAGAACGCAGTGGATGCCGGTTCAATATCAGCCCGTGTCGTAATTCTTTTCAATTTATAATCGTTTTTGGCCTAAAAACATTTTTGTACTTTTAAATATTATAAAACACTTAACGGCCCGACATTTCGGATGCTTTGCAGCAGCCGTGGAAGTTAAAAATCAGTTCAAATAAGTTTAACTAATATATCGCGTTTTAAACCGTTAAAGTGTTTTATTTAAATGTGTACTACTCGCGTAAACTATAGACATTTTTGTACTTTTCATACCGTGGCTCCATAAGTAGATATCCCGAATCTTTGAGTTCTGTCTCCATGGTCATCTCTATCATCACGGCTCTTGTCGCTCCTAGGAGACGGCTCAGCCAATTGATCTTCTGTTCTTTGGTAGCTCTGACTCGGTAGGAATCCACTAAAATTATGAAAACCTTACATTTCGTTTCAAAAATAAGTAGTAAGTAAAAAGTGTACTAATTTTTACTAAGTACATTAGTCAAAAATATTATATTGTTACTATTTAATAACCATTCCATTATTTATTTACTTATTACTATGCATAAGGAGTTGATCCCAAAACAAATAGATTGTCGCGGACGTCCGCTGAGTAATATCTATAACTATGTATTTAATATTGATACCATGTACGATGATGTCGGTTACGTGATGATCAACGGGTCGTGGGTTCGATGCCCACCGTGACCAATGTTTTTAAATTAATTTATAATTTTTCGGACTTTGTTTTTTATTTTGATATTAAAAAATATCGAAATTCCATCCGGGTCACGAACCACCGTCCACAGATGAAAAGGCAATGAAGTTTAATCGCGTTTCGGTTACAGTCTGTGGACTTCCGAATATCCAAAGCCAAAATAGATCGACCGCGCATCTTGTTTAGATTTTATATGGCTCGGGTATTTTAGTTACGTCTACCATCAAAGCGACGAGGTATTTAAACATTAGACATTTGATAAATTTACCAGACTTAAAAACTATTAGGGTTACTAAATCTTACCCATCGTTCCTATAGTCAGCTGATACATATGCGCACGCGACGGCCAACAGAACTATCTCGTAAATCATCTTGCTGACTGTCGGTCCCCATATCTCCATATTCACTATATAGAGTACGTCACGGCACTTGCCCCGGAACAATCGGATGAGGAAACTATTGTCGTGCTCAAGTGTTGCACAATACCATCAAGATGATAACGTAATCTGAAGAATTGTCTCCGAAGATGGCACGGTGGCAAAATTAGGAAGACCTACTTTGATTCTCTTGTTTTGTGAAACCCTTTTCATTGTTACGTTCGTATTGCAAACAATATTAATTTTTCTTTGATGTAACTAATATTTACTTGTACGTTTATCTTTCAAAAGCAAGTATTCACTTAGAATTTGTTGAGAGCTTTCATTTTTGTTTATAGATAAGTAATTTTACTAGATAGAATTATTATAGTTCAGTTGATATCGTTTGCAAAAATTGTTTTATGTATCATACGCAATTTAACTTGAATAAAGGATAGGTATTGATCCGAAAACCGTCTGTTTTATCTATACCAAGATTATATAAGTATGTATAAAGATTTGTTTGTTTGAATGCGCTTACCTCAGGAACTACTGAACTGAATTAAAAAGATAGTTTGTGTTGGTTAGACTAGTTAGAGAGAATAGCTTTAGGCTTTAAAACATCGGGTTGCGTACAATAGGACCAAAGAAACAAAGGGAAATGTGGAAAAAATATTTAATATTGAGGGCTTCCTTTGCGTGCGCTACGAATACTGTTTAAGATACCAAAAATAATTTATTAAAGAATGGAACGATTCTTCATTAAATGATCAAAAAATGTACTCAACAGTATATGACGTCTTATAATTTAAGATTAACTGGCACGAACGACTGGACGCAGAGGGCGTCATGGATATCTATTATTTATATTCTTGAGGAAGTTGTTGGCAAAAATAAATAATATGATAGCCAAATAACTATTCCACGCGGACGAAGTAGCGGGCACAGCCAGTAGATAATATGAGGCCGTTAGAAGCAATTTTAAAACTTATATGTTTATAGTTTAAAAATGTCAATCTACAAGAGTACAGTGACCGAATATTCTTAGCAAAGTTTTTCACACAAATAATAGTACACATTCGTCTTCGCCTAGTTAAGTTAATAGCACATTTTTATTTTTCTCATTATTGAAAATCATATTTTTTGTTATTAGGCAACTCTGCCTCTAGTAGCCTCATATGTAAGAAATTATAATTTGTATAATTACTGCTTATACTCATCCACGGATTTCGGATGACCTTTGACACTTTAAGTAAATATTCCCATACAACATTGTTGATGCCATGGATCAGTTCGCGTAGTAAAAACAAATTCAACGCCTGCGATTATTAAGTCATCAAGACGACATCATTTTAAATACAACAAATTCGTAGAGCGTGAAAGTATTATAATTATTCTAAGTTAATGAATGTAGAGTTTTTAAACAGCAGACCTGAATCTTTTGTGTAATAATAGGTATTTAGCAGCCGGGTTAGTCAAATGAATTAATCTTATGGGTTTGTCGGACTATATATTTTGTATATAATTGTATTGTTTTTATTTTTAAGTAGGGCCACGAAGTCAGGGCAAGAACGACGATAACTATTTTATTTATATTTTTAGGGCCCAAACGTTTAATTTGCTAGCATATCAATGTATGTAGGTAGACACTGGATATAGTCAACAAATAATTCATTGTATACTAAAAAAAGGGTACGATATGAAATGTGTGCACCAACTGTCGTTGACCGTTCTGATCTGTTTTTAGATCATTCATGATTTGATATAAACTTGGTCTTACAATGATCTTATGCCGAAATGACAAACGTGTCTATTTATAATTAACTCTACATTCTTCGAGTTGCCATTTCCTTAACATTTATAACAATGCATACGGAAACTTTTTGTTATTAACAAACATGTTATTTCCTCGGCTATTTCTGTAAATTCAGCGTGAAATGTCGACAGTTGACCATTTTGCCGCGAAGAGCACTTATAGGATCCACATTTTTTTTACGCTTGTCAAAGATTAGGTAAAATGTTGCAGAAAAGTGCTTTCGTCTATCTGTTTATTACTAGCGTGATGTGCAACACACAGGATCTGAGAAATCCTAAATTTATATCGTTTGATGCCACAAAGGACGATTTACAGGCAAGATGACATTACCATATCTTAAAACTGTGTAAAGAATTAGGTTACGACCTAAAGTGCTTGACAAAGTTATTTCCTTTCATTTACAATTATCATTTTATTCTTCTTTAGGTGGGCCTAGATTTTTCACTGCCCTTCATTCAAATACCTATAAAAACGGCCGCGTCGGACACAGACATTCCCTATGGGCATCATGATTTGGTGAGTATTAAAAATTTTCTTTTTAAATACTTAATTCCTCCCTATTTATTCGATATGATTAGGGTTTACTTAATAATAGGTGTAACACCCCAGCCATATGACATCTAACAAGATGCCCCGCCGACCTATTAATCTGTGGTCATTCGTCACCAGGACGGCATTTCGTTATTTCAACCACCCATTCAATATCCAGATTTCCAAACGAAGTCCAACCTGTCTCAGAAAACATAAATTGATGGGTGGGGATATATCCCACGAGTCGTTGATTATTAGCTCCACATTGCTGCCATTTCATTAAACGAAATTTACATTTTCTTTCCTAAAGCACACCCAGTGTTCGTTTAAGTTTTGGAACTCATACAAAACCGCATGCTTATACAGTATAGTTTTTCAATAATACCCACTTTTCTAACTTGAACGAAAGATGTTCTAAGACAATGAACTTTACTTTTCCTAACCAGAGAACACAGCAGTGTCTAATTTGCAAACATGCTTCAAAACAATTTTAAAACTTATTTTTTTTCAGACTCTACCAAAAATTAACGTGAACCTGTCATCTTTATTAGTCGGTGGCCTGGTATTCTTGGTTACGACGTTTATTTCTCCATTACTCAACAAATCATACACAACCCATCATAGAGCTTCAAGAGGTAAATATATGACGTTAGATAAATGGTAAAAAATATTTTTTTGGAATGAACACTTTTAATTTTTAACAATATACAGAACACATTAACTTAGAAATTTTAGGGACAGGGGCCGCAGCACGTTCTCTTCGAAACCTTCTTCTTGAGATTCTTTATTGAAGTGCAGGACTTTTTACACTTTATTTTGGGGGCCTCGACGATTCCCGCGTCCGCTGGAATGTACTGAGTTTCCACGTGAATGAAATTTTGTCTTTTCCGTGGAGCTAGATCGAAACAACCGAACGGCGGAGTATATTCTATGTCCCAGGTAGCATTACTCGACAGAGAACTTAGGGATTCCTCTTGGCAGATGCACGGCGGCTCTTTGAACACCGGACAAGTATCTATTACCTTATCGATAGCGCTCATATCGTTACAATACACATCCATATAGGCACATTTACATATATCTTCTACGGCTTCAGCTAGAGCTTTTCGTATCTCCGCGTCCCTTTGTCGTTTCAACTTCACCATCCTGCGCGCCTCTACTTTGGCCTGCTCTTCTGGACTTCGTTTCTTAATAATCTTAAAAACCATCGGATCGCAATCAACATAAGGGTCCTCGTTTGGTGCTATTTCTGTCAAATCTTTTAGTGGATTTACCTGGAATAAATATTATTTTAATTAAAACATTTATTAAATTACGGCCTAAGAAACAAATACAGCCATGTCGCAGGTTATTAAAATATTTACATGGCAAAATTAAACATGTTGTATTATTTAAATCAGTCTTGGCTTAAACATGTAAAGGTATATTACTTGTATAGTGAAAACATCGCCTTTCCTCTGCACTTTTAACGCTGGCTTAGGATCTAAAGGCTCTTCTGGTTCTGAATCGCCGCCACCCATATCTGCTCCGGTGGTTTTGCCTTTCTTTTTCTTCTTCTTACTCTTATCCTTATCTTGTCCGGCGCGTGGGCATTTAAAAGTCATTAATTTTGCTACACTTTTTCCTATAACCCCGGGGGTCCATCCTCGGCGAGGCTTAAAGATAATTGATTACTTTGAATCTTCTTTGTACATACATATATATAAATACATATTAGTCAATAACTTACTTTCATACCAGGGACGTCTGTTGCATTCCATAGCCATCCCATTTCCCCTGGCACAGGGTAGCCAGGCTTTGAAAATGGGTTGCATGTCTTATGACCAATTGTTACTCCTAAAACATGATTTCACAAAATATACTTAGATACTTTCAGCAAAAAAATACTGCCTCTAACCTTACCAGGGTGTATATCTCCAAAGGTGTAATTGTATTTAGATGCTTTTTTCTTTTCCTTTTTCAAGCCCTCTTCATCATCACCCATCTTTGACGGTTAAGTTATTCTTTACTATATCTAAAATAATAGGGCCAGGGGTCAATGACATCATTTTATGTCTGCAATTTTTTCTAGTAATAAATACGAACGAATAAAATAAACTATTTAGTTGTTTTTTAAGTGTATTTATTTTGATGTTAAAATACACCTGGGTTACAAAATAAAATATCAATGAATTTAAGCAATAAAACATTATGCGTAATTTTTAGTTGTTATCTTCCTTGGCTTTTTCTTGTATCGCTAGCTTATGAGAACCGCAACACGCTTTTCCTGCTAGAGCGAGTAGTCTTTGCTCCTTATCACAACACCTTCTTTCAGTGTCCACATCAAATCTATTTATGCAACGGAAGTCATGATCTTTTTCATTTTTCATATATTCAGCTATTGCCTTTTTTATCCTTTCGTACTCTTTAGAACAGCAAACTTTGCCGGCGTCACTATAACTTGGAGGTTGAGGGGCTATAGCCGCGGTCTTATACATTCTTGCAAATCCATCAGGTACTGAACATGGTCTACCCATTACAGGACAGGGGCCAAGTTTAATAGGAGGTAAACCGTACGGCAATGGCTCAGCTTCATCTTCATCCATATCTTGTTTTTTATTTTCCTCTTCTTCCATTCGCATTATTGGACACGTATTTCTGTGCTTGTATTGAGGGCAATAAGGTTTATGCGCTTTACGAGCTGCAATATTTGTAGTTTTTTGAATACACTCACAGTCGAATGTTTTACATGGGGGTGATGGCTTCGGCGGGCTACATTTACAATCCTTGTCTTCTGCTATTTCAACACAGTTGAATACCGACATTTTTCTTTTTGACGTATCTCTAAGTTCAACGTTATATACTAGAGCGTTATTTTTTAAACTTCGAGTGGATTCTCTGTTATCTGGTTGTATCATATTAGTTGCACTAACGGCAGGTCTTGCTTGGTTTATTCTATTTAAATTTTGTTGACATTTACATCCACTTTGGCTAAGAGAAGAATTCGTTTGCTTAGCTAGTAACAGATCATATTCGGTGGTAAGATTTTGGACCGTGAAATTTCTGCCGTAAGCGGAGTCTTTAAATTCCGGAACACTGAGTACATATGATGCTTGGAGTTTATTCTGCCTATCCTCACATGTTTCACCCGCTGGTGTTAGTCCACCACAGCCCTGACACACAGATTTATTTTCTTTCCCTTCATTTTCTTTTTCTGGACATTCTTCTCTATGCCATCGATCATCTTTGCAACCACAACTTCCACATATTTTTTTAGTTCCTTCGTCTTTTGTCCCCTGCACTTTACCATCTGCTTGCTCTTTGTAAGCTTCTAAGTTTCTAATGTATGTTCTCACTTTATGCGCTAATGGACAATTCGCATTACCACACGGTCCTGTGATGTCACCCATTCTTATTTTGCTTATCGGATATGATTTCTTTTGTTTTTCTTGCGGTTCTAGAGAATCGTGCTTGCATTTATAATCTGCATCCTTTCGACCCATACCACAACTTTGTAACTCCGTACATATTTCTATTTTCTGTTGAGCGTTATTTTGCACATCCGGATCTTCCAGCGTTGTAGTTTCATATAAACTACCAACCATACAAAAGTTTTTATCATCCCCTTCTACTCTCTTGCATTGGAACATACTCGGGGCTTTGTTTGTTCTAAAAACGAATGAATCTGGATCGGTCATAAGTTGCTGAAATTCTGTAATGATACTTTCTCCTAGTGCACTAAGCCTTAGTATAAAAGAGATTTCTCCAACTCTCTTACAATAGCATTCTCCAAAAAGTGGAGTGTTTTGTTTAATAGTCAGTGGTTCGTGGATTTTACTAGCATCGGCTGTTTCTTTTAGCATATGGAAAAATTCCGTTTCCCAATACATAGTGCCAACTCCAACAAATATTTCAACCTCATTTTCGTCATCATTCCAAATCTCAATTTCCAATGGAAACTTGCTAAGTATCATTAAAACGGTATCAGAATATGATGGAAATAAATACGATTTTCCAACTCGAATGGTTCGTGACCATTTTCTCCGGCCATTTTCATCACATTCCATAACATCGTCCTTCTTTTCATCATTCAGTGCTAACTGTCCCTCTTTGATAATAAATTCTACTTTCGGTCCAAATCTTATTTTGATAATAAGATTTTTGTTGGCACCACTTTGTTCATCTTCTAGAGTCGCATAAATTGTGACCTTGTCTATGAAAATTTCGACCAGGTACATTTGCTCCATGACCTGCCGAGATCAATAGGTATTGTTGAAATTCAGAAATGAGCTGCAGGTCTTCATAAAAAAACACTTTTCTCAAACGCGACTTTAACAAACTCAAAAATTCTGCTTTAAATCCTATACTAATAGTATACAATAAATCATTATTAATACTTACGTATTATTCCTGTCCCCTGTCCTGTTCAAAACATTACTATGGACACTGAAAATTTTATTTTGTAACCCGAATTTTACAAATTCCCCATATTAGGCTTTATACGATTGATGACATTGTCTTAATTGTGTGTTAATTTGAAATTAGAATGTCTTGGCCAATTATAGTTTTTAAAGTATAAAGGAAGTCTCACTCACCGCCGCTACTGTATAAAAATACTGTAATAAATAATGTTATTTTAGATAACACACCCGAAGAATATAATCCGTTGTTGGAATTCAGCAATGAAATTCTATCGAAGAATACTGGTTGTCTTCAAAGAATCGCTTGCCTATCAAGCCAACAGACGCAAGATGTCAAGTCTTTGAGGACTATGAAACGAATCATAAGGTAAAGTTATTACTTATGAAAGAATGAGATTTTTTTAGGAGACCAATATGTCGTGTATCGCATTGTTTAAAGTGTACTAATCATGGACTTAATTCTAGGAACGATCTTCTAGCGTCAATCCTCAACACAACGGCTCTGGAGGAGGCTGTTAATGATGGCGTAAAAGGAAAAGATTGTCATAGTTACGTCCCTTGTATATTGACTAAGGAGGATTTCATAAGTGTCGTTGACACCTTTTTCTCAGTCCATGGGAAACCTCATGCAGTTTAAGAGTTGTTTACAAATACTTTTAGTTTTGTTAGATAAAGATGTTCTCATAATACAAATACAAATACAAATAAAATAACTTTATTGTCACAAAACAAAACAACAACAAAAAAAAGATATATAAAAATTTATGGAAATTAAGGACAAACGGCGACTTTATAGTAAATAGTATCTCTTCCAACAACTATGAAATGAAAATTCAGTGTTAAAAAGGATTGCTGACAGCAGAAAAAAAAGATCCTAATATAAACTAATATAAACAATAAAACTAGATAACATAACAATAACATGATTTTTTATTAAACTATTATGCTTATTATTTTGCTTCTCTTTCTAAAAAACCGATGATAGTTTTGTTAGCGAGCTTTTGGGCGCAGTCAAGTGGAGTGAATCCCATCACATCTTTAACACTTGGATTAGCTCCATTCTTTAATAAATACCGCACGATGGCTGGATGATTGCATATTACTGCCTGAAATACAAAAATATAGTTATTAAGTAAAACCACATTTGATTTCGGTGCGTGCATTGATTGAGATGACAACGGAAGAATTATTTGTAAATGTGTATTTAAAAAAATTCACTCTTATATATTATAAAAAAACGTTAATATCTATAAATATGCCCAAAAATATTTAAAAAAGACAAGTCGTTAAAATGTCATCATCGTAATATATAACGTTGACAGAGGCAAACTCCAAAAACCGTTTTGTTGCTAAACTAACTCTTGACCTCTCGACCTTCGCAACAATTTTATTCGGCAACATCGATTCATTGCACCTTCACTGTAATATCAGATGTATGTTAAAATTAAGGTTTTAGTTAAAATTAGAATAGGAGTTTACAGCACAGAAAACCTATACGTGAAGTATTTACCTTATGTAAAGCTGTTTGGCCCATTTCATCAGTGATATTGAAATCAGCGCCAGCTATTTTAAGAGATTCAAATTTAACAATAACACCACTTCTGGCCGCAACAGATAGTAAATCAGCTATCGATTTCACATCAACACTTGTTAGATGAGCTCCGCATTGGATTAAGAGATTTATGATCGCATGTTTGTCATACGAAATAGCAGTTAGTAGAGGAGATTCGCCACATCTGTCGAAAAAAATATATGTTAATAAATAATGAAATAAATCCAATGTTTTAAAGAAGGTATTTTTTTCATGACACCATTCAAATACCTCACCTTGTTTTGAGATGAACATTAGCACCGTTCTTTAACAAGAACTCTATTATCTGAAGATTTCCTTTTGTAATTGCTTCGTGGAGCACTGTTCGTCCTTCCGAGTTTTGTGCGTTAACATCTGCTCCCATGTCTGAAAAAATAAAATAAATACATAAAAAATCATCACTGCAAAAACACCTATACTTAGAATGCTAAGGTACTGAATTGTGTAAGGGTACTGGATTTCTGTCATTTCTTTTCTACGTATTTTAATTACCTAACATTTTTTCTACTGCCTTAGTATCGTCATGTTCTATCGCATAAAGAAGTAACGCGCTGAAAACCTTTTCAGTTACTTCCATCAGCATCTTCGGCGACTGAATGTTGAGGCTCGACGCTAGTGCGTCTATAAGAACATTGTCCTGTAAATATTTATGCTGTTTAAGTTGAATACATAAATTATCTTTAAAACTTAAGTTTTCATAATTTTTATTGAACAGATTATATTTATAAAGTCTATACGTTCTACTTACATCAATGGTAATTGAAGAGGTATTCGTTAATTCTCCCCTTATGTTCGTTCCCATCATCTGCAAAGAAATAGGTAACACATCATTAATAAACTCTACTGTTTGTTTTCTAGTTCCTTCTCTCTCACTCAAAATAAAGAATACTCCACAAATGTTCAAATATCGTTAATGTTTTTTTAACGGTTTAAAACACTAACGATATTTATTAGTTAAACTTATTTCAATAAAAAAATATTTTAACTATGGCATGACCTTACGGTTGCTTTGCTGCAGCTGTGATCACGGGAAGACATCGGGCCGTAAAAAATATTGTCTTTTAATTAAATACGAGTAATAAATAACGTAAATAACGTATTTATAGTTATAAATTTTAAAAACACTTACTTCTACTTTCTGCTGATAAGACAATTCCGTCTTAGATAAAACATAAGACAGCTTCGTTAAAGCTGCTTCCGGTGTCATGTCAAAACCAGATACTACGCCGCACTCGGATAATAACTGTAAACAAAACGCAAGCGAATAATAACTTATAAGTTAATGTAACGGAAATGTTGTCTCAGCATAGTCTAATCCTATCCAAATAGCCAAAAACAGATCGACAAGGCATCTTCATAAAAAAACGCAGGAGCCTAAAATTATTCCAAAAACTAAAATATCAAGACGAGTGGAATGCCTCCTTCAATTTTCATTCACAATATTGGTTTATCTAAATCAGGTTCCAATTGCCGCTTACCATCAAATGCTTGAATTCTACAAAATATAACTTACCCTGCCAGTCTCGTAAATAGGTAAAACAACTGCGCCTCTATTGCACTGCGTTATATTGACGACGATAACACCTCGTTTAACGGCTGCTGCAATTTCTTTGACCACGTCATCTCGATTGGATGGGATATTGCCTGAACCATAGCTCTCTAGCACCACACCTGTTTACATTTTGCAAGGAAAAATTATTATGTGATATTTTTTTATTTATTCATATGAAATATTAAAAGACGGAAACCCATTGGGGTTTGTCCTTCCAAACGTCGATACAGAACATAAAAGAAAATATACATAAAAAAATACTTTAGAAATTAAACTTAGAAAGTAATCATTCTAATTGTGGATAATAATATATAAAATACAAAGCACCCAGTTAAGTTAAAAATCGAAAATAAGCTCGATTGGTATAGCAACAGCACGGAACGCTGACGATGCCGGTTCAAGTCCTGCCCGAGTCAAAATTTTTTTCAATTTATTTTCGATTTTTAAATTATGTAGTGCCTTCATGTGCGATAACATGTAAAAAATAATAAAGTTTTCAAAAACACCGAGTTCTTTACTTGGTGTTTTGTTAATAAAAATTACAAAGACTTTATAAATAGACAATTTTATTAATTGCTGCTGTAGAGAAGTCTAAAGCGTAGCCGAACATTACGTTAAGTGTGAGTGACCCTGGATTTCAATCCTAAGATCCATGAGTCATATCCTCGTCCTGGCAGCGGGCAGAAGTTTGATAACCCCGTAGATATAAATCAACTTAACGGTCATTGGAAAGTGTTAAAACCGTGACTTTATACCTTCTATAGGTGGCTGGCAGAACGCTCTCACGACAGCTGAACTTATGCTTGGAAATATCCGAAGGAGGCCCACGTTCTTTGATAATTTCGCGTGCAAATTACATTTTTCTATGGTGCTCGGTTTAAACTTGGCTTTCTTGTTCACTTCGAAGTCTATTCCCACCTCCACGAGAGGAACACAGTTCGGTGAGTCAAATGCAAACAAATTATTTACCGATACTTTGCGTGTTCTGAAAAAATATAATAATGTATAAAAGGTAAATGAGGCCGCTAGAGGCAGAGTAGCCTAACTGCAATGTCATGACTTAAGCTAATCTTAATTCGTAGTCTAAAAATCATAATTTACAAAAGCCCAAGCATTGAAAATTGTTAACTCTCACACAAATAATAGTATACATAATAATTCGCCTAATTTAATTGCGTATTTTTATTTTCCTCCTTATTGAAAATCATGTTTATTAGCTACAGTTAGCTACGATAGCGGTCTCTGTAGCTAAATGTGTTGTCTATGATATATATTTTTTACTTTTTATTTATTTAATCTTACAGGGAGTTAACTATTACTCAATCGTTATAGTAAAACTAGTAGTGCTAATCCAGGACAGGTTGAGAGTTCACTTATTTATTATGAACAACATAGAGAATGTTTATTATACATTTTATTATATTAATATATCCATATAAAACTGTGTTATCTGACCACATATAGTATTATGCTTATTTTAAATTTTTCAGTCAGTTATTCAGCTTACTTCATTTCCATATCCAAGCGCAATTAGTAGGTAAGTAGTACCTGTTGTTTTTTGGAGTTATCCTTTTTATATTATTTTACAAAACATAATATCTCTTAAATTTAAAAAACGAACACCGTTTGCGTCTTTTATATAATTTTTAAGCCATACATTACTTTAAATGTGTTATTATCGGCACGCATCGGACGTGCGTTTGTGAAAAAGTGATTACTTCGCGCGTGATTAAAATTAGAGCGAGCAACAGCCGATATAATCGTTACGGGGTTTTTTGCACTTATCCACGGTTCGCTAATTCTATAGTAAACACACAACATATGTATAAGCTCGCCAATGTTCACAATGTAAATAATGTGCCGCACATTGGTAAACAACAGGAACAAAAAACAACAAATTTGTTCAATCGACTATCGCACTACATAACTTTATTCTTCTTTTAGGAACAACAGAACTTTTTATTGAACTAATCAATTAGGTTCCGATAAAAATGTTAATGACGGCCTTAAAGGCCATTCGTTACTCGCGAGTTATAGGGATGCACAATAAGTCGCAACAAGAGTCAATATGAATACTTTAGCAATTTCAAGCGCGATATATTTTAGTTAAACTTATTTGAAAAATATTTTTCGTTTTAAACCGTCAAAGTGTTTTATTTAAATGTGTACTACCCGCGTAAACTACAGACAGTATTTACTACGAATACTATAATGTTTATCTTTCTAGGGGTTATATTTATTTAAAAAATACTTTAAAGCAATATGTCTCCGGAATTGCATCATATATCACGAGATTCAGTTTTTGACAGGTTACAGTAGTTAATGACGACCTCTATGATGAATCATTGAAATGATGACACATTGCCTTACTACCGCTCACCCGAGTGAGCTTCCGTCCAGCTCTTCAAGCTCCCACCCGCATTGCGGCGGTCCAAGCCGAGGCCGATGCCCCCCTCGGGGCACCCTTGGTCTAGCCGCAAACACGGCGAGCGCTCGCCCAAAACGCCCGGTTAGTATTGGTGGCTCCGTCGGAACACAATACAAAATAGTCATTCCAAAAAAAAAAAACATTTAAGGCAATGTTTTTTTTTTTTCTTCGGTTCGAAACCTGTTTGGGTTGGCAGAATACGTAAGGTCGGACATGGCACAGAAAACGGACAAATGTAACGGCGCGTATGACCCTTAATCCACTCAGGAGAATATGATTTATAATAAATACTTAAACATCTCGATTTTGTAGACACCCCTAACGTTACCTTTATTGTTTAAATTACTAATGCATTCTTACTTTTTTCTTGTTTACCAAAAGAGCTTGACGTTGTAATTGTCATTAATTAATTGCCATAAAAGACGTAGACGTTGCAATACGCGACAGTAGAGACGTTAAACTTCTGGATTAAAAAGTAATTATTATTTCACATTCACATTTTTCCCTAAGTCTTATTTCTATTAATTTTATAATTATAGAAATAATACTTACATATAATATGTCTTGCTTGCTAATAATATCTACAAGCTTATGAGTCTAGTTAGAGGGTGAAATGTCCTAGCCTTATAACATTCAATTAATATGTACGGCCAATATACTGTTGCTTTGGAAATTCGGAAATTAATAAATTAAATACTACATCTGGCTTTGCTATCTATGGCGGGCGTGTTACTAAACCCCTTTTATGTCCAGATTTTACAGACATTCACTTAGTAATAAAAATCCGAATAAAGATACAGTACTCGGTTGGAATTTAACTTAACCCGTTAGTTGAACAAGGCGCCTGCCTGTAGACTACAATTTTACATACTATCACGGAGTTGTTATACAAAATAAAAGATATTGATCATATTGTAGGGTTTCGGTCGAGAAGGCTCAGTTACTTGTCTGTAAGTACAATCAATGTGTACAAACAGTATTAATATTAAATCGAATTTAAGCGATGATTTTTAATCATATTATATTTTGCCGTCTTATAACAAATTATTTCGTCTGAAAACCTTACTGCATTAACAGAATTAATTCTGTAAAATAGTCTACCTCGTTCACAGACATCAGTTGTAGGCAGTGCGCGGTAGAGATACATCGAAATCCTTGCGCAAAAATCTACGTTTATAAAACGTATTAAAAAGTATTACCTATACCACTAACTAAGTAAACTAAATAAAAGTGTTCATTTTGTAATACACATTTTCTATTTTTATTGAAAGTATTGTTAACTTATAATGCTAAAGCGAAAGTTTAACTCGACTGGTTGAAAACGAAATCTCAGGGGGTGAAGTTAAACGAGATTACACATTAAGTTACTTTTAAACGATTTGTGTTAGCAATTGTATTAAGAAGTAAATGTGGAAATGCGATGACAAAAACTTAATTATTGTCAATAGTAATTTGCCAGATATTTGAATACATAACGTTCCATTTGTGGTTTTAAAAGCTTATATTCTTGCTCTGGATAAAATGGTAAGTCGATTGTTGATTTATACAGTACTAGATCTTTAAAGATACAGAAAAATAATAAGAAATTATTATCTACAAATTTTATATACAAATGTTGTTTTAATGAAATAAGTTAATATTATTAGTATTAAAGCAAATATACATGGATTAATAGTTTGAGGAATACCTACTACTTGCGCCTTACATATTATGTATCAAAGATTAAATATAATCAAAGCCTTTATTAGGTATATATAAATATAATATATAATATAGCATAAGCTAAGCAATAAAAAATAAATGAAAATGCAAATATAGTAACTTTGTACGCAAAATAAATGCTTAATATAATTATTTGCCTGCGTAAAATTTATAGCTCAAGCTTGTAATAGCCATTGAATCCATCGCTTTGAAGATCGCATTCATGTTTTGACAAGCCAACATTTTATTGTGTACATTATTTTTTTAGGTTTTTGTTGGTTGATTGGTATAAAGTTTGAGTCTAACTTGAGTGTAGACTACAAAAAAAAAACAATACCTACTTAAAAGTTTTATCTCGATACTGTCTATAGTTTACGCGAGTAGTACACATTTAAATAAAACACTTTAACGGTTTAAAACGCGATATATTAGGTAAACGAACAAAACGTCGGGCCGAAGTTAAAAGTTATTTTCAAATAAGTTTAACTAATATATCGCGTTTTAAACCGTTAAAGTGTTTTATTTAAAAGTTTTGACTCGGTTAACTCTCTTTTTTCACAATATACAATATTATATTCCGTCCCAAAAAGGCCATATATGTATTATTAACTCTGTTGTGTTGTACCTCTCTCGAAATATAGATATTTTAAAATCACAATATAACTCACACACTATAAACCTATTCGTATAACCAAAGGGTTACAAAAACCTGCACCATCATATAAAGTTTTAACATGACTACATTTTCAAATTCTCTTTGTTAACAATAAGTAATTTTGTATGGGCACAATTGAATGATATCAACAAATATCGGCGATAATTTCTCTAGGTAATCTGAGCTACTTCTTAGCTCATTCATTATATAATCGCGTAAATAGGCTAAGCTAAGCTTGGAAGTGATTAACCTAGTAAGTTAATTGCCATTAATATGTTGTAAAGCCAACGAACAACAAGCAACAAGCAACGAACACTAGTTCTTAAGCTCTCCTTTATTGTGTAACCTTTGTTACGATATCGGGTGGTGATTAACTTAACTCATTTGGACTAGATCGAATGGAAGATTCCTATTTCCCCAACACGCATTTGCTGTTTGGTGTTATTAATTAAGTTTCAGTGAATAATAATTAATTACGAACTCAATTCCGTGACCCAAATTAAGAAATACAAAATTACACAAGGGCAAAATTGGGTAAGCGAAAATCGGTACGTTTTTTCGGAACTAACACTTATAGTTTTCGGCTTGTTAGTCGTCGTCGTCTAAATTCATACGTTAACAGACCTCGACCTAACTACATAATAAAATATAATATTAATGTCTCTCTCTTCGTCCTTTAATCTGCTAGGTTGACGTTACAGCTAGATTAAAACTGTTAGAGACAAATTAAGGTTATTTAAGCTTTAAGCTCACTTTGATTTTTCGTTATTCTTCAGCAATCCACTAATGAATTCTTTCAGGTCTACATTCTAGACCACGACGTGAATTTCTCATGTGTAATGTTCAATACATACCTGTTACCTCTAAAAAGTTTACTGCCGAAGAAAACTGTCACTTCTGGTATATTCAGTCCACCGGCTATCAATAAGGAGGACACAAAATTGTCCGCACCATCACTGCGTGGCTCAAAAATTGGGATCTATAAGGACAAATAATTTTCAAATAACACGATTTGGAAATAAAATTAATAAGTAGCAAATATATACAATTTATTGCTTCTCATAAAAAAATATGTAAATCTATATTTAAGATAACCTTTACCATTCGCATTACTTTTTCTATTATTATCTAACGGCCGGTCCCAATAACTTATTGTCTGTCAATGACGGATTGCTATCCCTGGAAAGCAGTTGATGTTATAGTAGCTTTAACTGGCGTTTCCATACTTTTTCGACGTGCCTACCAAAGATTAAAAGTAGATAGAGAATGTAGGTTAACCGTTTCCTCTGAAACGCCCCTTTTCACGTTCTACTACAATAATGCACTACTACGTTTTCACTTCTAGTTACAAGTTAGTAGAATATTGGGGCCGCCCGTAAAGGATTTCACATTGACTTTTCAGTTTGGCCTCTTTATACCATACGGCCTACTATTATTGTTTAGATATTTGTAGTAACAACACATTTAAAATCACATAGCAAAAGTTCGTAGCATATAGAATTACGTCTCAATTGGTAATATGGGGCATAGGACGGATTTTTATCACTGATAAATTTTATTTATAGGCAAGGGACGGCCTCGTTGATGTTATGTTTGGCTAAAACTAAACAACCAGTCTTTAGTTTAATCCAAACATGTTTCTAATTAATTTATAAATTGTCTGAAAATCTAGATATTAACTTGGTGGTGGGATTATCGAAATTCGATCCATGTGAAACCACCAATGAAAAAGCCGTCAAGTTTAATAGTGTTTCGGTTTCAGTCTATGGATTTCGGAATATCCACAGCCAAAATAGATAGACGGCGCATCTTGTTTCGATGTTGTTGGCTGGGGTGTTCCACCTACCATTCAGTGAGCCTTATGCTCGTTTGCTATAATAAAAAAATATTTGATCAGACTTGCCCTGTCTCCCCAAACTATTATTCCAGGTTTCGAGGTTCAATTCCTTGGAAAACAAACTCTCGCACTTTTAACATGATTCGTATAAGGATACAATATGATGTCAACTACATTTTTATGTAGAAAAGCAACATCTGCAATTCCGACATCATTATCGCATGATACTGTTTTTGTGAGTTGGCAATTTGCCAATAAATTCTTCACAAATTAATACATACCTGCGAACCGGTTAGCACTATGCATTTACCGATGTTCTCAAACATAAAGGAGAGCGCCGAAGCTGTATAAGATAACGTATCGGTCCCGTGCAAAACCACAAAGCCGTCGTATTCGCCGTAATTTTTCTAAAATCGGTAAAAATAAATTATATACCTTTGGTTATTTACTTACTCTTTTAACGAAAATAAGTAAGTACGCTTATATGAACGCCGCCAGAGGAAGAGTAGCCTAACTGCATTTTTTATGACTTGAGTTATTTAAATTTTCATAGTTTAAAAGTGTTAATCTACAAGAGCACAGTGAACGGAAATTGTTAACATAAGTTTTACATAAATAATAGTAATTCATTTTCGCCAAAGTTAATTGCGCACTTTTATTTTCCTTCTTATTGAAAATCTGTTCTATTTTTGTTATTAGGCTACTCTGCCTCATATCTAAGTACCTTATTATTAAATTAAGAATATAAGACCTATCTTTAGAAGTATAGTAAAGAAATATGTCAAGAAATACGTTACAACAAGGTGAAAAGTACAGATATGTGTGAACATCAGTCACGTGTTTACAAGTAGTTTGTCCAATGAAATTGCTTAAAATACTAGCTTTTTCATCTAAAAATAAACAGACCTAAAACAATTTGTAACAACTCCATAAAAGTAGTTATTTCTTATACTGGCGACTAGTTTTAACAATAGTAATGTTTTATTGAATTATTTCACTTTTATTAAATTTAGATTATCGATCTCCTAATCCTTAACGTGAATATATCATTAAATATATTGTTAATGTTAAATATTTTAGAATATATAATAGATATATAATAAATTATTATGTAATCGAATAGTCACCATAATATCTTCGGCTATTCTAATCCACTCCGCTTCTGTCATATCAGATGAGTCCAAAAGATTTTCATATTCTATAATTTTATAACATATCCTTAAGTCGATTTCTTTTGCCTCTGTAAACAGATTGATAATTAATACCTATAACTATTCCTATTTAGTAATCATTAAATTTTTAATCTACCACACACCTGGCAACACTAAAAATGAAGTGTCAAAACTTGCGTCACTCAATCTTTGCCGCCAATAAACATTGTCGTGTAGTTGAGGATAGCCGCGTATCAAATTTTCAAAGGCTCCTTTCTGGGGTATGAGAACTAAAACGATCATTAAAATTAAAATAAATTACAAATACTTTGCAGAATCAATACTTGTATTGTTTTAAAATATATCTGTATTGCGTATTTTTTAATTACTCATTTTATCAGCGTTCAAGACCTTACCAAACAAAAAATATACCTAGTCAAAAGGTCATTGTCGTTCTACATTTATATATCTGTAGAATGCATTAAAATTGTCATCATGACACGGTAATAAAGGACAAAATGACCGCCTTTGTCAACAAATTCTCCACTAAGTGATAAATCCTATGTGGTCAAAAGACCGAACTAGTTTAATATAAATTAGACGCTCCAATTGGAGCATAAATTTGTGGCTTAATATAAGTCGTTTTATTGAAAATTGCCCTTATGAAATTTGATTATCTCACCGCGTCTTCAATTATTGTCTTATTATAGATAGATTGTATAAATATTACACATATAAAATGCGTACTTAACCATGAAAGATTAAAAGAAAGAATCCATACAATAAATAGCAATTGGAAGATATGGATATGTCGTGTCATACCTAAGTTTTTGCTCAAATAAACACAATACGTAGTATCTACGTAGTTGTTAGGATATTATAAACACAGATAATACAAACGATATCTGTATATTTACTTAACAAATACATCTTATCGAGAATGTTTCATTAGGATGCCTTATGTTTACGACTTTGTCTAATACGTAGGAATATTTGTATCGTTTTAACTAATCTTTTTGAAATCATATTTTTTTCGTTTTTGTATATCGTTTTATAAAAACTCCTACCGAATTAACTGCAATTTTAAATAAAAATCAATACAAGTGGTACATTTTTCTACCGTGGAGCTACTTTAATACCTTAATGCAACATCTTCTACTACTAATAAAAAAAATTTAAAAAATCTAACGATCTACTGCCGAATTTGGCCATAGTTGATATTTAGAATGCCACTTCCGCAAAGTTGGCATGAAGAATTTATATCGAAATTTCGAACAAATCGTACCAGTGCGTTAGCCGCTATAATGTTTTATAATCGTGGATAAAGAAAAATAAAGACATATAAAATATCCTCCGAAAAATTAGGGATGCGAGTCATGTCATAGTGATCAACATTTTATTACATTAACCGGTTTATTCGTTGCTTCTCTTAGAGGTCAAGATAATAAAGCAGCTGAACCACGCGTCGTGAGCGCGTGCGCAATAAATTGGAATACCTTTTACGACCTTATGAATTTTATTGCAGGCTATTCACAATGACTGTTATAAGCATGATCATGACGTTTTGAAATTGAAATACTCAAAATCATTAAATCAATTTATAGTAGTCTAATGTAATACCATTGATCTATGTAATACTTAACTTAACATGTAACATAGTAATCACTGTTTAACAAAACATAAAGAATCTTTGTTACCGAATGTATTTTGAATAGGAAATTTTGCTTAAGATTTTCGCACGAATTAAAATGTTTATTTATTTATTTACACTTCTATTTTTATTCACATTACATTTACCCTTCTTTTTGCAAGGTTCGAAACAAGACAATTTCTAAATAAAACACTTTAACGGTTTAAATCGGATGTATCCCTTGGTCACGGTGGGAGACACGGCTGCTGCAAAGCAAAACGTCCGAAACGTCGGGCCGAAGTTAAAAATCATTTCCAAATAAGTTTAACTAATATATCGCGTTTTAAACCGTTAAAGTGTTTTATTTAAATGTGTACTACTTACGTAAACTATAGACAGTATTTAAGACAATTTCTTTCGAACTTATGTGAGTTCGCGTTTTTTATCTAAACAGTTAACAAACCTCCATTTTTACTTTTGACCATTCCAATAGTACCACCGGTATATATAACCAGCACACGTCTGTCGTTTCGAGATAACGACTTCACAGAATATGCATTTTCAATGTCATTGATAGATAATTCCATAAAACTTCTCGCTTTTTTCACTTTAGCTGCTACTTTTGCACTTATTTTGTTATTTGAGTCATTTTGAACCGCCATTACGTTATTATTATTTTCCCGCGCATTTTTTTCACCGTTGCGGTCGGACATTTTGTTTTCCATATTTACACGATGTAAAAATTATATTTAGTCTATGTAATTTTAAATATCGAACGCATTTATTATGTTAAAATATTGGCAACCAATAACGAGTAAGGAGGTCGGACGTCGAGAAAACGAATGACCTTTTTGATTAAACGCGGTTGTTGACGTATTATGCAATATGGGTACTATATTTTATCTGTGGTGGTAATAGACAACTCCGTCAGAGATAAAGAAATGAAACGTTCATACGTCTAAATTTGAATTCCAATGCTGGGCAGTACTGATTTAGCAGTATTGCTAAGTGCTTTAATCTCGAGACACCATACTAACTTTGCAATGTACGTTAACCGCTTCAATATACACGGTGTCAATTTTTAAAGGAATTATGTCTTTGAAATTAAAATAGATTGCAGTGATAAGAGACTCACGTGTTAATATTAGAAGTAAATGACCGTCCCTTTAGAAATGGGTTATTTATTAATGGTCTTTATTTTTGTAGAGTTATCTTCGAGAACCTATTAACCTTTCCGTAAAATAGGTACCTACGGTGTTAAATTAAAATTCACTTTAATTATTGCTTCATTTTGTAATGAAATACAAGTATATATCAAATAGGTGATCGATTCAGAATTTCTTTTTACTTCAAAATGTCAAAAACACGATATGAATTTTAACCTGTTTTACATATCGTGTATTAATTACCTACATAATTATTTCGTTGGAAGTTGGAAATCTTTAATTATATTATATTTATACCAAATACCTGGTACTGGTATTTTAAGACGATCGTTCTTTGACGTAGCATCTTCTATACACGATATTGACTGAATATCCTGAATCCTTTTTACTTAACTAGGCCTAAAATAAATAGATGTGTACATACACTTTTCTTTTCAGGCTAGCTTCGACTTCCATGGCTTGGTAGCTCCGGTATTTACTCCACTATATGAAGACGGGGAAATTAATTATGACGTAATACCAAAGTACGCCAAATATCTTGTTATGCAAAATGTGACGGGAATTCTAGGTAAGGCTACGGTTCTCGCTATATACTTACAAATTAAGTTAATTTTTTCTCTTTTTTTATGTAGTTACTAGTTGTGTCAGCGGCTTCGTCCCGCCAGAATCATTATTTTGAGTAACCAAATTCGTTTTGCATCTTAAGTTTATAAAAATGAAGGGCTTTTCATCTTTATAAACTTAAGATGTTAATCACGACGCGTGTGTTTTTAATTCGAATCCGTAGTTCCTGAGACTAGTGCGTTCAAACACACAAACCAACTATTTAGTTTTATATATTGGTATATATAATGATGTTATATAATTCGACGGTACCTTTTCACCAACATCGGTTATTAAAGACAGATCAACCTGTTTCCACACGTTTAATTCACGCGCTTTATAGAATAAAGCTTTTTCTATGAAACACTTATATTATTATGTTCGTCAGCCGGTAGAAAATGAAATAATCCAACAACATACCAATAACAATCAAATAACAAAAGTCAAAATCATACGCACAGTCGAGTAGTAGGTAGTACACATGCATAGGAATTAGTGACATATAATTATAAATGTATTCGACTTAATACGTAATTGTTCGAGGTTGATTTTTTTAAGGTTGAATGTTAGAGTAGGTTAGGATGTTAAAGGTTTTAATTGATTGATTAAGTCTAATAATGCCTATTTGAAGACGATAATTACGCCTACTAACATTAAGTTTTGATTATGTTAACAAGTCGTGATCATTATTGTGGTCAATGGCAATATGGTGGTAGTTTCTTGAGTTATCAATGGTCGTGGTCAATGATACTTTGAATGGTACGCCAGAACACTTGAAAATATGCTCACTTACTAAAAACGTGTTGGGTTATTATAAGTATTTTGATTTTATTGAAGCCTGAGAAACATCCCTAAGGCCCTCTGTATTAAAACATACTTATTGAGATTTTAAATCACATAATTGCTACACGACTTGGTAAATACTAGCTTTAAACTTCTCAAGAATAAATTGTGTTTATTGGTTGGCAGTCAACCAATAAAAGGCGTGAATTATTGTTGTTGTTCTAAACCTTCCTTATTAATGTATCCGTTAGTTGGTCACGGAAGAACTATTAGGTATCTGTGGAATGCATTTGCTGTTGTTGTCTACAAATGGTTTTTATAAACGGGGAGTAGCCGTTTGCCTTATATGGCGTCTACGTGATAGAATACTAAACGGATTGTTTTCTATACTTAAATTAAACTTATCAATACTAATATTATTACTCTGTAGAGTGTGTTTTCTGTTTATTTGAACGCGCTAATCTCAGGAACTACTTGTTCGAAAAAAAATCTTTTTGTTTTCGACAAAACAAGAATGATTTCCTTTTACATGATATAAAAAACGACAGTATATATCTATTTAAATAAAACACTTTAACGGTTTAAAACGCTATACATATATTAGTCCTAATAAGTTTAACTAATATGTTTCGCGTTTTAAACTATTTAGAATGTCAATAATTTTGTTATGCAAGTCCCTGAAATCTAATAGATATATTAAGTAAATTTTTGTTATTGCAGTTGGGGGCACTACAGGTGAATTCGCATCTTTAAATATGAAAGAGAGGAACGCCCTGTTGGACGCCTGGTTGGAGATAACTTAACTAAAGACCGCTTAATCTAAAGGTCATGGCACAAGTTGGTGGGGCCGCTCTGCCTGATGTAATAAAAATGGTAAGAAACAAAATGTCATGATGATAATGTAAGCTACTACGGAATGGGGCGATTTATTCAAAAGCTGGCCCGGTGGCCAATAATTGCTTCACTGACCACTTTGCCATTATTTTTACTGTACGTTTATAAAATTAAAAGTGCTTAATTTTTACTGATGTCACAATTCCTAAAGAAATCGCATATATGTAGATAATGGAAGCTTAGTATAAGTTTGACATGATGGCACTATATACATTAAAAATCGATTTTAAATTGTTAAAAATTACGATTTGGCCAGTACTTGAACCGGCGTTGTTAGCGTGCTGTTGCTCTTGCCAATTGAGCTACCGAGTCCTACACGTCATCGTATACGATGCAAAAATACCCGTTATGAATTCATTGTTTCTTATACAGGCGCAATATGCTGAAAAGCGCAAGGTCGACGCAATAATGACTCTTCCAGAATTGTACTTTCGACCTAGGACAGCTGACCATTTAGTGTCGTATCTAGAAGTCATCAACAACGCGGCTCCTAGTTTGCCCCTTTTGTATTATCACTTTCCTATGATGACAGGAGTTAATGGTGAACATTTTTTAATATACTTACTTTTAGTAGCAGATCATAGATAGTTTTTTTATATTTAGGTGATGTATTTTATTTATTATAATAAAGGAGGACAAACAAGCCCAATGCATACTTGATGGTAGGTGAAATACGCCAGCTATATACAAGATGAAACAACAACAACAAGATGCGCTCTCGACCAATTTTGTCTTTGGATATTCGGAAATCCACAGACTGAAACCGAAACGCAATTAAGCTTGACACCTATGTCATTTGTGGACGGTAGTTCGTAGCCCGGGCGGAATTTCGATATTCCTGTCACCCATTGAATGTCTAGATTTCCAGAAGAAGTCCAACGTTTTAGAAAAATTGAAAATATTTGTAAATTCTCTTGATATGCTATAGTTCTTGGCTTGGCACATGTCGATTTATTTGGAAATTCAGATTAGTTTTACTTATAAAAAAACGATAATATTTAATTTCATCGATGAAAAACAGAGAGATAACTGCGTAATCAAATACCTCAGTAACATTATAGAAATTATCTTTCTCTTCAGTAAATGTTCCCGAACTCTTCGCACTTGCAAAGGCTAGAGTGCCAAAGTTCATGGGCATAAAAGCTGATCTAGGAGTTGCCGCCCAAGTAGCCGATCAGTTGAATGGAGGACGTGTGGTGTACATAGCTAATCATGTAAATACATTGATTCAATAATAATACAAATAATAAAACAGTCAGTAACTGACTTAATAACGCCGATTATGTTTAAGCTATCTGCCTTGACTCGGTCGACTTCTGGCACGCGTATCCTAAGCTGTCCCCTATTTTTCCAAGTGGAAATTTTGTTTTGGATAGTTTTAGCCTTTTATCAGCTTGCTTTTGGAGAGACTCTTGGTCACTTATTACATTTATCACTGCTTGGGTTAAATTTTTAATAAAAACCTACAAATGTGATTAATTTATCACTTTAACCTCGACTTTCGGTAATTATTAATAATATTAGATAATTGTTAATAATCTTCAATTATTCACTCTTACCGTGACACATATATTTCTTTTCTGTTTTTCATCTGTAAATACAATGTTTGCAGATGCTGGCCCCATCAGCCCTCATGGGTCATGACTCCAGTATCGCTACCGTGAACAACATGTTCCCATCGCTAGCGAGGGACATTATCAAGTTAACGAAACTCGGTGATGTTGAAAAGGCCAAGAAACTTCAACAGAAATTGAACTCCCTTGTTGATGGAATCGCCAGTAACGGTGAGGATTTAAAATGATGTACAGAATTTTTGAATGTGTTCTAGATATTTTTTGGAACCTAATTTGCTTTACATAGATCGTCTTTACTAGTATTATGTCAATACTTACCTCAATTTATTCTTTCAGGTGACTTCGTACCTTGCATGAAAGCAGCCATGCAAATAGTGACAGGCATCAAAGTAGGACCACCAAGATTACCGCAGGAAGCTCTTAATGATGTATCAAAGAAACGCATCAAGGAACTTGTGATGTGCTATGGGTATTAAAGAAATATTTCCATAACAATTTACCCTATAGATCGAAATTATATATAAGCAAATGCACGAACAAAAATAAGAGAAAGGCGAATGTACATATTATATAGAAGTATGTATAAATAATTATAATTATTTTATAAACTAGCACCCCAAAGAAATACTTAAAGTACGAATAATTTAAATGTAACATATTATATGTATATATCTACTTAACTAACTTAACTTTTCATGTTGAAATAAAAGTTATTTAATAAACGTATGATTTTATTTGAATCATCTATTAGGGGCTTTACGCAATTCCAGAAGCTTTAAGTCTAGAAATAATTCGTTTCTTCGCCTCCGAAGATATTGGTCTCTGAGGAAGGGCGGGCGGGCCCATGTTTAATCCAGTAGTAATTTCCATGCCGGCTTTCATTATGGGTAACCAATCACCTGATTAATAAAAAACATGTACTACATAATTAGATGTAACATAAGAAGCCACACCCCTACAAACTAGTAAGCAACAATGTAACAAATAAATAACAAAAAGTCAAACTCTATTGGGGATAGATATCCAAGTGCCTTCAGTAGCATTGTGTCTGTAAATAATATGTCATTAATCAATCAGTAAATCAGACACAGAAATTTGTGTATCACCATGCACGTAGTGGACACGATATTTTCCCCTTTGTTTATTGACTTAAAAATAAATAGTAATATAGATATGTATATAAACACAAAGGCTAGAGTTAACTGCTATTTTTTTTAATATAGAGGATGACAGAAAAACACGGGGTCCAGTGTTCACTTGATTGTATGTGAAATACACACAGCCTACAACATCTAAACAAGATGCGTTGTCGACCAATTTTGGCTTTGGATATTCGGAAATCCACAGACTGAAACCGAAACGAACAAAACTTCAAGGCTTTTTCATCCGTGGACGGTTCCAACCATTTAATATCCAAATTTTCAGACGAAGTCCAACATATATCAGTAAATTGTAAATTTATTAGAAACATGTAGGATCCGCTTTAAAAATAACCAGTGCCATTTCTTTACCTTCTGGTAGATGAGCCTCTATAGCCAGACTGAGCCTCTCTTGAAGCTTGTTGGCCTTGTCCACATCATCTTTAGTAATCGCATCCAGAATACTTTGAGCCAACTTCGGGAATAGATTAAAGGACGTTCCAATACTCGATTTGATGCCTAGGAGAGCTGCTGGTGCTAATAACTACAAATTAGGAAGGTTCATTTAAAAATCGAAAATTAATTGAAAACAATTTCGACTCGGGCAGGACTTAAACCGGCATCGTCAGCGCTCCGCGCTGTTGCTCTACTAATTGAGCTACCGAGTCAACAGAGCAACAGCACGGAACGGTGACGCTGCCTTCGTGTGCAAAAACATGTAAAAAATAATAAAGTTTTCAAATGTAAAATTACTTATAGTGCCCACATATGTTCTAAAAGAAACCGGCGCATTATTGAAATATATATAAATAAAACACTAATAACACAAAGAAATCAAAAGTAGAATTTAGCTTTATATTTTTAAAGTAGGTGTTACGTTTGTGATCCAACAAACCAAATTTACAACAACACAAGAAGCAACTACATCTGTTAAAGTTTGTAAATCAAAACAAAAAAACAATAGACACTAACAGTGTCAGCGCCGAGAAACATTTCCTGGCCATTCTTCAAAGTTCTCAAGACCTGAGCACCCTCGCTTAAATCATTAGAAGTGAATTTGATGCCCATGAAATTTGGTATTCTATCCGAAGCCTCCGCTACGAAAGCTGGCATGTTTACTGAAATAATTAGTATAAGATGCTTAGTAAAATTTGGTAGTTGTATCAAAGGTATCTTTAACCGCCTCACTGGCTCAACGGAACATTAATGTCCCAGGTTCACATCCAGACGAAACAATAGTGTCTGATAATCTAAATAAATTACTCACATTAAAACATTTGTACAATTTTGTTTATAATCCTTACGTATACAAAAGGAAAAGTTAAAAAAAAAAAACGGAAAAATAATTATATTGCATTTTTATATCCGTTTGGCATCTGGCCAGGGATGGATCTTCAATGCGAAAATTAGCGATTAGCTTAGTCTTCCGACTTACACAAATGTATAGCGAGATAAAAACAAGTAAAAAAAAGGATAACATGAAACTTGGATATTCGCCAATCTTCATGGATTTATAATTTGTACTTAATAACTTATACGCACTCTCAACTTTAGTCATGCTCGGTATGTGATAGTAGAGAACTGGTAAATTAGGAGCAGCCTTCGCAACCAGTTCGACATAGTTCACTAGTTCTGTGACAGATTTTGGCTTGAAATACAGCTCTGGTAACGTGAGTAGGGAATCAACTTTCGATGAAGCGCAGAACTTGGCCTATTAAAAAATAAATAAAAAATTTGAATAAGAAATATTGGCTGTAGTTTACGCGTGTATTACACATTTAAATAAACACTTTAACGGTTTAAACGCTATATATCTTGGTCAAACTTATTCGAAAATTATTTTAACTACTGCCCGATGTTTTGGATGCTTTTGACCATAGGTGCTGCAAAGGATCCGAAACGTCCTAATACTTACCTTTATTTATGTTTCTTATTACTTGTAGGTAGAAACAAAAATAAAAATATGTATATTTTGTTTCTGCTAGGCTTCAGCTAAAATTACGACCAAAATATTTACATAATAATTTTCATATCGTGTCCTTATCAGCAGAGATTAAATATATTTATATAATAACTACTGCTAATAAACGAGTTTTGGACAAATGAAGGCCAAGTGCGAATTGGAGACGTGCACTTCTAACGTCTTGTAAAACATGTCTATAAAAATTACTACACTTGTTATCGTCGCAAGTTTGATGAGTGATTTTTTAGTAGTTTTGTGCAACAGCAGATGTATTTCAGTTGCCACTATAACAATTGTGGCAACTGAAATACATCAATTGTGATAATTTCTACTGTCCAATTAACACTAGACTGAACTCCATTAATGTTTGATTAATTATTATAATTAACGGCACTGAACTCTAAAAATATATATTTTTTATTAATAAGAAGATACTCACCAATTCTAAAACGTCCGCCATTGGTGCTCCACCTACTTGAGCCATAATGTGTAAGCCATTTTTGGAGCCAACTTTTACCCATTCCTCTATTACTTTCTTTCTTTCGCTGACAGATAGAGACATATGCTCGCCAGTAGTACCGCCAACTGTCATAAATCTTTATAACTTATTTCAACCGTATACATGCTATTATGGATATGGTGAAAACCATATGATTTTCCGTTAGCTACTGTCTAGTAACCGAAAAAGTTACTGTCTATAGTTTACGCGAGTAGTACACATTTAAATAAAACACTGTAACGGTTTAAAACGGGATATACGTTTCGGATGCTTTGCAGCACCTGGTCACGAACCGAAAAAGTTACTGTCTATAGTTTACGCGAGTAGTACACATTTAAATAAAACACTGTAACGGTTTAAAACGGGATATACGTTTCGGATGCTTTGCAGCAGCCGTGGTCACGGGGACCACGGCTGCTGCAAAGTATCCGAAACGTCGGGCCGAAGTTAAAAATAATTTTCAAATAAGTTTAACTAATATATCGCGTTTTAAACCGTTAAAGTGTTTTATTTAAACCGAAAAAGTCTTAATGCTGTATGATAGGGGATTTTCTTTATCAAGTAGTCAACGAGGGCCCGGTACAAATCTACACAACTCAACCCTGGGCGTTGCGGTCCATAAATATGGTAATTATAACAAAAATATAAAAAAGAATAATCATATTTAAGTATGAGTAAATGTGATGGCAACATTTTGTTGTTAAAATCGTTTAACATGCGTTTTCTTTAAAACGCATGTTATAATGTGTGTATCCGATGTCTTTACATCGGATAGAAATTTATCCAATTCGTACCTAAAACAGCTTTAATTCCATTAACAGCCAAATATTCTGCATAAGGTGTGATGGCAGCGTAATTTACTGTTAAGTCATCATTTAGAGGTGTAAACACTGGAGGTACTAGCCCGCGTGGTTTGAAAACTACCTACAATTTTTTTTTAAATTAAAAGATAATCAATAATAAGATTTAATCGAGTGGTATTAAAACTTAACATAGATATTTTCTTTTACATTAAACCGTTGGAAAATATTATTACTAGGACTTAAATTGAAATATTTATGCTATTATGTAATGTTTACATTTTACAGTCTAATTTCATTGCATAATATAATCTTGCCCCTTACTTTATAATAATTCTTAAACTTCTCTTACTTAAGTTTGAAAATTTATGAATAAGTTATACTTGACGATATAAATCGAAAATTAAGAACTACTTACCATTTTATAGGTTGATAATGTACTTTCTTCGCTCAGGCTTGTTGATGCAATCAAGTTAGATGATAAATTAATGAATGTGTTGTGATAATTACATTTGACGCTATGTGTATGTTATCAGCTCTGTAATTCAATGTAAACAAATTGTTATCAAGAACCTAAAATAACAAAATACGTTTAGCAATTCATTATTAGTCTCAATCTTTAAAATAATTTTAGAAAAGAATAGTTATGTTACTATAATACTCTGTCTTCTGAGATATGTTTTACTAAAAAAACTAAAAAGTAAATATGCTTACTTATCGCTCGTAGCCTCTTTGCTAGCGATGCTTTGAAAAAATATTCGTTAATACACAAAATATACATAATATACAACATAGGTATGTTGTATACTATTTGTAGATTTGAAACTCATTACAACTTGACAGTGACATTTGACAATTAACTTGACATTGACATTTAATATTTATGAACAAAATAATAACATACTTTTAATAGTTATGTATAATATGTCCTCGGGAATGTAAATAATTGTAAAAATAAATACATTATAAAATTATGTGTTGTTGTAAGAAGATTATATTTAGACTGCGATTTTCTGGACTGGAGGAGTCAAGGACGAGAGGCCGGGGCGAGACGATCGATCACAATTAGCGGGTGAAGGGGAGCGGTGATTGATCTCAGCTGTTTTGCGACTTGCGCGCTTTGGACGACAAAAAATACCAATGTATACAACTAAGTTATTTATTTTTTAACATCTAATAGAAGAGGTGCAGTTTGTCCGACTATATATGCACCACGATGACGACAATAGTGAGCGAGCTTAGTATGCACGATTTAAATAATAAGTTCTTCGAAATTATGCAAAACGAAAGCAACGCGGAGGATGCGGCCAATTTTATTTACGAAAGTGTTTACGAAGATGTTGCTCTGGGATTCCTCTTTGAATTTCATCACGGGCTCAAGACCGGACTGACGGATTTAATTGAGGGCGAAAAAGAAGACGACGAGGGGTGCAAAATGGTAGTCTCACCTGAGTGCGACGTGTTCGGCTTTTCTGTTCTTAAGAAAACTCCAGATTCAAATTGCTCTTGCCCCAATTGCGAGCGACCAGTGTCAGCTACACGTTTTGCACCACACCTTGAAAAATGCATGGGTATGTCAAAAATCTTGTTTAGTTAGCTGTCTGTCTGCAACTTCACTTAGCTACATAAAAGAAACAATAATATAGATTCCACACTCTAGAAGTCCAAAAAAAAAATTATAACAGATTGCCTTGCACATTGACTGCACAAAGAAAGAACTATGCTATGTGTGAATTAAATCATTATTTAGTTCTGTCACAAGCCTTACAATATTAGTGTTCAACCAAGGTCTAAGAGACAGAAGTATGTAGTAATAACCATATACTATTTTGATATTTACATGACGTTTTTAAGGTAAATCTCCTATTCCTCACAGTTTTTACCCAGCAGACAACCTAAATTGCCATTGACACACTAAAGTTCCATACTATACTATCAATTTTATTATTGTGTTCAGGTATGGGCCGCAACAGCTCCCGTATAGCCTCCAGACGTATTGCCTCAAACAGCAGAGAGCCCACATCATATGCTGGAATTTTAAGTGATGATGAAGATGATGCAGATTGGTCTGGTAGTTCCATGCAGAGTGAACGTCGCAAACGCAGGATCAGAAATAATAATAACCGAAAGTCAAACAAGATGCATAAGTAAGTGATATTTAAAAAATTTTTACTTTCCTAAATCATTGTTTTTTCATCTAAACAAAATTTGTTAACTCTTAATTCAAGGTAGAATTATTCTATAGACATTTTTAATTCAAGTTATGTACACAAATTTAGGTTTCAATGCAAAATCTATATTAATGTACTTCATTTGAAAGCAATTAGATATTAATTTTGTTTCAGCGGCAACAGAAATAACAATGGCCACCACAATTCTGACTCAAATGATGGAGCAACTTATGAAACAATGAGCGCGAATGAAAAGAAGAATTTGCTTCAACAAATGTGTGGTGTAGTTTCTGAACACACCAAAAAACTCTGTACAAGGTGATTTATATAGAGAATATTATACCCAACAACTTTACATCAATAAATTAAGTTAGGGGTACAAGGATGGTAAATACTTGAAGTTATACAATACTTTCTTCTTGCTTTTAGATGGATTATTTCCTTTGTAATATTATAATATGTTGTATTTTGCATTTATACATGTAAAACAAGTTAACAGTACCTCTTTTAAAAAGAAAAAGGAGAACAAATGCGAATCATGAAGGTCAACTTGTTAAGTGGGCTCTTTCACAATCCTCTACAAAGGACAAGGACACTGAATGATGTTAACTCTTTCTCCTATTAACTTGTATTGCTTAATAGACTACATCAGAATTTCTTTACAATTCTATAGATCAACCCGTTGCCCGCAACACACTGAAGAACAGCGGCGCGCACTTCGAAATACTGTTCTGGAACCGTCCACACCCGAGTCCCAAACTTTATTGACGGCTGATGACGCTGGCTCTCCACCAGACTCCAGTCCTTCGTCTTCATGCTCATCATCTAGCAGGAAACGAGACAGACATCGTGGACTTAAGAATAAGAGCAAGCGAGAGAGGAATATGTCGCCTAATGCAAGAGATTAAGACACAATTCCACCTTGGAATCAAGATGACTATTGGATAATATTGTGTCCTTTTTTATTTAATGAATTGAAAGGGTTATTATTTTATGATTTGACTGAAAAGGAGTATATAGGATGTGACAGTAGCATTATTGACTAAAATATGTATCTAAGTTTTATCGATGTTGTGTACTTTAAAAATACTAATAATGAATTTTAAATCAACTTCTGTATTTACAATGGATAATGAAATAATTTGTTGCTTATTTGCTCAAGATACAAATATAATCTGTGAATTTATGATTGGTTGCTTGTTTCAATTTTATCTATTCCAAAACACTTTGAGGACTACCTAATAGGATGTTTCCATACAAAAGAAAATAATAAAAGAATAAATCGTTATTTATTCAATTAATAGTAACTGTATTAATATATGTACAATTAAAATAGATATCACATAAAACACACATCAAAGAATGTAAAAGCGAAAAACAATGATTCCTAAAAAATATTATTTTCTCAAATCTTTGGAATGGGACCATCAAATTAAATTCAATTAGTATAAATATAAATAATTGACGTTATTTAAATACATACGAGTCGTTCTTGACGGGAATTGCTTTAGATAAGAAACATCTAGCACAAACACTACATTAGTTTGTGCTTGAAACATTACAGCTAGTGTATTTATCGCCTTATATTGTATGTAATGTATAAAAAATTTCGAAATGTAAGTCTGTCTGATTACAACTTTAGGAACTTGTGTAACCAATACAATGTTGTTGTAGGTGGCAACCTAACGCTTCTAAATTTAAGCCCGACTTTAGGCCCGATTTCACCAAGAACTAATGACTTTGATTAAAGTTAACCTTTCATTGAACACAACATTTATGTCTATATCATCATTTCTTGTTAAAATTTGGTCTAAGAAATTTACACCGCAATAGTCCATGGACAAAAAGGACGTAATTATACACTTAGTTTTTAAATATTGCTTTAGTTCTGGCTAAATCAATACGTTAAATCATCCTTAATACCTTTTAAACAACTTCCAATTTAACGCAACGTTAGTTCCCCACTTCCCTTTATATTGTGTGTAAATTAAAATTATACTAAGCACCACAATTCTAGACAGTAAACGCTGCATTTATTTATTATATTGAAACCACTAAACCGTAATGGGTCCTATATTATTTTTATTAAATAATATTTCCAGCTTATATGAAAAAAAAATAGAATTGATGCGACCCAGATCGCTAAAAATATATAACAAAAATTTGGACTACTTTAATAGAAAATATAAAAAAAACGTGCTAAAAATCCAAAGACTTCGCCAATCGTGCTTTGTAGAACCACGCCTAAGGTAAAACAGCCAAATTTGAATACATACATAATACATATTAAAAATAAAATACTGTCTATCATACGTTGAATTCTAAGCTTAGTGTATCTCCAACTTTCAAGTTGAAATTTCGGCTCTCGAAAACTAATAGGGACTACCTAACATTTAATTAATAATAAAAATTGTTTTTTAATATAATTCGCGTTATTTGTTGCGGTAGTAAACAGTATTAGTTTTCAATATACGCCCCTTTAATATTGCTACAGCGACGTTTTCCAAATACAAATAAAAGACTCCAAAAGAAATATTCGAGTACAACATCGCTGCAACAAAATAGAAATAACGTTAAAATATTTAGCTAAAAACGTTTGTTGTAACGGTTATAACATAACGTTAGCGGATAATTAAAGAAATGAATAGTTCGAACCGTAAAGAAAATTCTGAATTCATAGACATGTGATTGCAGAAGACACTTGTTAATAATAATTAATTAAACGTCACAAACTAACCGGATAATTTTTCCGAGCATTACAGGTTCGGTTCTTCGCGATCTAACGAACAATACAATGTCAAATGTAGAAACTAAATACGAGGAAAAAGAAACAAAATTATTGGAAGTTTTCACATCGATCACAATTGATTTATATGATAGGGACTATTCGTCGAGAAAACAAAATATCGTCGAACCAAAGTATTTTCACTTAAGATTGCTTGAATTAATTTAAATATAGTAGTCATACCAACGTATCAATATTATAACTGTTACAACATTATTAAGTAACACGTTAAGCGTATGTTTTTTGTATTGCATGCTAAGCCACGTTGATAATGGACTCTCTGCCTTGACCCACGCCGATATATTTTACTGTAAAAGACAAAAAAGCAGTTAACGTATCGTTAAGTTAAAGGTATCTGAGAAAGATTCCAAAAATCCATGCCAAAGGCCTTTATAATAACAGCTATACATATACACAACAGCAAACACTGTCATATGGCGATCGATTAGAAGACCGCATTGTACGTATTGTCACGGATTCGAATCCTGTCTGAGACTCCGATAATATATTATTTTTAATAAACATGAACAGCCATTTGCAAATGTTTAAACTAGTCACCCATGTTAAACATAAGTCGCTTGATGTGTAACGTTTTACTTTAAACCGTTCCGGTCTGTCTTTAACTTTAAGCCTCTTTATATATACAACATAATGTCAATTAAGGTTAATAAAATATCTGTAATTGAAAGAGATAATGCAAAATTTCCATTAATAACCCTTTAATTGAATTTCAATGAATTCCGTTTAAGTTTCTACGGAACACAGATAAAAACCATTATATTAGTAACTACTAAGAAACGAGTACTGTATAAAATCAATTACTAAAATATAATTTGACATATCCCTATGAATTATTGTAAATTTAGTTAATCGTTTAGTTAATCAAGTTAGCTGTATTTTTACGAACGAATCTTGCACATATACACTTTGAAATAATTGAAATTAAAACAGTTTCATTTTTACAACACGTTCTCAAATTAAGGACTAGAACTGGCAAGAAACTCGTAACCACTCCTTTTATCGCCAAGTTTCACGTTATTAAAGTCTTCAAAAAGCTATCATTAATAATATAACTTACCGGGAACTTGTAGATAATCCTCTATGAGCTTAACGTAGCTATGCGCCTGCGCAGGCAAGTTCTTTAGCTCCCGTATCGCGATCGTGCTACAGGCCCACCCTGGCACTGTTATGTACTCCACCTATAGAACATACATACATTAACTTAAATTGATGTTACAAAAGAAGGTTTGCAACACAACTCAGATAGTCAAACCAATGGCGAAAGTCATTGCGTAATAAAATTTTATTTTCTAATTTTACTTTATTGTTATAAATTATAATAAAATATATATTAAGGATGCAGGGCTTTCTCAATCTTTTTAAAATTCCTTACTATATTTAATCTATCTATATTTAATCGTAGTATTTTTTATTAAAACAACTAAAATCATTTTATTTTTACAAACAAATTCTTAGGATCTTCTAGATTGTTGTTTTAAATCTATTATTAATAGACCTTCATTCTCCATCTTCTCTTAATAGCCAATTAATAACATAATAATTTTAACGAGATTTAAATATCGTTCTACTTTCTGTTAATACTACGTGTATTTACCTCCACAGAACTTAGTTCTGGCATGGATGAAGGGAAGTAGTCTATCTTCTTTCCATTTAATTTATAGGCCACACCCACTTTGATCTCCTCCAATGTATCCAGAATGTCTAATTTTGTCAGACATAACCTGCAACACGAAAATTAAACCCTGTAGGCTACCTCTTATTTTACAAAAATCTTATATGTATTGATAATATTAATATGCCCTAGTATCCATGTTTAATAAAAAATTTAATATCATATTAGCAATATAAGATTAATATTACATTCATACTAGTCATTTCGTAAGTACGATGTTTATTTGTATGTTCTACCATCATCCAAGCATTATTTTTTACTTTTAAAACAGAACAGAGAAAAACATTATATGGTCTCAAAAACAAAAGCTGTCTTTGTACAAGAATTTCTGCAGTGCAATGTCTAAAATTTCGGGCTCGAGCTGTGGATAAGAGCTGGGACCAATACTACTGAATCTAAATGAAAAATTGTATCTTACGAGGTATATCCATTTACTGCAGCGGTGTATTTGACCACGACCAGATCCAGCCACCCACAACGCCGCAACCGTTTTGTGGTCACGCCGAATTCATGACCACGCTCTTGCAACAATTTGCCCGTATCCTGGATAAAGATTGTGTCTTTATAAACATTGAAATTGATTAAAATTTATAAATAATATGACATTTGGATAGACAAACTGTCAGGAAAAAAAATCCACAGAATAAAACAGGAACGCCATTAAACTTCACATCTTGTCATCTGTGGACTGTAGTGGGTCGTGATCCATACGGATACGATGTTTCCACCTCCCCTTAGACCTCGGCTCAATAGTAAATGCGTGGCCTAGCGTTAAGCGTCAGACGGACATAGGGAATAGTTTTAATCTGTCGGGTTAGATTCGTTTGTAGTGAATTCCTTGCTTGTCAAATAGTGAAAACAGGATTTCACTTCCATATACATACATCATGCAATTCAGTCGGGAAGGGACCATCACCAACGCGCGTCGTATACGCCTTCACAACACCAAGCACTTCACCGATGAGGTTCGGAGGCAGACCCAAGCCCGTACACACTCCACCTATACTGCAGTTTGATGACGTCACGTACGGGTATGTACCTGTGTAGATGAAAAAGAGATTAATACAAGCAAACATTAAGTATTAAAGTTATTAGCATCCCATAAACTATCAAATCATAGCGTGTCATTATAATGAGGTTATTCAAAGCTAATTTATACTTTGTTATGCATTAAAAGTGAAACCCGTTTCCCCTTTATTATCACAACCTTAAGACTGCTTTGATGCTAGGTTTCAGTAATGAAACTATACAAAATGTATTTTATTCCTAAATGCTACATCTTCATCTACTTGATGGATGGAAATATCCCAGTCCTACAAAATTTAATAAAGATGCGCGGCTAACTTATTTTGGCTTTAGGCATTCTGAAATCCATAGATTGTTCACGATTTGGACGTCAATATTTACCATCCATGCAATGTCCAGATTTTCGATACGGGTTCGGTCAACTTTTAGAAACACATCTATAGGTTAGCGTCTATTAAAGCGTAAATAGGTACAAACCAAAATCTATATCCAACATCGCAGCGTTAGCGCCCTCCACTAGCACTTTCTTCCCATTTTTGATCTCTTTGTGCAAATACGAGACAGTGTCCCTTACGAGAGGTCGTATTTTTATCGCATACTCCTTGTATTTGGCTAGCTCGCCATCTATGTCAACCTCTAGAGACGGAAACATTCGTTTGTACGTTTCAGCTAGTGTGCGGAACCTGTTAGAAAAAACATGGTTTAATCCTTTGGCAGTTCAATAATTGTAGGAAGTGGTCAAAGTCATTATGTGATTGAAAAAAATTCGTTCGATATGACGTCGTCGTATGCGTTCTTTTTATAATAGAGGACAGATAAACATAGTTCAAAACTTTATCCGGCAGGACTTGAACCGGCATTGTCAGCGTTCCGTGCCGTTGCTCTTGACTCGGTAGCTCAATTTGTAGAGCAACAGCACGGAACGCTGACGATGCCGGTTCAAGTCCTGCGCGAGTCGAAATTTTTTTTCTATTTATTTTCGTTTTTTAAAACATGGTTCATTTAAAGGAATGAACCCTAGCCATACATCATCGCAACAAAATGCGCCGTCGAACCTATTTAAGCTTTGGATATTCGGAAATCAACAAACTGAAACCTGAACTTTTCATCTCTGGTGGACGGTGGTTCGTGACCTGATCGGAATTCTCGACATTCCGATCCCCATCTATATTATATTAAAGCTTAGTTTTGTAGACGTTTTAATTAAAAGAGCCAAATTAGTACACATCAGGACAAAATTATTAAAACTGTTTTCATTCTAAATAATATATTCTCTAGTTGTTGTCCATCAAAAACTATGAAACAGAGCCAAAAATAACAAACAGCCGTCAAACGGTAATTTAATCATACAAAGTTACAGACCATTAACCAAGACAAATGCTTGACGATTACAACGACTTATTAATAATACAATCGTGTATTATTTTACATTTAATAACATATTTATGCATTAATATTACGACTCTACAAATTCGTATCGTTTGATTGTAATTGCATGAGCCCTAGTTAGGGCTTATACAAGAACTAGCTGAGCTGAACTGGTATAGTGGAAAACAACCTACACCACCACGACTGCTACAAAGCATCCGAAACGTCGAGCCGTAGTTAAAAATAATGTCTCAAACAAGTTTAACTAAAATATATCGTGTTTTAAGCACCGTTAAAGTGTACAGACAATATCTTATGATAGTACAAAGATCATACTAACTTTTCTTCAAACATATGAAAATCGCCCAGCAGATCTCCTATTCGGATTCCGTTTCGGGTAGCTTTTGAAGAGTAGGTCGGTCCGATGCCCTTCTTGGTTGTGCCTAGGGAGTTCTTTCCTTTCTCCGCCTCCTGAAGACCGTCAACCTGAAAAAAAAATAAGAAAATTAAATCTGTGTGGGTGAAAACATTTTGAGACAATTCAAATGAAATTGTATTCATTCTACAGCACGAACACTGTTATTCCCAGTTGGAAGAAATTTTTTTTATTATCTCGTCAAGTTTATTTTAATTATTTCAATTATGTTGTTCTTCACGGTTTAATAATTAATTAAGCAATAATTAAAAACGTGATAACAAACAATTGCGTTGCATCATCAGCACGTTTACTGTCATCGTATTACAAAATACAGCAAATACCAGTGAAAATACAATGTATATTTTTGTATTTAAAATATTACACACAAGCTGAGGATGTCTATTTTTGTATATTTAAAGAAAATGGTGAAGCATGGGATTTAAGTACTTCATAGAAGATGAAATACGCCTTCGGCCGCATTATATACTGCTGCGTAGTTATTTGTCCCCATGGAATGCAAGTCCTAATTTTGTTCTTTTTAAACCTATTCTTCAATCCTTATAAATTTAATTCGCGTCCCGTCGTTCTTGCAAGTAATTTGTACACATTGAAATAGGAATACTACTTTAATACATATTTTTTGGGATATGAACTGTTTTGTCAGCGTACCGCCTCGAACCCGTAAAATGATCATTTTCAAATAGGTTTAACTAATATACCGCGCTTTTCTTAGTATCACGTTAATCTCGATAAATTGTCTCACAAAATATTGTTCATTCCCAACAACTACTCTTCACTATAATAGCGAGTTTATATAAATAATAAACTGAAGGGTTTTGTTGAAGATATTAAAATTTTCGTTTGAAGCTAAAGGGTGCTACGGGTAGGAGAAAAATAAGAAAATTTTAGGTCACAAAATTTTGATGCTCAAAGTAGGACGAAGCCGCGAGGAAAAGAATATTCTTACCCTTTTCTCTGAAATAAGTAAAATTGGCGGTTTACCTAAACCTAACGGATATAATGAGTTTCGCTCTACTACTATTAAGACTTGTTAAAAACAAGTAAATTTTCTATGAAACCCAGACAATATAAATTGTGTCTTATCAAAGTTTCATATGGAGAATCATTTAGTTTACTTTCGCTTGAAAACCAACCGTGTAGTAATTAAAAGATAACAGGGTATGTTATATAAGTATTCCGCTATATTTTTTCACAAGACAATTGAATACTCATTAGTTTTAGATACAAGCACTGAAATGGTACATATAGGTTTTAGGTAGACATGCTACGAATATTCTGCTGGTTTTCGTAGTATTATACACTACTGGCTGGGTCGGCGACTTCGTACGCGTACAATAGTTATTTTGGGTATCAACTTTTAAAAATCGAAAAGAAATTTAAAAAATTTCCGACCCGGGCAAGACTTGAACCGGCATCGTCAGCGTTCCGTACTGTTGCTCTACCAATTGAGCTACCGAGTCCCACACCTCATCGTCGAACTTTTTCAACTTATTGATACATGCACCTACCGCGCAATGTAATTTCAACATTTGGACACGAAACTTTTTAAATTATTTAAATCATTTGAAAACATTAATATTTTTCACAAGTTTTTTCCCCAGGGGGCCCCTTTTTTTTTTAAAAAACAAAAAAAATTTTAAAAAATTTTCCCCCCCCCGGGGGGGTCCCCCCCCCCCCCCCGCCCCCCCGGGGGTTTTTTCCCCCTTTTTTTTCCCCCCCCCCCCCCCCTTTTTCCCCCCCCACCTTAAATCATCTTTTAAATACGACCACTTATACAGTTTTAAAACCACATCTGTTCAAATTTTGGGGCAAAAATCTGACCGAATTTTCGATTTTTCGGCCGGGGAACCCCACGAAATATTATTTATTTGGTGTTTGTCGGTTACTATTCGTTGCAGCCTAGTTTTAGGTCTAACTCCACTAAAGAAAAGTAAGTCTTACTTGAACACGAGTAATAATTGAGACCTTGATACAGAATCACATTGCCGTCATGGTTACGGTAAAAGCCATGTATATCAACACTTATTAGATTCGTGAATTAAATTTAATCGCTTTATTATATTAAAAAGTGAAACATCAAGTATATATAACGCCTTTATAGCATAGAACATCTGGTATTTGAAACTTCGATTAATAATCAAATTTCGAACAATGCAATTAAAGCAACGATAAAACATTTAGTTAAAAATATATTTTGTGTTAGTAAACTGGTTGGAAGTAAAATGAAAAGACGGTTGAAAAAATATTTACATTGTATATATTTTTCCTGGTTGCCTGCAAGAGATCGCTTTTTAGCGATAAGCCCGCCCATTGCACTCCATATTTTTAGTATATAACTCTCGATTGTATTTTTTTAGTCGTCTTTTGTCCAATAAAGTTAATAAATAAAGTAATAAAATAAATAAATGATAATATATATTGTTAGATATATTATCATTTACAACTACATAAGATACATATATTAAATGGAGGTCCGATTAACTCAGCTTTATAGGAAGCCATCGCTATTTCGTTGTTCCTTTAGATAAGATTCTGTTTCCAGATCCGGGCCCGAGAGTTTTGGTGGAGTACCTATAGTTTTTGCGAATTCTAATAATTGAAAAACCCACACTAATAACATGCTATAATCCATTTTGTGTATTATCTTATAGATTTTTACCTGCTGATGAATATCGAATACAAGGTGGGCTCGATCTGAAATGATAAGGCGCTCCTGCCAGCCTTCCATACCCTTAAGTTCATTCTTCTTCAGCTCCTCAAATAGTCCAGGAAGATGGATAACAACGCCATTTCCTGTCAAGTAATTATCTCTATAGTTAAACAGTTGATAAGTTGCTAGAAAGACACATTGCGAGAATGATTTCTGTATAATAAAGGAATACTAATTTATAAAGCTGAAGAGTTTTTGTTTGTTTGAACGCGCTAGTCTCAGGAACGACTGGTTCGAAGTGAAAATTTATTTTTGTGTTGGTTAGAGCATTTATCAAGGAAGACGATGGCGCGCTATTTTATATAGCGTATAATATAAAACATTGCTATGTTATTAATAGGAGCGAAGAAACAGCGAAAACTGTGGAAACACGGAAATATTATTCATCATTCTGGATTTCCAACGCGTTTTTGCAGCGAAAAAACGGTTCAAGACACCCAAAAAATAATATAAGAAAAAGCTCTCGACGCTATATGTCTGTATTTTAAGATAAACTTCCAAGAACGACAGGACGCGACCGACATCGTGGGTAACAGCTTAACTTTATAAAGATGAAGTGGAGATTTGCAAAAACAAATTTGGATGTCCAAAATATTTTTCGCGGACGAAATGGCTGACACAGTTAGTAAATAAATACAAGAAATCCGTTCTTTTATCCCAGACATCCTGCATTTCATATTAAGTGGCTCTTAAGTGAGATGATAAAATAAATTGTACTATAAAACTTATAATTTATTGCGACCTTAGTGGACACAAAGGTGTTTTGCGTTTAACGTAATGATCAACTACTACGCCTGTCATATAAACGCCATATATTTGTCAAAGATATTGTAATTTAAAGGAAGATTAAAAAAAATATTGTATTTAAAAATGTTTGGTTCAGAATATTCCCTTTAAAATTTTACTGTTACTGAAATGACGAAGTCAGGCTTAGCCACTGTTACTTGCCAGCTGGAAGAAATAAAATTGTGATCATCGTTATTTCTTGTCGAAAAGTTTGCAAACGAAAACAGATAACGAGGAATTACGAAAGACCTTCAAAATAATAGGCTCCGTACCGATACACGACAGGCACCAGAATTAAATGATTTTATAATCAACTCTTTGCGACATGCAATTTATATTGAAATCAATGCTAATTCGTGAAGTCATTCGTTCATGTTCAAAGTACATTATTTGTATAGCCTTTAATATCGAAAGAATGCAATAACTTACCAAAACAGTTTTGTTGTTATCGTGAGAATGAGAATAATCCTTACTAATATTTTAAAAGCGAAAGTAACTCTGTCTGTCTGTCTGTTACTTTTTCACGCCAAAACTACTGAACGGATTTGAATGAAATTTGGTACACATATGGTCTAGACCGAGAAAGAAGACTTTTTATTGCGAAAAGGGGGTTGAAAAGGGGGTGAAAGTTTGTATGGAAATTCGTGGTTTTTGAACATTGAAACTTTCTTCTTTGGCTATTTGAGAATAGGAGTGGGGTTGGGAGTGGGAGTGAGAGTGAGAGTGGAAGTTAGAGTAGGAGTGATGTGAGGTGAGAGTGTTGCGGCAAAGTAGCACTTACAACACAGATTGGCTGCGATAAATACGCCATAACATAAATTAATAAACAGCCTAAATAATTAAAAATTCTACCCCAAGTCACTATTCCGTGCGAACGAAGTCGCGGGCACAGCAAGTTTTAAATAAAAGTTAAACACAACATGGTTCAAGGTATATTGCATACTGTTAATTATTTTAATAAAATCCCCAGTAAAGTACAAGCACTGTCAATAAATATGTTTAAACCGTATGTAAAACAAACTGCTTGGAAAGGGTTATTATGACGTTAATCAATATTTAAACGATAACAATGCTTTAGGTTTAAAGGAACTCGCTCTACCAAGAAAAAATATGTAGTGCACTTAAAAGAAACTTAGCGATAAAAGGAGTGGCGGCGAGTTTCTTGCCAGGTCTTCTCGTTCGTTTTACACCCTTGATTTGAAAAAATTGAGTCTTTAATTTTTAACTCACAAGAGTACCCAGTTACCTATGTGAATAAAAGTTTTTGACTTTCATACATTTCAAATAAAAAGTTTCGGGGATAAGGAAATGTAGTTCTAACTTTCCACTGGGTTTCTTTAAAACCATTCGTATCTAATCTTAAAAGGAATATAACTATCTTACTGCTCGGCTTGAAAATTAATGTTACCATCGGAGTACATAATTCTATGAACACTTACTATAATAAGCAATTACAATTGTGTACATAAAATGTTTTCAAATTATCTTGTCCACCGTCAATGGCCCATATTTCTTACGACATCCGAAACGTAGTTATTTTCTTAACAATTGGTATTGTATTTTTAATCGATCATAGAAAGCAAGGTTGTATTGTACAATATGGAAATCTGCAAGTAGTTCACGGTATCACGTCATACCTACACAAACGAGATATTACGAACCTGATAATAAGTAATCTCTCATAATATAATAGAATATGATACGTCAGCTGCATCGTCATCTTGCGTTGTATTATAGTTAATAGCTTCAGCAAAAAAGGGGCCATCTCATTTATAAGGATTTTTTAATCTTTAAAAATTCCATTCAGGATGGATGATCCAAATTTATCTATGTCCTTATACCATTGTGCTATATTAAATCCTACTGGCTAGTTTTAATTACTCATTCACGTGTTCACTGCATACGGTTTGATAAAACTTATTACTGTAAGAGATAAAACCCGCTCAAAGCGAAGTACACGTCTTTGTGTACTTGGCATTCCAATGTACGTTTATAAATTATTTACAATAACCCGTACAATATCGATCATTTTACCAATAAATAGATGAACAGTGTTATGTCTTGCTAAGCATATATTACTCGAATATGATTAAATTATAGAAGAACGAGAGAAAAGTTCTCCTGTCCTTTAAAGGTTGATTCTAATGTCCTATGCCCGAATTCCCAACCTTTCTGAACCGTTGCAGCGTATGTATTGTTTTTATATATTTAAGTAAACATACAAAATTAATCACGCGTATATTAAAATATTTACGCTTTAAACGCTTTTAATAAAATACTTAACGGTTTTAAACGCGAAATATTATGTTAACCTTACGTTTAACTTTTAATTTCTTTAACTACGGCCCGATGTTTCGGATGCCTTGCAGCGGTTGTGGTACGGGTACTCCCCTTAACCTATTTCGCCATCAAACCCTTTAAAAACATCCATGAAGTTTACTATATCTAAACATTGGACAACAAATATCGCTGTTTTTATTTGCTTAAAGTAATGTATCTTCATTTGCAATAAGAATATTAGTAATGCAATATAACAACAGGCACGGTTAATTCAGATTTTTGCATTTGTATGTTGTTCTTGAGTTCCACCTAAGTTCCCGCCTACTGCAGTCATGTAAAGAAGGGGTGTGTGTAAAAATGTAAATACTGTAAAACTAGCGAATACGCGAATAGCACGCATGACGTCACAATTCACTGGCGCAGCATCAAGTGGACGTCAGTCAATCATAGCAATGAAGATTTCAATATCATCCAGCCGTAACCGACATTTAATTATACGTTGATTAGTTTCTACTCGACTATGCAAAAAGGAGGAGTTTGTTTTTCTCGGCAATTATTATTTTTTGTACCTATGTGATGTTCACAACGACAAGCGGGCAGTTAGAACAGTTTCTACCGCTTAGAATACTAACGCAATTACTTCTCAACAGACATATTGTTTGACTGACTTTTTTGCAATGGTATCATGATAAAAATGTAGATCGCGTTTCTAGGACTAATCATTTGTGTCAAGATTTAATTACTGTATTTGACCTAATAAAGTAATCACTATTTACCTGCCTTTTAATAAGTACTCAATATATTTTACCAGTTACAAAAACGTGAATTTAATAACAATGGATATTTTTTACGTAACACGTTTATTTGTTGAGTGTCTTGAAAGTTTTTAAATAATATTTTATATGTATAACTGTGTATGTGAAAAATATTCCCTAACATGTAACACAGCAGTGTCAGTTATCAAATCTTGGAATTTAATACAAGTTCATATTAAATTAGCTGCTTGCATTTATAGTTTCTAAGTACTCACGGTAGGGGAAAAACTGGCCGACATTGCGTCCAACGGACATAGCCTTAAAGTAAAGATTATGTGACAGATAAAATAAAAAGATAAGCAGTGACAGATGAGATATTTAAAAGTGTAATATAGAATCACAATAACAAAGACATAGGATATTGCAAGGACATCATAAGTAGGTATATTTTACGGAAGTGAATCAAACACGAAGAGATCAAATAAACATACAATGTCTTACCGATGACCGAGGTACATTTCTGGTTAATAATACCACTCGGCAGCAAGTGGAAATCGAACTCCTTTCCGTCGACGACAACAGTGTGACCAGCATTGTTTCCTCCCTGTTGAACAATAAGATCACTGCTATATATTGTTGTCTTGATGTAAATTGTAATACAGACAAAATTTGCTATGTTTCATCCTATTATAACTTATTCTATCATATGGCCATCCCATGTCTAAGCATCACCATGCAGCTCCAGTGTGACAACTTTAACAATTACCAACATTAAAATAATGGTGATCTCTGGCATCAGCCTAACTAACTAACTAGCTCTCCAACTTACGAGGGTGATGACTAAAAAAATAAGCTTATATTGTGGTAATAAGAAGAACCTTTGAACCACTTATCAGCCTGGCCCACTTTTTAAATCTTAAAATTATTTTCAACAGCAACTATCACATAGGTACTCGTTTCTTTTAGCTCTTTGGACCCAATAAAAATATTAAATAGATACACTAACACAATCTATCAAGCATTTGTATATTGACTTGACTAATTTAGCCTTAAAATGGAGTATTTTATGTAAATATGTGTAAAACGATCTTTATGTTAATAAACAACAATAACTCTCAAACATGCCAGTTACAACATTTATTGCACAATGGAGGTTTTATGCTTAATTGAAACTATACATATATACATATTAATTGTCCATTGAATTGAATTGCATTGCATTGCAACTATAAAGGGCCTTGTTAGATGATTTCTCTTTTTGGGGCAATGTTGAAACTCCCTTTAGAATAATAGATAATGCTCTATTTAAGATCTAAATGGAATTAGGTATTAAAATATAACACAGTCTATTTTCAAATAATACAATATTATAACTCAAATATAATAAAATAGTCTTAGACATAACACATTATAAATAGGTATATTTATTAAATGATTGGAATTGTTTCCACTTAAAACTTGTAAGTACTACAGCAGATGACTAATAGGTAACTTACCATGTTATCATATAATCAACAGTCAGTTTTAATGTGTGAAAACCAGATTAATCAAGTTTCTGTTTCTAACAGATGTAATTTGACCCTTCAACTATTTTGAGGTGGAGTTTTAAACCATTTTTTTCTTGTTAGATTCAAATTAAGATTACCACTTCTGATTAGTGGAACCCTTAATCATTATTATCGTCAATATAACAAAAATACATACATACATATAATAAAACATTACATTATAGGTTTGAAAAATATTTAATATGACATATAACATGATTTATTTTTCTAATTGGTTTTATTAGACTACTTAAATGAGGAATATATCATCATTGTGAGAATATTTTGCTTAGGTACAGAGCTAATTTTCTAAATAAAAATCGAAATTGATAGTGGCCATGACAATAAACGGCGTCAACCTTGGCAAAAATCCACAATTTTATTAACATCTATTTACGTTTCAAAGCATTACGCTCTGCATCAATCAGGATCACATGATCAAAAAACAAATGTAATGTTCGCGGGAAAATCGTATTGTTACGTAATTTAACGATACACGCGGAATGACCTATGGATGACTCGAAGTCAAGAGATTCAATGTTTGCCAGAATTTATTTGTAAACGAATTTTTCTGTTTTCAAACAACTTGGCTATGTGCCAGAGGAAAGAAATTTACATAAGGTGAACTAACAAAAGTTTAACGTCACATATTACCTATTATTACAGTATAAATATCAACACTATTCCAAAGTTCACTTTGTAATTTGTTTGGCTCAAACTAACCTCAAAACGTCTGGTGTAAAATGTAAACATTGGACTGCGAGGTTAAGCGGAAACTTGAGAAAAGCACCATATAAACAAATAGTGATAGCTGATAACTAAATGATAAATAAATAGAAATTAAAAAAATAAATAGTCACCTGGCAGCGACACACGATGTCTGAATTCAAAGCCAAGAGGTCCACAACTTTTCCCTTGCCTTCGTCGCCCCATTGCGCACCCAAAACAACGGTTACTTTATTAGACTGCATTTTTGGTAATGTGTAAACACAGTCACCGTTAATTTCTGAATGCCTCGAATTTGTAATCGAAGCCATTTTTCAGCGAAGTCTGAACTCCGTTCTAATGAAAGCTGCACAACATGCGCGCGCAACCGCCGACGAGCAAAAAGATTTTTTTCACACTTTTCCGGTGACCTCCAGAGTTCAGTGTTTCTATGATGAAATTTAAATTTGCCCGCTTATCGTGGAAACTTAAGTATGAATACAAAGTTATTACGTTGCATTTATTAGTAAAACCACAAATTAATATGGGGCTTAAGGAAAAATATTTTAAAGAATATAAATTGTAGATGTAAAAACTCGAATGTCGTCCTTTTATTCAATAAGCAGAATTGTTTATGTTTTCTTATTTTATAGTTCTTATTGAAATGAAATAATAACCTTAATATATTATTGATGTATATTACCGCAATTTTACCAAGTTGTATGCTAAAAATATACTAAACAAACTGATTTTACGTTGTTATTACAGATTATTTTGAAATAGCAGCACTGGCAAATGTCAAAACATATGTCAATAGTGATAGTTTTTAAAGTTGAATTGTCATAATAGCATTCATAAAAAAGGAGACAGATGTATACGTTTTGAAGGGAAAAATTTATCATCTACAATTGTTTTTAATGTTGCAATATTAATTGCGAATTCCAAAACATTTTTTTTGAGATGTTATATCATCCACTCAATCATTATGTTTAGTTGTCAATAACAATATTAAAATTTTTGTCAATCACAGAAAATATCTTATAGAGAAATATAAAGGTAAGTATTAAATTATAAAAATCTTGGGAATAATAGTATTATCCTGACAAGAATATGATCAGCTGTCAAGTGTAAACATTCTTTGTCTCACAAATGTCATTCAGGCCATTCGTAACGAACGTTTCTTTTGTTTTTGTAAATAAATATTTTTCGTAGTTTCGAATAATTGTAATTGTATAAAATGAATTAGTAGACATACAATCGGTCATATTGCATTGTGTTGTGAAATGGAATTTTCTTTTTATTATTTCCTTTTACTTTTGTATTCTGTGGCCGGTAATGACGAAAAGGAAAATGAAGATGAAATTAAGAGACGGAGACTCATTGAACACCTTACGAAGACCCGAACTGTGTTACTGGATGGTTACCAACTCGTCACCAGGCAGATAGCTACAGATGTTTTTATGTACAGAAGTTATAGAACAGTATCTGTTTTAGTTTATCCTGTAAGAGGTGATATCTCTGAAGCTCTTTTTACTCTGCAGTCAGAGGAATTACACTTAAATAATATTGGTTTGTATTTTTTTTTTTTATACTGTGTATTTTTGAATATAATGATGTCATTTCATTTTGTAAATTAATTTCATATGAATAACATATCATATCAGATAAGGCTTATCATTAATGTAGAAGCGTTTTGGTTAAGGAGTGACTATAAATAGCCTGTAGATTGATATATTTTAGGTTCATGTAGCCCACAAGAAGTGGTAATAAATTTAAAACATGGGTCCTACCCTGCGGTGAATCCAGACGGCTACAGCTTTCCTAAGAACTTCATAGACCCTCATTCAAGAGAGAGGATACATGCATTGGAAATGTTATCTGATGGCAAGAACAGGACCTACACAATATATAATCCACAGCCAGGATACTGGTTTGGGCTAGTTTATATTAAATGGCAGGATCCAAGAGGGCAAAAAGTCGAGCAAGAAGGTATGTATTATCTATGATTACCCCTTATTAATATAGCTAAAGTATTTGCTTGAATGTACACCTGAATATAGAAGTTGAATTTTGAAAACTTAGCAGTTTTATCTATCAAGGAGGCAAGATAATTTTTCTAATGGTGTTATTTTGTGTGATTCAATTAATTGTTATGGGGAAATGGTTAACATTGATTGATCAACCCTTTGGCCTTCTATTCGTATGATATATAATAAATAAAAAAATTTTGCATAAATATTTTTATGCACACAATGTGCATTTAAAATTGTATTTGACAAAATTGATTCCTTTCCTTTAGAGAAGTTTCTTAAATTAATTTAAAAATCGATAATATATTGAACAATTTTTCGACTCGGGTAGGACTTGAACCGGCATCGTCAGCGTTCCGTGCTGTTGCTCTACCAATTGAGCTACCGAGTCCTACACCTCATCGTCGAATTTTTTCAACTTATTATTACATGCACCTCTCGCGCATTGTAATTTCAACCTTAACACTTGCGTATTAAGTTTCTTAAATTGTAAAAAAAAATGTTTCCTAATGGAAGGGCTTGTTGGTGTGACGGTAGCAATGTGTCGCTAATAATACTCAAAGTTTCAATTGCCACCTTCGATCTAAAATTTTCGAATTTAAAATTTTCTTCGAAAGTTCGATAGAAAATGAGTTGGAAGAATAACAAAATTCCGCGCCGATAACAAACCACCGTCCATAAATGAGAAAGCCGTGAAGTTTAATTATGTTACAAGTTTAGTGTGCGGATTTTCGAATATCCAAAGCCAAAGTAGGTAGGCAGCGCGTGTTGTTTAAATGTTACGTGGATGGAGTATTCCTGCCACCAAGTAAAGAACTGTTTGGTGTAATTTCAATTTGAAATAGCACATTGCATTAACATGCATGCAATTTTCATCTCATAACAATTTTATCAAAATGATAAGATGACTAAGAATATAACGCTGAAGAGTAATTTCAGGAACTACTGATTCGAATTGATTTTTTTTTTGTGTTGGTTAGACTATTAATCGAGGAAGCCCATAAAATGTAAAACAAGCGGGAAAAATGATTCATGTTTAAGAATTTCCGTAGCATGCGCGGCAAAAATGGTTTAAGATACCTAAAAATATGTATGAAAGAATAATTTCACTTAAAATTATCTAAAAATAGCGACGACGACGGGACGCGAACGATGTCGTGGGTAAAACAGGTATAATTTATAAAGATGAGCAGTATGCAAAAACAAATTTTGATGCCAAAATAACTATGCTACGCTGACGAAGTCGCGGGCACTGCTAGTAGGTATAGATAAGTAACCGGTGCCATAAGTCACAGAATGCTACTTTTAAATGTTTCAAGTGCCTGAAAGTTTCGAACGCGAGATAGATCGACCTATACCTTGCCTCACAAAGTAACGAACGAACGCACTATCACGATTTTGTACCGCATAACTAAAATATTTAATTGAAGTAGGTGTACACCTACTGGCCCATCGTCACGGTCAGGCTTTGTCACACGTCGCTATTCTCTTGTACAGGATATTATTGATCTATGATAGTGACTACGTTGAATTGAACTCCACTTTACATATTGACCTTAAAAGGTAAGGGGACTATAATGATAATTTGGTATTTCCTACCAGCATCTAATGTATTGTAGTTTCGATCACGATGTTTTAGCATAAACTGTTATATCATGTTAAAAAAGACTTTTATTTAAATAAAACTTTTTAACGGTTTAAAACGCGATATATTAGTTATTTGAAAATGAATTTTAACTTCGGCCCGACGTTTAGGATGCCCGTGACCACGGCTGCATTTTCAAATAAGTTTAACTAATATATCGCGTTTTAAACCGTTAAAGTGTTTTATTTAAATGTGTACTACTCGCGTATACTATAGACGGAATTTAATAGAGTTTTATATTAGCGATATAAATAATTAATAGTACACTTAATTTAATTATAATTTATAAGCTTATTTCTTTAGGTTGGTTCTACAAAATTCAACTCTCCTTGTATATTTTTATAAATATAAAATATAGAGTCTATAGACTAAGACATTTGTTTCATTATAGTTAATAGCATAGTAATTTATTAATATAATTAATCATTGTTCCTTATTATATGTCGTAATATTTTTTGAAACATGATCTAGCTAGTAACAGTGCATCAAATCAAAATGCACTGCGTTTTAAATCGACCCCGAAGCCAGTTGCGCATATTGGCTTGATTGTAACCACTTCCGACCTACTTGCACGACTCCATTCAATTGTCGTAGGTGTGTTGGGCCCACGCTAGTCTTGTTTCCTTCATTTTAACAATTATCATTACTTTTATTTTATATTGAGGACACCAATACAAGGCCGAGTGATCAGTCCACATTATGTGCTAATAATTTCACCCATTTCCCTTTTAGCCAAGGTCCGCCACATTGGGTTATCCAACCCTTCAAACCTTTCGGTTTCTCTTAAATATTATATAGTTTTGTTTAAGCTTTGATATCATGTTCTACTATGTGTGTTAGCCGTTTTTTTTATTTTTTATTTGAAGGACATATTCTGTGAGCCGGATACTTGTTTCCTCACTCTCTTTGTACTATCAGGGCATAAGGCCTATTAATTTAAAATGTCTGTTTAGACACGTAAACTATGTGGTAAAGGTAAATAGTGTATCTGTGTTAGCTTAAATAGTTCGAAAACTAGTTTTAGATCATTCAAATCACCAGACAGTATAATTGAATTCGTTAGGGAAAAGTTACGTGTATATTATTAGTACGACTAAGCTCATAGGAAACTAAGATTCATAATAATGTACATCAAATAAAGGAAAATACATAAATATTAAATACTGTCTATAGTTAACGCACGTACTACACGTTTAAATAAAACACTTTAACGGTTTAAAACGCGATATATTAGTTAAACTTATTTGAAAATTGCTGCAAAGCATCCGAAACGTCGGGCCGAAGTTAAAAATAATTTTCAAAATAGTTAACTAATATATCGCGTTTTAAACCGTTAAGGTGTTTTATTTAAATACATAAACATTACTTATTTTCTATAAATATTAAATCTGATACATATATTGACTGTCCCATCTTGCGGCAGAAAATAATACTTGCAATCATACGATTTTTTCAAAACACTGCAATGGGCCACAAGCCAAAAAGTTAATCAAAACAAATTCACCTTGCTATAATAGTAATATTTGAACTTTGTTACAAGGTGATAGAGTGCAGTTCTGTGTATATACGTGTGAATAGAGATCTATGTCAATGCCTTAGAACTTTAAATTGTATAAACACCTCTTCGTGTATTGAATTTGATCATTTCTAAAGTGCTTGCTCTTAAGATTCCACTTTCGGTGATGTGCCAGCTTTAAAATAATGTGTGACTGATTAAAACTAAAAGAACGTGATTGATACTCCTAAAAGAACGATACTCAAATTTCCTACTAAAGGGTTTTGTGTAAGTGAAATAATTTATCTATTAGTATTATTTTATAATTTCAGGTCTGGTAGCTGACTGCCACACTATTTTATACACGGATCTACAAGTGAAAAGGGAACAAAAGATAGAAATAATAGACTGTTATAGTCCTTTGACCATCGACTATCACCAATTACCAGTTTTATACAAGTGTATGGCAATCGATAGTACAGATCCCATAAGTCTGAATTTATCTATTACAAATGCAGTAGCGAATGAGTCGAAAATTACATTCCAAGTTCAAGCTTCTTCTATACCTTCAGAAAATAGGTATACAATTTACTGTGCTTTTGATCCAAGACTGAATACTATACAAATAATAAACTTCGATTCTTCACCTAATACTTGGCACTATATTAAAATAAACACTGTTCCTGGTAATATATCAAATATAGCAGACTGCGAATCTTACTACCTCAGAGATTTTGATGAATCGGTGAATCAAACGATTGTAGATCTTATGCGAGACGACAAAGGTCGATTTTTCACTTACGACTATGGATTGCCAACGACTGACTTGCAAGATGCAACCAGTTTGTTAAATATTTCGTCCAATGAAATCAAAGCTTTACGATTCAAAGTGAACGAATTTATCGACATCGGTGGGAATTTAGCCATCGAAGCCAGTCTCTTGATGAGCTTGAAATATTATATGGGATATAGACGAGAGCTCAAGAAGGGGGCGCTACTTGCTTTTACTGAGGACAATCAATTTATCAGAGCAGTTATTTGTATGAACATCGGCCACCCAAGCATACCTCTTAAGACTGGTAAATGTAAATTCAATGATAGAATTACGACGGCTTTATTTGTTTTGAACAGTACCGACTCGGAGTCGATTTATGAAAAGATCTATATTCCTTATCCAGAGGGTGGAACGTGGTATTTAACGTTTCGTTTGTTTTGTGATGAAGTTGTCTGCCCTTGTCCCACATCGGATAATGGAACGAAATACTATGTCGCTACTTCAACCTCAGAAGGAGACAGCTCTATAGAATCAAGTACGTTTTCAAACATCACAAGAGAAGGCGAAACAGAGTGCAACGCAACAATCGTGTTATCAATATCATCTACATCTTGCGTCAATGGGAGATGCAGTAACCATGGCAACTGTGGCTTAAATACTTTCGGAGGATTGGTGATGTCGTATTGCTCCTGTTCATCTGGATATGGAAGTAAGTGTTTCACTATGACAGTTATATTATTTTTTACTTATGCCAAAACTAACAATGTAAAATTATACCTTCATATTTAACGTAATCCTAAATAATTCATGGGCATGGTCTCTTCTATTCTATAAACCTTAATTATAATTATCTATTTTTCAGGTTGGGATTGCTCAGACGATTCAAGAATGGACAGTAAAGCGTACATGCTAGTTTCCATCCTACTTCTGACACTCAGCAATTTTCTCTTTCTCTTCTCCATATATGTTGCAAGCATCCGCTACTATTATACAGAAGCTATGATGTATGCGTTTACGATGGTCTTCTCCAGTTTCTACCACGCATGCGATGCTCCCGCCCAAGTCGCCTATTGCATAATCAGAGGCAACATTTTACAGTTTGGAGATTTTTACTGTGGTTTAATGTCTTTCTGGGTAACCCTTCTCGCGATGAGTATAATTGGTGATAAATTGAGATCCACCCTTCAGCTAACTGGAGCGATCGTCATAGCCCTCCTGACTACCTGGAATATGCATTCGTTTGTGTCGTTCTTATTGCCAGTTGCCGTCGGTGTTGCCATACTTTTAGCATCGTGGTACATAGACTATAGCAAAAGTCGTTATATGCGATACCCGAAGTCGTACTATACAAGACATTTGCCGTTAGGTATCGTTTTAGTTTCAGTCGGTTTAATCTGTTACGCTTTTTTGCAGACGGAACAGAATTACAAAATTGTTCATTCTATATGGCATATGATAATAGCACTAAGTGTTGCTTTCTTGTTGCCAGATGTGAAAAGAAATGATGTTAATGCATTCGTCCCAAGCCCAGGTTATTGTTGGAGACCGATTTGTAACATGTTTAAGAGAACAAATAACCAATAACGCATTTATAATAATTAATAGCATTTAATCTGCACAACTAAGAATTCAATTCACCAAATTGAAATGACTATGATTAACCAACTGTTGTTCCCAAGGTTAAAAAATGGCAGAATTATTTATTAAAATCATAGCCTTTTTCAGTTATGTTAGGCTTAATTTATTTAATTAGGCCTAACTTCAGCCTAATTAGCGGTCATAATAAATTTAGCACGAGAGTTTCTCGGTTGGAGTCCAAGAACAACAATAAATTGTTCGGGACAGAACTTCCCTTACTGCCTGTAGTTAAAATCTGTTAATGAAACAGACACCGAAAAGGCCTTATGGCGCAAGAAGAATTGGAATTGCTTGGTTGGTGGAGTGAAGAATAATTTTCATCATTAAAAGTTGTGCAGTTTATGTGGTTGATGCAATTTTGGACACAATATTAAGAGTATATTTCTATGAAACAAATACTTAGAATAGAGTCGTGATGCAGGTGTAAAATCTATATATATTTAAGCTAGAATTTAAGTAGTAAGTGAAATAATAATAACCTAGTCAGCAAAAGAGCAGTAAGTAAACACTATTGTGATATAGTTTATCATTTTTAAAATATCCACATGACAATACACTAGGGAATTGTTCAAAATTTACACATTTTTCATACTACATTTGTAAATAAGTGTAAATTATAGATGTTAGCACTATTGCCATTAAGTAACATCTTCCTATTATTATACAAGTTGTTTTAAATATTTCTATTCTATTTTACATTCCTATACAATGTTCATAATACTCGTTATTTTAGTACAAATCATGTCGAACATGCTTTCTACTCATATACACAAGCTAATGCTAATAAATGATGATTTAAACAAAATAATACTTCGATAGAACTCTGTGTTACTACTGAAAAAAAATTGTATCGGGCAGGACTTGAACCAGCATCGTCGTCAGCGTTCCAAGCAACAGCACGGTGCTGTTGCTTGGATGGACGCTTCAAATATTTTTTCATATCTAAAGATAAGTGTTTCTTTCTTATAATTATTATCGTAATTGATTTAATTATCTTATCTCTTAATACACGTCCAGTGAACAAAGGCCTTCTATTTTAAGATTTAAAACAACATAAATCTGGCTTATTCGTAAATAGTTACCAATAAATCTAACCATAGTTAAAGAAGGTGCTCATTTGAGTGGAATTATTTTAGCTGATCTAATAGCATCAAAGACAATGATAATATTATTTAATATGTTGGTAGATGATATTGGTGCCTTGTAATTAACTACTACTCATATAATATTACATGATCAGTTTGAAATGTGCTCAATATTGTCTTTGAAAGATGTGAGGGTGTTCTCTGTATTAGAAAATAGTGACCACATTTCTCCTGGATGCAATTATAATTTCATAAATACTAGAAAGACTTTGTCAACAAATTTTTCATAATTAGTTCTTCATGTAACAGAGGGCATTCTTATTTTAAATGCCACATACTATTGTATAAAATAGCAAACCATAGCTTTTTTGCTTAAGTACATCTATTATTATAAGATCATTTTATTGTCTATATTTATGTTTCATGGTGAAACAATTTTTGTCCCATTCTATTTCCAATTCCATCTATATGTTGAAATAAAGACTAACTCCAGAAATTATTGTCGATAACAAACATTTCACATTAGAGAGACATAAGGTGTTTAAATTGTATTATATAATCAATTATTTCAAATATGCAATAGCTCTTTTGGCTAAATTCACGTTTTTGTTACATTCCTTACAACCTTGCTCAATTTTTTCTTACTTATTGAGACTTGACTGGTTTGAAAAAAATTATTTACTTTCTTTATTTAGTAATTTTTCAATAAAACTTTAGAGATTTCTGGAGTTATTTTTTCATTATTAAAGTTAAGTATTTTATGTAAATTATTGTTATGTGAGGTATCCTCAATTATAATATGTGATAAATAAAAACCAAATATATGTATAAAATTGTTTTTATTCATAAATAATCAGTATACTGAAATAAGATAACTGTATTTAAAATGACCTAACTGTTCCTGCACCATATCTTATTTCTTTTTCAAATTGTTCAGCTTTTAAAGTTCCATCAATACTTTTACAATCCTTATTAAAAACACTGTATGCAGAGACTTCACCTTGTTTCTTAGGCTTAGTGCTTGTATTAAGGCAAATTCCAATTAAAACTGATACAACAAAGAACACTGCACCAAATTGGAGGTATAGAAATATTATATATAAAGTTAACCAAATCACACCATATATTGTCCACTTTACCAAGCTGTACCTCCAAGATTCCTGGTTTTCTTCAAGAGTTTCTATTTCACTAACTTCAGATGTGACATCAGTTGAATCTTCTAGTTGTGACTTAGAATTATAAAGTAATGTATCCTGTTCTTCATTTTCCAACTGAGAAAAAGGTACCTTTCATTACATTACATTTTAGATGATTTATGCAAGTAAGAATAAAATTATTTATATATAGTTTAAAAATCCTACTTCCCTTCCCATTTACTGGCAAGTTAATCAGACCTTTGTGCCCTGCCCAAACAAAACTGTTTATTGATTGAGGCACAAAACCTGGACAGCTTAATGCAATGAGAGCGCACAACTAATAATGATTTTTTCTTTTGTTAAACTCACCAATATAACTTCTTCTTCCTTCTTATCCATATCAACTACTTTATTAGGTACTAAAAAATTTATAAACTTTTGTTTAGAATCTTCCAGTTTGGTTTTTACGTTATCAATGAACTGTTGACGTCTTCTGAGAGCTCTATATTCTTTTAACTTCTGTTCCATTTGTATATTTGCCTTTAAATATATTATATTTTCACTTCACCAATCTAAGCTAGTTAGACATGCAAGTTAGCAAAGCAATTTCGGTGCCCATTCTTTATGGCAACTCATTACGGAATGTTAAACCTAATATAGAACTCTAAATAAGCAACAACAATTAGTAAATGTTTCAAACCTTGTAACTGTGCAGCTTAAACAGAAAGAAATAAGCATTTACAAGAAGGTTGTTTCAGTGTCAAGTTTTAGTAAATCACATATAAAGTTTAACCTTCTAAGTAAATAGATTTAAGTTTTAATATTTAAAAGAGTGTAAAAAAACACTTAACACAAGTTTTCGATATATTTGAAGTCAAAACAATAACATTGAACAGCTGGCAATTAGTATATTGTGTCATTACTGTCAATGTCAGACATCATTTAAAGTTCCATAGATTATACAGTGAAAAATTATAACGCCTATTTTTTTATGGCAATATTGTTAAAATGTTAATACAGAGGGTAGAATACGCGACTGCGCTCTAAGTTACAAACATTGAGATCAATATTTACCTCATTTTATGTATAACGATTACGTGAAATGTTTAACTGAGAAAGTAACAAATGGAGCACCAATCGGATATGGGAGCTTATGTAGAAAGTCCCAATGTACAAAACAGTGGGAATTATATTACAATTATACCAGTTGAATATACGCGGCGGGGATATCCTATTCAAGCTGAATATCAATACAAGTAAATATGGTTCTAATACTTACGACTAATATAGCTGTTTTATTACTTACTAAAAACTAACTGTGTGATAATGTCAGTGATTTCAGATCGCGCGAAGAGTATTATTCAGTACAAAGCCAAAAGTTGCAAGCCGAGGTGAACGCCCACTTATATTCTGTATCGCAGCGTTTACCCCATCTTTCGTACAGCCCGTTGGGACGGCACGGAGAGTGGGACAAACATGACACTCACAAACCATTACCTGATTCGAAGGAGAGCAATAGCTCTGATTCGTTGGAAAAGAGTGTTATGGGTAAATAGAGCGCCGAAAATGATTTCTTTTTTTAACACATTCAAGAATTTTGTATTAGTAGGCCTTTTATCTTTGTTATATATATTTTGATTGTCTTTTCTTATGATAGCGGGAGATAGACAAGCATGAATTCACTTGATTGAAGCTTAAATTCCACATCCATCCATAACATTTCAACGAGATGCCGATTATTGGCTATGAATATTCGGAAATCCATAGAACCGAAACGTGAAATAACTTTACGGCTTTTTCATCTGTGGACGGTGGTTAGTGGACGGATATTTCCATATTCCTACCGCCCATTTAGTTCCAGATGAAATTCAACATGTTTCAGATTATAAATAGATAAGAAACATGTTGGGCCTGGCGAGAATCGAACTCACGGCCCATTGATTATTAGAAGAAAGAGCCCGTGAAAAAATAACAGCCCCTAATCCGTGAAATATTTACCATACAAACCTTTTGATATCCTAGCTGTTCCTAGTTCTCAAAAAATGTCAGTCATTCATATTTTGTAATACTTTCAGGATCCAACCTTAGCAGTTGCTCAAATCAAACCGGTTCCAGTAGTATCGCCGCGGGATCGTTTAGTACAGCTGACCCTATAACTAGCGGTGGGAGTTCATCTAGTGCTATTTCTCCACCATTACCTGGTATAATCTTTTCTTTTAGAGAAGTCAAATCTTAACACCGCCTAATGGCAGGGACGTATATAATTCATGGCTATTAATTAGTATTTTAACCACTTCGTTTAGGGACTTATAACAAAATAGAAAAAGACATCAAAAACATTACAAATATTAAGTGACATACTAACATCGATTTTATTTTTATACCATTCGTTATTGCCTAGTTAATGACACCAGGCGCATATACTTTTAGCATGCAATAGTGTTTTAGTATTCTTAGTTAAACTATAGAAATTACTTTCATTTGAAAATTGGTAAACTCAAGTAAAATTGTCATATAAATTCCAGGTTCTTCAGGTAGTACAGCATCGTCTTCCACTGGATCATCTAACCCAGTTACCTGTATCTATTTAATGTCACGCGTCGCTATCATGGTGGAGATGAGTTCCGAAGAAATTCCATCTTGTGTGACGGCTTCCCGATTTCTCAATGCGGTACTGGCTACTGAGGAGTTGGGTCTAAATACTCCGAGCGCAAGAAACTTGGCTGCAAACGTATTTGCGTTATGGATGTGTAGTCCTCTGTTAGGTATGAACTATTTGGTATTTTATGAAGATCAAGCCAAATCAAAATACTATAGGCAGATCATGAAATTGTTTGGGTTTATAAGACTAAGGTGGTAGACGTCTAAACATAGTACTTTTGCTTTTTAATGATAAAAAATACGTTTTCAAATTAAGATTTATTATATTTTTACTTCAGTCTAAAATAATTTCGTGAACGTATAAAACAAAAACAAGCCCACCAACCGAGTCGAACATAAAAATGATAAATGAATTAGAAAATGCTGGGCCCGGTGGGGACCGAATCCACGACCCGTTTAGTAGCCTTACATTGCTACAACTACACCAACGACCCCGTCGAACTAAAAATTAATTATAATTACATAAAACGGTTTAAAGCATACGTATGTCAATATTTGCAGAAATACAATTAAAACCCCACCATTGTCCGTGGCGTGTTTGGGCTGGTTGGCAGAAACTTCTGCAGCGGTATGGCCATGCATCAGAGTCACGTCGGTCCAGAGATCAGCCTGCGCTTAGGCTACAGAGGAATGTCTTCTTTCCAAAACATCTAGAAGAGGGAATAAAGTAAGCGTTGTATCTATTCTTTATCCACAATTAATGTCGTTTAATCGTAACCTGTTAATAGCCCACAGTGGCAGATGTTTTAGTGAGAATTTAAGCACACCACGCCGTTTTTACAGCCACACCATATCATTGCAACGGTGTCTTACAAAACTTGTGTGTCCCAAACCTCTTTTAAATCAAATGAGTCTGAAAACTTTAACATTTTCACATGCACTATACATATAAATAAAAAATCGATTATTAATTAAAAAAACAACTCATGCAGGACTTGAACCGGTATTCACAGGGTTCGTTGCTGTGGCTCTAACCTATTGACCTACCGAGTCCTAGACGTCTAAATCAATTTTGTTCAACCTTGATTTGATACACGCACCTCATTCGCAGTGTAATCTTAACAAGTATCAAATAAGTCTATTTATTACGTCATTCGACCCAGATGACAAAGGGACGTATATTCTTAATCAATGTATTTTATTGGTTTTAAGGGACTCGCGTATCCAGGAATTGTTGTATGAAGAAGCTCGGCATAATGTGGTGACGGGGCGGTATCCGTTGGAAAGCGCACAAGCTCTGATGCTAGGCGGCCTCCAAGCTAGAATACAACTCGGTCCTTACGATCCGCACAGGCATACAGCGAAATTTTTTAGGTACGTTTCGTGTACGTACAAAGAATATTTATTATATTAGTGTCTTATTCAAATAAAACACCTTTAACGGTTTAAAACGTAAACAAATACATTAATTAACTTATTTACAATGTATTTCATCTACGGCTCGCAATTTCAGATGCTTGTAAAAATAATATATTATATTAAAATAATATAAATTGTAAATAACAAAGATATTTCACGTTTTAAACCGTTTTTTAGAAGATGTGTTCTACTCGAAAATCTGCAGACACTACTTAATCGTCATGCATTTAAGATTAAGTTTCGAAATGTATGATATTGAGTTAATGAGAAAGAATCTCAAATCATAATCCTTATTTTGTAGTTTAATGATGCCTGAATTAAATTTGTTTTACTTATTTATTATTTCTTTGTCCAGAGAGAATCAAGACAAATATCTTCCGAAACACGCGAGATCTGGACGTTGGACTCGCTTGTTACCGGCTGGACGTAAGGGGAGTCCTGAAGCTAAACTTCTAGAACAAGCTCAAAGACCGCCTGCAGCGCCACCTAGGAAGTTGAGACACAAATATTTGGCGCATACTAGAACATTGCCGACTTACGGGTAAAGCTTTACTAGAATTTATTGTGGCCAACGGATAAGTCTTTAGTACTCTTGTTATATTGACGTTTTAGATGACATGGGGTTGACTCGACGTAAGGTAAAATACTTCAGCCATGTAACTTTTCAACAAGATGCGTATTCGACTTAGTTTGGCTTTGGATGCCTGACCAGGACGGCATCGCGACATATTTATCACTCAATTTATATCCAGATTTCCAGACGAAGTTGTGTTTCAGGAAAAATACAAATTGTCTAAAAACATGTAAGAACGGTGGGGATTCAACTTACGACTTGCTACCAACGAGAACATTAAATACTATTAACTAAAGTTAGAAGACATTGTAATGTCTTATATGTATATAAACTATTCTTTTTCCATAGTTAAACAAGCTTTTAACACAGAATAGCTCTAGTATGAATTAAATTTCAGCGCAGCTTTCTTCCAAGGTCAAATCGAGCAGCCAGTACGGAGTCTCACCAGTCTCTTGACTCATGAAGATATTCCAGTCTTAGTGGCTGTTAATTCTAATGGAGTTTATGTCATTGATGATACCGAGAGTGTAAGCTTTCATTATAAATTAATGATTTTCAGCGTGTCTGAAAAGTAGAAAATGGTGGTAAACCATATATCACATGCCTTTCTTCCTTCTATAAGTGGTCAGTTCTGATTATATCTTAACAATTATTGTTTTCTTATGATTTGTTATATCTTCATGTGAACTAAATGTTTAATATTATATGACTTTGATATTTGTTGGAGGCTAAAATGACATTTAATTATGCAAAATACAAAAGCTACAACCGTTTTTTTTTTCATTTTTGTCTGAAGAAGGTTTTTTTTTATTTTTGCAAGGAGATGAGCGTAAGCTGAAAAATCTTAGGCGCGCTATCAAAAACTTATTATCTATCTTCTAGACGGTGTTACTAGGATTGTTATATGAAGAATTGTCTTGGGATATTGGTCTTCCATCAGAGGACAACGAAGACTGCTTGCCGTGCCTCTTCTTGCAGTTTATGGTAGTTGAGAACGGATTGAGAGTCTCCAAAATATTGCAGGTATCCATAAACACTCTTAACATTTTAAGCCAAAAATATAAAAAAGCATTAACTACATATAAAAGTAAAATTACCTTAGTAGAAAGAGAGATTATGTTCACCAAAAATTATTAAAAATTTTCAGGTATTTTCTAAACAAGCAGTAATGATGGATACATTAATTGAGCATTTTGCCGGTGAATACCGGAAGAGGTTAGGACAAGAAACGCCGAGTGATCACGCCAATTATGATTATCATTCAGGTATAAATAACAAATATTACTACCTAGCTCGACGACAAAAGAAATGCAATTTTCAGTAAAAGAACACTTATGTCTAGATATATAATTATCTGCATGCCATAGCTTAACTGCACGAATATTTTTATTCTTTTTTAATAAAATTTATATCTATTTACTTATTCGTGAAATGTCTTTTTAGACTCTGGCAGTATTTCCCTCCCCCCACTGTCGCGACCAGATTCCCCCCAACGTCGTCTTGCCAATAAGCTATCTCGCCTTGCGTTAGCGACGCACGACGGTAGAGGAAACCTCTTAGGGGGAGCAGGAGATTGGTCTTCTGGCTTACATCACACTCAACCGTCATGGATATTTCCAAAACATTAAATATAACTTACTATTATTGTTTTTTTATTTTATTTACTGTGCAATGGTATAATAGATGATAATTCCTCAACAGTTTATCCACTACTCAAATTATTACAATTCACCATTTTGAAAGATCGGTAAACTTGTCATCCCAATTTAGATATAATAATTATTGATTATTGGGAGAGTCTTTAGATTCAGAGTCTAAAGAAAAGAGGTAAACAACCATAATATAATTCAACGAGTAATAAAAACATCGGCTAAACTATTTGAGTCTATAATAATGTCTCATCCGATTGTACTCCCTGAGTAGCGGATGTTTATCCAGGTATTCCTGTAAAACCTTGAATCGTGGTGCAGAAAGGTCCTTATGTCTTGTGAGACGGACTTCAAGTGTGTGAACTTTAAATGCCAGTTCAGCGCTAAAAAATTACAATATATTCTATAAATACGTAGTTGTCCTTAAATGTTAAGTAGAAAAGAAAGTGAATTTTCACTTTTCCAATTCTAATATCGATTATTAATTCTAGTTTTCCGCCGCCAGGGTTTATTTGTACGACTACTATCTAGGGAAAGTAAATTAAATGTTACCCTCGGGCCATACACGACAGTCTGATCACCTACTTGCTTATAAATAAAACTGTAAAACGGACACAGAAATGCGTCTTCCACAGACTCTACGAAGAAAACAAAACGGACTACATTACTTTGGTAAAAAGTTGTAAATATAAAGATCATACCTCGTAGCGAAATAAGTGCTTTCCTTTTCAGGCGTCAGGATAAACTGATTTGCGAGGTACCATAGCCTTTTAGCTTTATACTCTGCATTAAGCTGTAAAAAAACAAACACGCTGTATAATATCCATAGGTGTGTACAATATCCACAATATGATAAAAACGTTAGTTACCGTGTCAAATCTCTCTTGAACGAGATTCTGTCTTGCCAATTGTTTTGCTCTAAAATCATTAATACACTGGTCTCTGATGAGTGTCGCTTCCTTAATAGTAAGAGGGGCACCACTACCATGTCCTGAGCCAAACATACGAGCCAAATACGGAGCGAGAGGATCTATTTCCGCTTCCTTTTCACGCTCGGTAATTTCAGCTTTTTGAGCTTCCTGCAAAGAAAATACATTGACTCACAACATCATGAAAATATTGCTGGTTACACGCGTGAATATAAATTTATCACTGAAACCTATAATATAATCATTCCTTCAGTTATACAAATATCAAAGGAATTATCATTGAAGTGAAAGAAATATAGATCCAAACAGACTAAAACTCAATCTTTATTTCTATATAGTCGCTATATTAAAAACGATATACCTACAAACGTGGAGTAGATTTACCTGTTCCTTCCACCCCCTTTTAGCTGCTTCGTTCCTCTCTGTATCAAAGAGAGCAACAAGAAGAAGGGGTTCAGTCAACTCCTTGTGCCTCTCTCTTAAGTATCCGTTTATATCTGTTTCTCTATCACGAATGTGTTTTCTGGTTTTGTTCTCCCATTCCATATTGTCACATAACGCATAGTATACGTCTAGAGGACGAGGCTGTTTGGCGCAAGGATCTGCCTGAAGTACCAAGAATTAATAGATAGAAAAGGTGCAATAGGAGTTCATTGGAACTTGTTAAATGTAGCTTCCCTACATTTAAACAAATTCATCATCATATATAATAATTAAGACAAAGTGAGCATTTAAATAAACCACTTTAATGCATTAACTCCAGCCGTGGTCACTGGGAGACTGGTCAGTCTGCTATCACGGCTGCTACTAAGCATCCCAAACGCCGGGCCGTAGTTAAAAATAATATTCAAACAAGTTTAACTAAAATATATCGCGTTTTAAACCGGTAAAGTGTTTTATTTAAATATGTACTACTCGCGTAAAGCGAGCGTCCTTACTATGTATCCAGATGTTTTATCAGGATAGAACAGAATTTTTCCGCCAGTCTCAGCAAGATTAGGCTTCAGAAAATACCTAGTATTATTAGTAACAAAGTTGTATGCATAATGATACAATAGTTCTATAGTTTCGTCAGGTATGTGAAATATTTTCTTCCATATGTCCTCCTTTGATGGTATATCGTAGTTTCTTGAATACGTCTCGACTATATCCTTCACTTGGCGTTTCGGTTCAGCTTTTGTTGGTTCGGTGTAAAGTATTTGTCGCGATTCAAGTCTAGAACATATAAAAATAACAATGAAGAGAAATAAATATGGATAGTGGAGGTGAAGGAGGTTGAAGAACCTGTCACTTCTTTGTGTATAGTATTCGTCAAACGTAGTCATCGTGCAGACTAGCTTCGTAAGGTGATCCAGCCTCGCGTAATAGTTAAACTCCAAAGTTCTTTCACCCTCAACGGTCACAACGGGAGCATCCAGCGAATATGTGTGTTCTAGAAATATCTGTTCATTAGTCACCTTTTCTGCAGTATGAATTCAATGTATTTGTATGTAATTTTATAACATGTATGAAATTAATTTTAACATCCTTTACGGTTGGTCTAAAATAACCTATACCGCGGATCAATAACTTTAAAAATACATACTCAACAGATTATCCCTTCTGCCAACACCAAAGGTTTCCCGAACAACTTTAGTTACATGATCTATTTTCATCGTTTCCATCTTGTCTACTCGGTGCTTGTACCATTCATAGCTGTAATTACCATACAATACATACATTTGTTTTAAAAGTGAATTTGGTTCGATTCTATTGACGTACTTATGACGGTCTTTCTATAGGAGAGAGATTTAGATCCTCTAGAGATTTAGAGCGTAAACCCACCACGCTGTTACGGTTTGTATTTACGGATTTTAGCGACACCTCTGCTAAATTAGTTATAATTACTGGGACCTTAGCATGTTCTGACGTTTAGCGTGGTCTTATAGTTTCTGAGTGTATATTTACTAATACGATATGCTAACTTACGTTATCAAAGGACTAGTCAACGCGTAGTCATCAAATATCTTAATTCTTTTCACAATTCCATCTCTTTCAGAATATGGTGCAAATTTTTCTAGTAACACCTTTTTGTAATGGATAATTTTGTGACTACCTGGATACCTCTGTTCATAATCTGTAAAAATTAACTTATGTTTCTCATAAGATTTTTCCACGTATAAGCTTCCTAAAAGCAACTAACTATCAGCAGTTATATCCAACTTTTCAACCCAGCTGGCTGGTACATCTAGATGCTTCTCGGTGTCAAAGGCACTCTTTTTCTCTGCTAGATCCACTCCAACAAATTGTCGACGAAAGTAAGGCTCTCCAGCGAGAAGATGCTCCCAGCAAGTTATGTCAGCCAAATCGTAGTTCAGTGAACCGAGACCTTCATCGCACTTCTGGAGATTTACCTATGAATAAATAATGCCATGTATATTGTATGCAAGTAGCAGTAGATGTAATTTCATCGACATTTTTTGCATTGTAAAAGTAGTGTTGATCATGACAATTACAAAGTTAACGGGCGGCAAAAACGGATACTCTAGAAATATGGAAATCCACTACTGCTAATTTTATAGACATTGTTAGCTTCAGTATATACATACAAGCTGTGCCCGCGACTTTCTCCACGTGGAATAGGGACTTGGGGTAGAATTTTTAATTATTTAGGCTGTTTATTAGTTTATGTAAGGGCGCAATTGAGGCAGCCAATTTATGGTAAGTGCTACTTCGCCGCAACACCCTCACCTCACATAACTCCTAATCTCACTACCACGCCCACTCCCACTCCCACTACTATTCCCAAAAAGCCAAAGAAGAAAGTTTCATTGTTCTAGCTTCAAAAACCACGAATTTGCATACAAACTTTCTCAGGCCCTAAAATATCTGTGTACCAAATTTCATATAAATCAGTTCAGAAGTTTCGGAATTAAAGCCGGACAGACAACCAGACAGACAGAGTTACTTTCACATTTATAATACTAGTATAGATTAAAGGGTACTTTAAGCAAAAAGAACTCACGTAATAATTCTCATGATTGTAAACACTGTCAAGCTTCTGATACTGTGGTGCGTTCACGGGATGATGTTTGCCTTCGCTGGGCTCTATGAAAAACGGTTCTTCAATTCCTTTGAAACCCGGGAGAAGAAGCACCCAAGCATGAGTACGCCAGCCGTCGATGGGGTCATCTGGTGGTTTTTCCAAATCCTATAAAATTTTAATTTAGTAACAGGAAACAAAAATACATAGACATATTAATATGTAGACGTAACAAACTATAACTAAATAAAAAACTACTTTTTTTTATTTACCTAACAATTAAAGGACGGCGTGCATTGAAATAAATGACAATTCATAAATATTATATATTCTTGTAACCTTACATCTTCATGCCAATTTTGTCATACAAAATTGTTAAGTTTATAAGCCACAAGCTGAGACTTTATAACGAAAAGGTGTATAAAAATCGGGTTAATAATTTATGCGCTAGAATATAACTTAAATACACTACTAAACCCATCTCCTGTCCATAAGACTCAGACCAAATAAAGAACCAGTTAAACGAATCAGTTTTCTGCCTTATGTTATAAGCTTTCATACCGCAATCTTCTTTAATCGTGCATCCTCAATTTTGTCCAACTCAGCCTGCCGCTTAGCCGCGTCCTTTCTGTCCATCTCTTGACAATATTTGGAAGTCGTATCTGGTAACGGCACCAGGCGGTACCGTGGCTCTTCTTCAGGCGGCGGAGGTTCCTCAATAACCTGAAAGTTATATAAAAATATAGATATATATTAAGACTTTGTATGAACTATCATAAAGCTGTAGAGTTTGTTTGTCTGAACGCGCTAATCTTAGGAACAACTGGTGGGAATTGAAAAATTATTTTTGTGATGGTTAGAGCGTTCGAGAAAGGCTTAGGCTATGAAACATCACCACCATCACAAGACCAATAGAAACATAGAAACAATGGGAAATGTGGTAAATTATTCATATAGGTGGGTGGGGGGTGAAAACGGATACCCAAAACATATGTATGAAATAATGATTTCTCTTTAAACGATCTAAAAAATGTCTGTGAAAGTATATATCTATGTTTGAAGATTAACTTGCAATAAGGATGGTGGGACGTGGATGATGTCGTGAGTATGAGCTAGTAGAATATTTAAAAACTCACCTCGTTTTCATCAGGTATTTCTGGGCATTCAGAGCGGTAGCGCACAGCCAAGCAGAGATCTCTCTTAGCGCAACCAACTACCACATATGCATCATAACCGGCACCAACTAGCCATGATACAAGTACATGGGCCAGTTCAAAAGGATTTCCACTACGCCTTACGATCGCAGTATATGGGGACATTATTCTCTCAGGCTGTAATCAAAATTAATTATGCTATCAGCGCCCTCTAGTGCTTTTTTTGCTTATTAGTACTTAGTTCTTAATAAAAATCGTAGATGGCTATCTAGGCATTTATTAGAAAGTATAATTCAAATAACATATTACTGAATGTATAACTATATTACATATTACTGAATATATAAATAATTAAATATTTTGGGCGTCAAATTTCGTTTTTGCAACCTCCGCCTCATGTTTAGCCTCATTCAAAAAAAACTGTTACCCACGACATCGGCGGCTGTCGCATCCCTTCATCCTTCAAGTAAATCTTAAAAGATAGAATAAATCGCGTTGTGTCGCGTACATTTTTTAAATCACTTAAAGAGAAATAATTCTTTGATAGATATTTTTTAGTTTTTTTCAAAGATGAATAATTTTCCCCGTTTTTCCACATTTGCCACTATTTCTTTGTCTTGTCAGTCACAGGTCTTGGTGTCATATAGCCTAAAGCCTTCAATAAAAAAACACATAAAAAAAATAGTTTTTTTCTAAGATCATGAGATTAGCACATTCAAACAAACAAATAAAGTCTACAGCATTATAATATTAGAAAAGATTATTTGTGTCTTACCTAAGTAGCATATGGTAGCTTGAACGAATAGGTAGGTATACAATGTATAACTTGTTCTGATTTATAACTGCTTTAACGAAATTGCAAGTGGGTAGTTGGCGTAATTATGTTTTATATGTAGTGTCATTTATTGAGTGTATGAATTGTAAAAATTATTAATTATTAATTGTCTATGCACAATAAGCATTTTAGAAATTCTCGACTAATGTCAAAAAGTAAAGCTTAATATTTTTAAGTTTTAGCTTCCTGTAGTAAGAAATTGAATACATAATAATATGTATTAGTATTTCAATTTTTTAAATACAAAAAATAAGCGTATATAGAGGATACTATTGTTTGTACAAAACATTGACTTTGAAACAAAACACTAAATTTGGCGATTATAAATCACTTAGTCGTAATTAAGAAATTGGTATAAACACAAGAATAGACAAAAGAAACTCAACGAGAAAGTTGCCAGTAAACAAAATTATTATCATATCAAAGTATTATTGTCGATTACAGTCGGGTCTGACAGGTGCCACCCTCCGCCCCCTTGCCCTATAAATTGAATCAAAAGTTGTGGAAACAAAGTCGGGCTACGGAACTTTTCCCAACTTTCACTTTTAACTGAAAACTTTATATCGCTTTCACTCATACTTTTCTTTGGCGTCTTAAGAATTTATGGTGTTATTAACTGTTTATCGATGACAATATTATATAAAGTTGTTTGTTACACAGTGTCTTATAAAATTACTGATACCGCTCATATGAAATAGATTTAAATGGAATTAATAAGTAAGTATTATATTAATTTTAAAAAGCATTTAAGATACGATTTACGTTTACGAGTAACAAAAACTCGACATACATATTTAAAAATCTATTTTGGATAGTAAAAAAATACGACACAGCGTTCCGTGCTGCTGTTCTAACCAATTGAGCGCGTGACAATGGTTCGACTCACGCCTCATGTCCAAGAAAATGTAAAAATAGCAATCTTTGAAGAGCTTATAGTATTTATTAGTTTGGTCAAAATTGGTAAAAATTGATTTTCGCATGGAATACATAATTAGTTGGTCAATGATTTATGGGCATAATTATAAACTAATAACTACTATTAATTTGAATTATCTTGTATGTTTATGCTATTAGGTTGAATTATTTAAGCTTTGAAATTCCTTTAGCGCGCAGACTTAATGATTAAAATAGACTAACAAATATCTCATACAAAAGCGTCTGTAATTCACATGATCTTAGCCACCGTAGACGTATCTAATGGGGGTATAAGGTATAATATAGTATTCCTTTGGAAGCTCAGAATACATTGCGAGCGCAAATTAGACCGTACGTTCTACGCTTTGAGTTGCGCTTGACCAAGCGTTATTGGTATTTCGAACAAGACGTCCGCTTCGAGCTTTAGTGGTGTGCCCGTTATCGTTGTGCTCGATGAAATGAAATGATGATGAATTTTATATATTTTGTAGAAATAATAAAAATTTACTTTCCTCTGTTTTAAAGCAAAGTTAATATATATAATAAGAAACTTTTAAATCTTTAAACCTCACTATTTAAATCTTTTCGTAACGTACAATTCATGTTAAAAGCCTAAGCCAAATTAAAATATTTAAAAATATATTTATATATTATACCTGACCACGAAGCTCTGATATTGCTAGGCCTACATAATATGACTGATGACTTTTATAGTAAATATTTGATTGATAAAATGTGGAATTAATTTATAATGTGTAAGTAAGTGATCAAGGACTTATTTACACAATATAAATTAGTGATAGCGGCTTTTTACCAATACGACTATGAAATGATTTATTACAGTCATATGTTTTTGAACAAGGTGCCCCGCGCTCTAGAGATGCGGCGCATATCGTTATCGATACTCGAGACTCGGTAATAAGTATCGACCGGTCGAGGGTGGTGCTGGCACAGATGCCACTCATGCGAGATCGCTGACTGCTACGTTCTCTAATTGAACATGATGTGACTTACTTTATCGACTATCGATACTTTTGATAATTTTTGTGCTGGATAAGTACTTTTACTGGATTTTCATAGAATAGAAAGTAAGTTTATGACAACAATAAGATAATATTTAGGAATATATAAATAAGATCTGTTAATTTTTTACAAACTCTATTTTGTGTATTATTTATTCCATAACAAACCAAGTCTTCCATCAACGACATAAGAATACAAAGTATGCAAATTCAACAAGTAAAGCTTTGATAAAGTTGTGAGAATCTATTGTTTAGTTAATAATAATGAGACATTAAAATGCACTACTTAAAATGTCGACATTTACAGCACCAGCATTAAACTCTCCGCAATCATGTGTTGACAGCAAAAAGCGAAAACTGCAAAATGAAAGCTTTTTTATTTTATCGACAATTACAATCCAAGTAAACGTTCGCAACACAAATGCCCTCGAAGAACGGCAGTCCGCGCGAGTGATTTGCACCACCCCGTCGGACGCCGCGCGGTCGCGTCGCGAACTAGTGATGTAACCGTGCATTTTTTTGGTCGATAACGTTCGAGGGTCAAAACTAGCTAATATATATTTTAATAACACTTGAAGATATCTTCTTGTATTTAGGCAGATTCAAACTAGCGGACATTTGTAATTTAACAGAAGCTTCAATTCATGCCACTCCCAGGCTTAAGGGTCTTGCGTAGTTTTTGCAGTGTCGCCGGCACTTAAGCCGCAGTCCGTCGGGTTCACCTCGACGCGTCTTCAAACAAAGGAGTGTTTTTGTCACGCGGCGCCACCCTCCCGCCGTGAGTCGTGTCCGTGGCGACGAGCGGCCGCGAGCGTCAGGCCGGCCGCGGATCGATATCGCTCGAGATCTCGGCCTACGCGCCCGCCTCGCCGGCCATTTGCCTACCTCGACGCCTCAGGCTCGTGTGTACATAACCCGCCACCCACCACCCCGGACCGATACACCCCCGCAGATTACCGCCTACAAAGCAAACTTCATTGGTACGTGCATGCAATATGCGCAAGGAGCACGCCAGAATTGCGCCTCGGACCTCCACCCATCCAGATTGCTTTGATACCCGAGTGAACCTCGTATTTAGCAGAGGCTATTCGAGCCTATTGCACAATGAATCTTAGCTGAAGGCCCAGAACCCAGTTTCTGTGTACGAGACGGCCGCAATCACGTTAATTACTCTAGTGATAGCACTAGTATTACCTGGAGTGCAGATACTTTGCACTGGACTGAATACCTGATACGAGTCAAAGATCTCATCCATTCCTGAACAAACGACTTGCTATCTGCTACGACAAAGAACTAAGTGTCTTAATGAGCAAGTTACTCTATCAGAAGTGTATAATTATTACATTTAACTTCTATCAAGAGTCGAAAAGACATTATTAATCACGGGTCGCGGCTGGCCAAATTGAATACAGGAAAATGACAGGGCTTTCACATGAACTAGTCATTTTTTTCAATCTTTTAATTTCTCCACACATGGAAAAAGCGGATTTTCGTAAAATTTGGAAAGTAAATTTCTGCTTAAGCATCAAGTGAAGAAGTGGCATGTGATCATAAGCGTTACGATAAACAACCAATTTGTTAGATATTAATTGCGAATACGCATCAACTCGTGAATTTCAATTGAATCCTCCGGGGGGTCGTAAATCGGCCAAGTGCAGCTCCACCCGTTTGTTCTCAAACGTAAAAGAGGGAAAGTTCACATTTGCATATTGGCCTCCGTCGCCAACTAACTCAAACAAACTTCGCGTAGACTCGACTCGACTGTGAAGGAAACTTTTAATGTGAATTGCCATGTCTATCAGCATTACTTTCTTGAATGAAATCTTTGAAATCGAAGTTGTGTTTTCAATAGGAAATATTTCTTAAACGTTTATCGTACTAATATACTCCTTCTGTCTTTAAAATCAATGATGTTGATATTTAATGACTGCGCTATTGTGGATGACGCAGGAATATATAAAGGTACTCCAATAAAGGCGCGACATCTTTAATCTAGTCGGGAGCGGGTAGAGGCATAAATCTTGCAGGTCCGGGCGAGTTTTGAATCATTTAGCGTGGTGCTCGAGCCCTGCGACTTCCGTCCGGCACGTGCGGCCCCCCACCCGCTATGAGCGCGTCTGTCTTGCTGCCGAGACAAAGGGGCAATAGTGACGTCCAACAGCGTAGAATTATCGATGTTTTTAATGTGTTATATTTTTTATCATTTTTATGACTGGTGTATCGTTATAACACGTTTTAAAATTTAATTGCAAATTAGATTTACAGTGAAATTCATTTGTTTTACATTTAGCGTAATATTAAATTCTTGTTATAGCTATTACTTCCAAAAAACATCAACATCATAATGTTTTATTGTAAAATAATACTATGAAGTAAGAATTTACGCAAGGTTTTTAAATTTGAAAACAGTATTATTTTGGTAAAGTCATACTGTTCTAATTTAAGCATGATGCAGATTTAAGAAACTAATAAAAACATTAAAAACTAAATATCTCAAAGTTATTCGGGATAGGTTTCTGCTCTAATCTAATAAAAAGACTGTATACTTTTATCGATATTTTTAAAGATATTGCAATCTCTAGTACACGACGTCCGAGCTGCCTCTAATTTGAATTCACGGAGACTCCGCGACGCGTCCGCCGCGTCGGCCGCGCCCGACTTAATGAATCGCGAGGGGGTGTGGGGGCGCCCGCCGGGGGTTGCTAGGGGGTGATCGGACGACCACCGCATCCTCCGCGCGGATAAGTGACGCCCGTGTTGCTTCGTACATAGGTACTCCTTATGTATTGTGGCACATAGCGGCCGGCCTGTACCTACGTAACGCTCGCCAAATTTATGTCCCGCACATGTCTAGAGACCGCGGCGTACCTTTAGAGGGATTTTGCGTGTTTACGTACAAACGGGGACCGCCGAAGATAATCGAGATGGAATTTTGCTTGGTCCTTTATTGATGAGCTACATAGTCGGCTTACGTCCCCTTTGGCTTATGTTGTTGCTTCAATGTTTAAACGTGTTTTGATTGCCGGGGTCCTAGTTCTGGCTGGGTTGCATAAGTAGGTTAAATTTATAATAATCCTAGACGATATCAAAGTGGGAAGAAAGTATAATAGCAGGAAACTAGCCTTCAATCGCCGTATCAACAGAAATGGCAGTAACTATAAACAAAAACTTGCTAATGACCAACTATGTAGATGCCACGATCGGTGTGGCTAATCTAAGCGGAGTAAATTATTCAGAGGATTCGAATATTCCGTGGGCAGTTTGAGATAAATGAATATTTCTCTGTAGGTGGATGGATCGCTGACCTTCTAAATATTGTCCCAAGATTTACTAGCACTAAAATTATAAGGCTGAAGATCTTGAATGAGCTAATCTCCGGAACTAGTTCAATTGATTTGTTTGTTTTGGTTTTAACACTTATCAACGTAGACTTTTAGGCTATAAAACATCGGCGCCGCCAATGAGAGCGAAGACACAGGGGTGAATATGGAAACGGGGAAACTTCTTTATTTTAAGATTAACCGTAACAACGACGTGACGCGGACAACGTCGTGGGTAACAGCTACTATTTTACAATACACGAGGACGAGGTTTGTAATAACAAATTTTGACGCCCAATATTTCTACGCAGATAAAGTCGCTGACACAGCTAGTAATATATAAATCTGCGTCTTATCAATTCATAATTAGCAGTAAACAATTTGAATGCACGCACTGCGTTAGTACACAACATTATCGAAGCGTATTTTTGTCGCTTTTTTGTTGAACATCTAATCAGTCGTGTCCCCTACATACAGCTGAGTTATCGGACTCAGTTGGGGTTCTAAAGGGTCCACTAGCCATGGGAGCAGGCTCACCATTATATTCGATAATCACGCAATATCGATTCGCGGGACTGCAACACTCATTTGGAGTCGAGAGGTATTCTTTGTAAGTCGGGCTTGTGTTATGTGTATGTAAGACGTTTTCTTTTGATACCTTACTTGTGTTTATTAACTAACATAAGGTTGTGTAAGTGACATCCCGTATCTCCTCGGGGACCATGAGGCAATTACACTTTTCTGTCTTCGTTTTAGTGATCGGGTTTGTTTACAGTTCAATAAGCTTTCGTGCCCTGCCCACGGAAACAATCTATTGTTTCCTTAGGATTCCAATCCAGGACCTCTTGCGCCTAACACAATATTAGGCAACATTCTTAACCATTTAGCTACCGAGATAGATAGAACATAATATGATCCAAATAAAAAACAAACATGCAAGTAATATATGAACGATACATAGGTTATAGACGTATAAATAACAGATTCACACCATAGACAGACTATTTACCTTAGTTATTTCTTTTTGAGATATAAATATCACCAAACTATTGCCATATTACCCGGTATTAATACGATTCATTTGACGCCTCGTTACCACTTTGAAAATAATTAAATAGATCGGCAACAACATTAAAAATATCTATGGCTTCGTCGTCGTCGGATAAAATTAGGAAACGTTAAATCAGGCTTAACTTCTACAAAGCGAAGTAAAATCACAAATAAATAGACTTTTAAATGTTTCGTACGGAGTGGTTGGCTGTCCCATTCCGGATGTTTTGTTACACAACAAACCACCCCCCGGAGGAGATGCAGCAACAGGTGGTATCATTACGAGTTATTTTATGTTCTACGTCACCACTGAAATTGAGCGTCTGCGAAGTTTACAGTTTTACGGCATTCACTTATTGCGGTCATATAGTATTAAGATGGTCTTTCATCTTTGAAATGTACGGAATTAGGTTAAGATATAACGGTAGATTGTCGTAGACGTCGTGTCATATCTAAAATAAATAAACACTTTTTAGGTAATATATTTCGTGTTTTTTTAAACGGTTGATTCTCGTAATAATTTTTGGGCTTTTATTTAAAAAAATAATACCGATACAAACTATGTACTAAATTATTATTTTTTTATTTAATTAAAATTATCCACAGTTTGACAAGGTCAGTAAGTTTGTGATTGTGACAAACGCGAACGAAATGAGTTATATGTAATACATATACTTATGTATTGTAATCTTATCTGTGTATCATCACAGTATCCCGGATAATCAAATATTTTTCATTTTTTATATTATATGGGAATAATATAAGTGTTCGTCTTAATTTAGAGGTACAAAGTATCAAATATTTGTAAATGCATACATAGCAATCGTAAAACAACAGTTATAAATGCAATTATGCGATGCGTAGTTTACAGCACACTACGTTGTTTTTTTTTGTATGTTAGTGTTGTCAAAAGTAACTTTGTCAGATAGATAAAGATGCTTACAGACAATTCTTGTCACCTAAATGTTATTACCAGACTACACTATTTAACAGACTTCAATACAGTGAAATTATAGCAATTTCGTAGAAGGCGCGTAGGTATATGAGTTGGGTTGGGTCGCCCTGCGGGAGGCCACGACGTGCTTCCCATCTGCGCGCGCGCATTTCGCCTCACCGCTCATTTTAGTGTTGTACTTCTAGCAGCTAACGATGTAATTTATCGAAATCAACTCCCCTATTATTTGTACCCATACCCATATTAGTAGTATATAAACGTTATTTAAATATAAAAAAAAAGCTTGATAGTAAGTAGAATCTATGCACATACTATCGTACTATTATTTGAACATGATACACGATGAGATTTTTTTGATGAAAGGCACAAACCGGCTAAGATATATTGTTACTCGGAGAATCGTTGTCATCTACACTTCTCTAGTTTTTAATCATGCATTAAATTCTTTTTCTCTATCGATACGTTGCATCGATATGAATTCCGCAAATAGGTACATCACTAGACATGTCGCGGTTTCTATCGGTATCGCGTGATATTACCCTGACGAGTCACGGCTGCGATGTTCGATAAAATCTCGCGAACGTGCGTGACCGCATCCTGTCCGCTGTGCCCCTTCGCCCCGCGCGCACCTCCCGTGAGACATGCGCGGACGCATCGCGACAACGCTTCCGCCGCGCCCGCGGGTCCTGCTGACCGCAACGACATGCAACGTTTTCCCTTCACTTTATCCGTATTATGTTACAATTTTGGTCATTCAAACGACACATTGCCCTTGGTAATTTTAATGTCGTTTAGTTAATCAAGATCGTTGAAATCTTCGTGTTGATATCACTGACCGTCCAATAGTTTTGCTAGGTCAGTAAGTTTGTGACAGATGCGATCGAAGTGAGTCATCATATGTAGTATATTTACTAACTATATATAACTTATCATATCATTGTCTTTCAGGCTGTTCGACCGACGTGAGCCAGAAGAGGTTCTCAACGTTTCGCCATCAAGTGTGGACGGCATCATCAGGAACAGCCCCAAAGACAATGATATGCTGAACTTGGCCGTGAAAGGCTTACACAATTTATATATAACTCATTTCGATGTATCATATTGGTTAAAAAGTTGAAAGCTTAGTGGTCCTAACTATCGCTGATACTAAGTGAACAAAAAGTAAGAACGATCGCTTATTCTAAAAAACTTCTAACAGGTAAAGATTATTATTTGACTCCAGAAGTTTCCAAAATTTATTACCTCTTTGTTTGGTTTATTGTCAGTTAGTAGTAGTTTTAAACAGTTAAGAATGTACTTAATTACTACTCGCGTAAACTACGGACAGTCTTTAGCTGGTGGTTGGTTTGTAGGTCGATTAAATCGACAGTTTCGTAATTAAGCAAATCCTTAATACCTCAGGCTAAATCTATTACCCTACACGTCCTAAGTCCCAAAATTACTCTCAGAAAATGTTATCATTGAAATCTTGTAATAGACCGCGTGTAGTTTACACGTAGACAAATAATGAGTGGAAAGCGCGCACCTGCAAAATGTGTTCGCGGCCCTTGACGTGATCGTAAATAGGTCGTAAATCGATCAACCCCCACGAAAGGTTTACGGTTCACTGCGACTCAACACCGAGGGACTTTTTCTATGGACCCACCAACCGGCGCTTTTAATAGATATTTATTAAAAACGCCTGCACGTTCGCTTTAGTTCAAATGCCATCGCTTCTCTTTAATTCTCGTAATTGATTGTTTCGTCACTTGACGTTAATTATATGCATTTTATAGTTCCACCCATTAAGATACATGTTTTCTACTTTTTAAGTACGGTGGTTAAATGTAATGACTTATTTTATACAAATTTCACACAAAGACCGATTAATCGATAACTACTTAAGATATCTTTCGTCGTTTTAATAAACATTGAATAAGGCTGAATAATTAAGTGAACTAAGACAGTTTATACGAAGCATTTTTACATTTTATAGTGCACATGATTGTTTAAATAAGTTAAGATTTTCTTTGACTGCGACTTCGCCCGCGTGGTATATATATATATTATTTCGGGCAACATATTATTTATCTTTGCAAGCAAACTCAGCTTTATCTCCTGTCGCAGTCATTATTTTGATCATATAAAGAATCTTTCATACAAGCCATCGAATATGAGTAATTTTCCTCATTTTTCCCCACACTTTCCTCTGTATCTTAGCTCTATCTGTCTTCGCTCCTATTATTCACCTGATCATCAACCTCATGTTTTATAGCCTAAAAGTCTACCCCGATAAGTATTTAAACCAACACAAAAATAACTTCAATTCAATTTATTAATTCCTGAGATTGGTGTGTTCAAACAAACTCTTCAGCTTTATAATATAAGTATAGATTGACATGTGCCAACAACTTTATTTATCTACGCAATAGGTATTATGTTATGTTAGAAGACTCTACATTGTATAATTCATTATTATGAAAATCGGTGTACATACTTATGTAATTACCAAAAAATAGATTTTTTGACTGTATTTGTTACTTGTCAAAATTCAGGATATAATGTTTTAGAACCAGAGAAAGTTATGTATGCTAAGAAGCAGCGCTTCATTAATTGGGAAATTAATATGTAAACTTTTAGTTGAAATTATCATGCGAAGCTATTGTATATGTCCATCTAAATTTTAACCTAACAAAGAAAAATAAGCCACAGGCCGCATCAGAAATGAATGCGAAACTTGAATCGAAACGCTATATCAACGCAGTGATGAAATAAAGTTTTTAGCGACAGAAATAAGAAATTTAAAAACAAGCAAAACTATTAAAACACACGAGCTCAATAAGCCCGCACTCGCTGCGCGGAATTCTTAAAAGCGGTCGCATCGTCTCGCGGGAGTCGCATATTTTTTACTCCAGGTCAACCCCCCAACGCCGGTGGGGGTATATTCCACCCCACTTGGAACGGGTGGGGTTAATTAGTCGCGAACGCGGTCCGGCTCTACTCCATCTAAGTTGTTTCCTTCTTTATTTGCCCACTTGATACGGATGTGGGGATTCGGCGATAGTAAAATAAGGATTATGCCAAAGCCTTTTAACTCCGCTTATATTAATGGCTAGCAAGTCACTATTAAAGTTGTTTGTAACCTAACCGAACCTAACCCTATCTAATAGTGCTTCTTTTTAAGCATAATTTTAGATCTTCATTTGTTGTATCTTTATTTAAATGTGAACGTTAAAATAATTATGAAATGTTAAAAGGTAAATAAACATCTTAACTGCATATAATTAGGAATCTATGAGTAGCAACAGCAAAGCAACGTGCCATAAATAGGGGGTTGGGGGGGGGATTAAAGCTACTCATAGATTCCTAATTATTCGTTGACACGGTACAGACTCTCGTCAAAGCATTTTCCAAGTAGACACACACATGCTGTTATAGAATATTTAACAAGCCGTGCACTTGCCAAATATGATAAACAAACTCCAACTAGCAGTAACCAGTGAATCCCAAAGCTCGGATACAACTCGAACGCGTGTTTTGCAATTACGTGGAGCGACGTCCCCGCGGGGTCGAGCGGACCCGTGCTAATGAAGGCGAATATCTTCAAAGGGTCCGAGCGGCCGCTCGCCCGCGGCTATGTTGAATCTTTAAACGGGTCGCGCTGGGAGGGTTGAACGGAAGACTTCTATCGGCGATAGTTTCTATTATACCTATTTATTTATGCCACTAATTTAATTGTCTAGTGCTTCATTAAATACGCTTGCCTTTATATCTCCACACCGGATTCAAACCCATATACCCACCGTAGCGGGAAGGTGGTGGTGTTTTAATGGTTCTGGTCGGCTATCGTCTTCGTGGAGGTTGTAGATTTACCACACCCCCCACGGCACTAATGCCCGACGTGGGCGTGCATTATCTATTCACACCATCAGAACAAAAGGTGCCACCACAAATTTAGCAGCGTGGCTGTTAAAACTAAAATTGTACATTGGCTGTTGAAAAAATAAATTGTACAACCCCTTTGAAAGTCTTCATAACTGTATTAAACCCTTGAACCCGTTTTTAATCCCACCTTGAAATGCAGGAGTAAATAACATGCATTGTACTGGACACAAAGCGACTGCAATTTATTCAAGACTCTCCACTCTTCTTGCTTTCATTTGTGACATTCGCGAAACGGATTTATCAGCGGGGCATGATATTCAGCTGAGACTGGACCACTTCACAAAGGGAGTAAGACAAAGCCTGTCCTGGGGATAGCCAGGGCATCAATGTGGATCTGGCTGTCCGCGTTCTAATTAAAACCCCACCGACTTGAACGTGATAATGTAACTAAGAACAGATACTCCATTTTATAAGATGCATTATAAACGCATTAGGTGCTTTAAAAACAATTGGAAATTTAAATAAACATCTTAAATGGTTTAAAACGTGAAATGTATTAGTGAAACTTATTTACAAACTACGACACCTGCAAAGCATCCGAAACGTCGGGCCGTAATTAAAATATTTTTATATAAGCTTAACTAATTTTCGCGTTTTAAACCGTTAAAAGCTTAACTAATTTTTTATAAGTGGTTCTGTAAATAAAAAATCAGTTTTCACTATAAAGAAAAATAATAATTTATTATTAAAAGTGCGTTTGAAGGTACATACCAAAAGAAGTACTTTTATTTAATAACAAATTATAATCCATTTGAAAACCAAGTCTAAATATTTAGACGTAATATTCTTTGCCAAGTTCATTTAACAACGAAAGAAAGAAAAGCCACGGACGTGCCTACCGACCTTCAGTCTACCTGAAAATCGGAGCGGACGGAACGACTCTTAATTTCTGTTTTAAGGACTCGGTTATCGCTACTAAAAAGTGAATAGCGTTTGCACTGAAACGATGATCTTCTTTACAAAAAACATGGCTTTAAACAATCCAAAATTTAAAAAAAAGGATTCAGAAGAAAGATGTTTTTTTTAAACTATGTATGTTGCAGAAGTTTGCAGCAATGTACCTATGCTAATAATCAACGGGTCGTCGGGTCCCCACCGGGTCAAACGTGTTTCTAAGTTTAATTTATAATTTTTCTGAAACATTTTGGACTTCGTCTGGAAATCTGGATATTAAATGGGTGGTAGGAATATCGAAATTCTATCCGGGTCACGAATCGCCGTCCACGTTTCCGTTTCAGTCTGTGAATTTCCAAAGCTAAAATAGGCCGACAGCGCATCTTGTGTAGATAATATAGGCCGCGGTATATCACCGACCATCAAGTGAACACCATGCTTGTCTGTCCTCCTAAAAAAGGTAGCGATTTACCATGAAGTACCCGAATGAAAAACATAATGGCTCGATAAATTCCAGAAGTTTGGCACATCAGTTAAATTTAGCTTTTTAATTTAAATTTAATCGTTAGCCTGCACGCAACACGTTGGCGCCATAATATTAAACATACATTTTAACGTCACCTTTTTAAACGGAATATACGCACGTGGTCGATGCCTTTTATTTTGTCAGTAATTAAAAACATTTCAAAGCCAAGTCAATTGTATAATGTTTAATTAACGACTAACGAGATAAAAAATTTTAAAAAAGTAATGTCTCTCATATTTAGTGCTTATCGGTACCTATTATTAAAATAAATTACGCACTCAATCTCTTGTATGGTATATTGTTTTATTATACAGTTAAATCGATATCGTTTCCTAACGATAATCAATGTAAAAATGGACGCGACATTAAAATAGAGATGAATTAACTTAGTTATAATCTTATTTAGCTTTAGCGTAGCTATTACATTATATAATAAATAATTTATAAGTAAAATTTGAGGGTTATGTCTATTATTGTTTAAATTAAAATCAAATCACTAACAGTTATATACTTGTTAGAACACTTGTTTCTTTTTGCGTGCAATTCATAAATCAAATCAAAACTCATTTATTCATGTAGGTCGTTAGGTACACTCATGAAAATCTATATTATGAATTGGTATTATGGTATGGTATTAATTTACCATTTCCCAAATGCGTAGGGCGTAAAACGAACGAGTAGAAATGGCAAGAAACTCGCCGTCACTCCGCGAAAAATTTAATCATACAAGAGGTATTCTAAAGCGGATTGCAATATGAGTTTTTATCTTTAACTATCGATCTCATCTATACAAATTTGTATATTACTTGCGTACTGCTACAAGATATTGTTGCATTACAAAGATGCAAGACAACTCAATTCTGGAAAATACGACGAAACGCACTTGAGAGAGCAGGTGGATGACGTCACCGGGTGTCGAGTGGTGTTAAGGGCCGTCGAATCTCGCCGATGAGGGGCCGATGCCTCTCAGACACCTACGGCTACAGGACTGCGCAGACACCTCGACAGATCCTTTGAAACTTTACCCAAAACGATTGCTTACAACGCCACTCTGCATTATTTCCAAGTGAACTGGTAAACGAAGATATACAACGACTTACCTCAATATAAATCTGTAATTACAAATTGTTTTACTTTTTCTATTGTTTTCGTGCGGTGTGGGATCGACTTCCGCCAATATTATGAAATTTAAAATAATTCTTATAATGTAAATAAGCCCTGTGTAATGAAATTAAATGCATGTAAAACAAAATACTTTGCTTGCAACGTTGTTTTTGCAACAATTTTATTTTCCATCAGTTCTGAATGTAAAATGGGTAATTAATAAATTCTTATGTATTTATATACTACGGTCCGGTATTGCGGTTGCTTTGCAGCAGCCATAGGCACCTGCACTGCAATATATAATCATTAATTGAAAATTATATATCACATCGGTTGTAGATCAAAATAGTTGATGTTTACGTTCGTAAATCATCCGTTTTATGTCAATTTATACACATCTAAAGGAACGTCTCGTGAGCCGTGATGTTTGGCAACAACCAGCTCGCGTTTTTCCATTAGTGTACCGAGGGGATGTAAACAGACCCTCGTGGATGGTGATCGATACGTTGCGACGCGGCCGGAGCCCCGGGGGCGCGTCAATTTGCCCTTCGCCTCGTCAGCGCTAAATTATCCCGACATCTTTAAATGGAATTCCGCGGGCCGCGTCCGATGCCCAACACGTTACCTTTAGGCCGCGTTCATAATGGAATTTAGGACTTTTTCGATTCAATTGAAATTGTAGCTGGACGTTACAGTATTCAAGACACAACGTGTTTTGCATCGGTATAGATGACTTGTCCTGCTTCAATATTGAACGAAACAGAAAGTTTAGTATGTTTTAGAACTCAACATATGATTTTTGTCATTTCTAAACATGAACTTGGCAAGCGTGATAAATGTAGCCTATATAATATAACCTTATATCATGCCAAGATTCCAGCAGTGGGATTAAATTACTAATGACGATTCCATAGTGGATATAGTTAAGCTTACTTAGTTGTCAGTGGAACAGTAGAAAGATTTACCGAAATATTTAAGATACATTGAATAACTCAAAGTGATATGAATATTTAATATTAATAGCTGATTACTGAAAATATGCTTGCAGTTTCTATTTAATGGAAAATAATTAATCATAAACAGAATTTTATTGATAATACAATACAATTCGCTGTTTAAGTGGATCGGAACGTAGTTCCAGCTGTATATAATAATTAACTTTTCATTGTTGTCAGTTCCTGAAAACGTTTGTAATGCCATATTAAGTAACAAAATATATCCCGTTTCAACGCGAAATAATTTATTTAATAACGATCTAATATTTCAACAGGTTTAATACAGCAGTTGCTATTGTTGAAATGGCTGTAGACGCTAATATACGCTAAATTTTTGTCTATTAGAATCATAGTCACCATTGACCACGACTTAAGTAAGCAAGACAACGAATCGTGAATCTTAAAACGTTTTAAACCGTTAAAAATATGTTCGTATACTTGTTTGACGATTCTCAATCAGTGCTCATTAAAGAGGGATATGAGTACCAGTAAATATCGAATGCAGATCTCGCGTATCAGAATTCTGAATACGTTATCGTGGAGCGAGCGAATCGCGCAAATAAAAGCAAAACTGTGACGGCGCCCTAAGGGTTTTCCAAATGTACAGAGGATTTTCAGGACAACGTTCTAAGCTCGGGTCCCTCGACAGCGGCACGCGATATGCCACCTGGCTCCGGGCGTTGGCACAATAGATGTTCGACTACATACTGTATATAATATGTATTATATATTATCGTTACATGAGATTAGCGTGGAACACCATGTGATCATTTCTTACTTGTCTAACACCATATTTTTTCCCAGGGTAAGCAGTGCGGCGTAAATGGAAAAATATTTGCTATAAGCTATGAATTACGATATTAATTACTAACTTTATCTATAAAATATTTAACTATGTTTCAACAAGAGAGACATACAAAAGACAAGTTTCAAGTAATATCAGTGCGAATAAATAGAATATTGACTTTTCTTCGATGGAAATCGAATACACGTCGCTGTGGGGTATTCGACCATTGTTCTGCCTAGTAAGGTACCAAACATTTAATTCTAAAGGTTAAATTAGTAATTACTTTGAAAGGATAGTGTATTATCGACTGTAGCAAAAAAGACCATTTAATATCTTAACACAAAAACAGTAATATTTTTCACATGTACTTGCACATGATGGCACAATATTAAAATTCGAAAATAAAATGAAAAAAATAGCTTGGTAGCTCAATTGGTAGAGCAACAGCATAAAACGCTGATGCCGGTTCAAGTCCCGAGTCGTAAATTGTTTCAATTTATTTTCGATTTTTAATCTTCAAACAAACTTTTACTATCTGTTAAAAATGCTGTAAGACCGTTGGCCCATAGCGAATCGAAAACACCTCGAATTGGGCTATCGCAGTTGAATGTATAATCAAGTTAGGCATGTCTCAGGCACGGACAGAGCCACCCTGGGGTGGTGTTGGTAACGAGCACGCGAGAGACGCCATCTTAATGACCCGCGCCCACGCCAATGTCCGACCGGCGACGACGCCGTTCCAAATCACTAGCGAAAGTTAGGGGGCAACTCGACCCGCGACTTCTATTTTTATTTAAATGGATACGAAATGTCGCATGTGCTCAGGTGATTCGCAAATATAAATTGAACCTGCCTTAATTTAACTTCGTGTCTTATATAATAAACAATTTGCTATTATAACTATTAAATATTTAAAATAAGATAAAAAAAGAAAGATATCCTCTTCGTGAGGCATGGCAGACATATTTTTTTAAATAGCTTGACTGATCGATTGTATATACAAGCAGATATATTGTATGCCTTTTTTTATAACTTTTAATACCTACCATGCACATCCCTAGATTTATTTTTCTCTTTATTGTAGGTCGCCTGGAAGTAATCGTTTGTTAGTTATAAGGCCGCATTGTAAAAAAAATTTGTGCAGTAAAGAATAAATAGTTAATCAGACTTCTGTGGCTAAACGAAATTATTATTTTTTGTCAAAATCATCAATTTGAAAAATCGTCAATAAAGCAAAGTTAAGCAATGCATTTTACATTCGTTAATTCAATTAATAATATTTATATTTCGTCACCACTATTGAAAAACAACCTAGTATGTTCAAAATTAATAGTTCCAAAGTCGCTTCGTGTATACTGCGCCTTAAATCGTTCACGTCCGAACCACTGGAAGCGTTCAGGATTATCAGGGCGAAGCAGCAACGTAATCAGCAGCTACGGTGACCACTCACGCGTAAATTACGTGCCTGCGACGCGGCCGACGCCCCGGACCGTAGTTCCACGTAAAAAACATACGACTATCGCCTTTTGCGAAATTAGCCCGGCCATTAGTTGCGATCGCTGGGTAGATGAATGTATGTAAAAGTTGGGAAATTCCTTCGGCGAAACTTGTCACTTTTCATCTATTACTTATTTGGGTCAGAGTTATTTTAACTCTCACTACATAGACAATTTGTGTTAGAATTATTTATTCTATTTTATAGTTATTTATTCTATATTACAAGTCACAAGCTTTCATAATTTTATAATCCCTCCTTTTAAGCTTCACTTCAGTTTCTATCGGAAAACATTACTACGATTCACATCTTATTACACAAATGGAATTTAATGAAATCTGCTGTGAATGTCGGTTTCAAGCCCCGCCCGTGTTATTTTTTTTTTTTAAATCTAAATAGATTTTTAATTTGCCCTACTGTGTTTTTCTGAACTAGTATCAAGTCGTAAAAATCTTAGACAAATATAATTAGATAGAACCGCAATCCATAAGTAGGCCTTCAAAGACACAAGACTCATCAGTCGAAAACACGAGTGGAGCGACGAAAAGAAAGTCCTCTATTTTAGAACGCTTGAAGAGCAGCCTCGCCGAAAAGTTAATTAAGGACTGTCGCATAAACCGAGCTATGTATAGGCGCCTAATTCGATTCCTTGCGCAGTAGGTGCCCGCCTTTATTAAACATCTGGACTACATTATCTCGCGACGGCGCAAGCGGCGCGACGCCGACACCAGCCAAATCCAATAACGCAATCGCGTAATAACAATCGTGAGCGTTTATCGGACGCGCGTAAATTATGCACGCTTCCACCGTTTTTACGTTAAGTGATTATCGCCCTTATTGCCGCGGCGTAGAGGCGATCGGCGTAAAAGCGTCTACGACAGCTAATGCTGAGCCCACCCCACCTCCCTACTTAAGGGTCGCAAGGCTCTCTCTTGACTGGCGCTGTGCTATACTTCTCACATGGCTGGCTGGTAATATATTCATGAGTGGTGATGAATAATCAGCTGATCATTTTCATCTTAGCTAATAGGTATTAAAAGTTATTTGAGGCGAAAAAATGTCAAAGCCTGATTTCTTGTGGCTAAAGACTAATTTCAGAAAGTCCCAATTTTAGACTTATTTACCAATTACTAATAATTAATTTAACTGGTTATTAATTTTGAAAAATGGCGTATCATAATTATATCCTATTGTATTAGTTACCTAGATAGAAAGATTCACAGTTGTATAATATAATAGTTACTTAAATAAGAAATGCTTAATTACGCATAAGTTTTAGTTACCTATATATGGACTTAATGTAATGTTGTACGAATTTAATTAAATAACAATAAATAAATAAATATCTTTTCTTAGAATGTAATCATTACTTCACGATAATATAGCAATTATAAAATGCTATACATATTTATTAGGTCTAATTATTGACTCTGTATGATTGTCGCGAGTACGTGTTATAATAAGATTATACTATATTTTTGTATATAATGTGGAAATTGGGGCTTTACTAAAAATATATTTATTCGCGCAAACTCACGTCTATTTTCGACCACCGCCGTCTCATTACAATTAACGCAGTTGCACAATTCTGTTGTCATTGTGGCCCAAATTATTTACAGAAAACGCATATTAGCTGCTAATGATATTCAACTCGGCGTGGCAGGCACGCGTGGTAATTATTTCTTACTTGGCCGAAACTCAAAACTCATTGATCGTTTAAATTAATGAAATTTACTGTACTAATTGTCGTTTTGGGAAGTGGCAACATTGCGTTTGTATGCTAATGTTGAGCAAAGAAACTGCACGGTTCAACTTGAACTCGCAAATTTGTTTTATAGTGGTTATAAATCAAATCAACAAATTTTAAATATATAGTTAGTATCCTACACTTGTTCCTAAGTTGACTGATCAAAGTTTAAAATAAATTCAATATATAACATATTTTTTGATAAAGATATTTATTACTTTTAATTCAGCCTGCAACAGCCTTATTTGTCTAATAAGTATTCTGGCTACATGACTAATTGAGTGACACTAATCGTCAAATTTCGACAACTTGCAGATCTGAGCTTTGAGAGCTGAGCTATTGTAGGTAAAGAATAACAGGTAGAACAATGTGATTTTTTATCAAATACCGTCTGTAGTTTACGCGAGTAGTAAACATTAAAATTAAACACTTTAACGGTTTAAGTGAAATTCATTTACAAATCTTCCCTGTGATAATGCCTACTGCAAAACATCCGAAATCGGATCGTAGTTAAAAATAATGTATATATATTGTCTATAGTTTACGCGAGTAGTACACATTTAAGTAAAACCGCTAAAGTGTTTTATTTAAATGTTTTTTTTTATCAGTAGGTCGTTGAAATGTGTGACTGGTAGGTACTGTTTGAAAAAATAATTTCGCGTGTGAATATCTTCGCTCGTGGCATTTCGCGCACGTGACGTCACAGCACGCCGATGCTAATACCGATAATGGTAAGGCAGGAGCGATGTTCGCCCACTCGCCTGCAGCTCGCATGTGCGTCGTAAACTCGTAATCCGTATAATTCACGGGCCTAGCGTATACGAACAATTTACTCAGGGCTGGCGAGCTTACTAAATATTAATTATTATATTCGGAGATTTGAGAGTCGTCTAATTTTTCGGTAACATGGGGAGAAGTGTTTGAGTAAGAAGGTATCGTAACAGTAATCAACAAGCTGTAAGTTCTAAGCTCTAGTTCCCTATCCAAGGGACTTTATAAAAAACATAAGAGTATGGGAATTTATTTTTAAACGGGTCACGCCGCTATATTTGCCTGTATATTTTACATTTTACAATATATTCATTCCGGATAGATGATTTTTTAAATAAAACACCGTCTCCCCGTTACCACGGCTGCTGCAAAGCATCTGAAACGTCGGGCCGAAGTTAAAAAATCATTTCCAAATAAGTTCAACTAATACATCGCGTTTTAAACCGTTAAAGTGTTTTATTTAAATGTGTACACTCGCGTAAACTATAGACAGTATAGATGATTTTTCCAATCTCTAGTTTGCCAAACCCGGAATGTTGCGTTAAATAAATATTAAATCCCTATTATATATTGTAGCCATATATCTTCTAATGATTGATTGTCTGTAGTTTACGTAAGTACATAACAACGGCCCATAGTAGAAATACGTTTACAAATATTTTTCGCGTTTCAAACCGTTAAAAGTTCGTTTGAATCTTTTGCCTTTCTATATTGTCTTTATTAAACTGATTAAGACGCAACCCTACAACGAAGTTGGCAGGGGGACAGCCGGGCGGCGCCTTGACAGCGCAGTGCCGTTAATTCCTGAACGCTCCTCGCGAACGATTGACAACGCGCTCGGAATTTATCGACGCGCACACTCACCGCTAGTGTTGTTCCTTTCGATATAACATTAAGGTACTTATTTTGCATTGAAAAGTTTATCTAAAATGTATTATGAAACAGTTTTTTTTTATATGAACTTTACAACACTTATATCATTCAAATTACTTTGAGTGGATAAATATTTGAGTAAAAGAAGTTTACAAGACTACAGAAAGTTTGTAATAAACAATATGAAGATATGATAGTATGTCTCAAAATATTAAGGATCTTGAGATATCAATCCAAAATATGACAAAATGTGGAATTATTACGTGAGACAAAATCTGAATATAAAACAATCGACAATATTAAGATGGGGCACATCACTAGCGCGTCTCTCTCAGTTCGCTCAACCGCTGGGTACATACCGCTATGTGCCAGCTAAGTAAATGGCGCAGACTCTGACCTAGCCGGCTTGCTTTGCTGAAATACCTAGCCAAAATACGCGCTAGCCGCTCGCCTTCCTTCGACAGCGTTCGCGTGATATCGAATAGTGATTTATGACGGAGCTCCGTCCGAGTCGAGAGCCTCATTCGATAGAACGCTAAAGAGAAATAAATCTACATACAAATCGTATTTTACTGTTTATGGTCTACCAAGATTAACGAGTCATTGAACGATTATTAATTACGACAAAACTAGGACTATTCGATTTTTAAAAAGGAATTTGATTTAAGAACAATTCTTTCTAATTTCAAATGACTGTATCAGGTAAAGTCAGAATGACGTGAGTAAGTATTCCATTTCACCCCCCAGGTGGGGCATGGGGTGAACACATTTCTGTGTCCGTTTCACTGATCGCTTTTATTTACTGGCAAGTAGTTGATCAGACTTATATGTCCTGCCAGACCAAAACATTTATCGTTTCTCCGGCATCTTAAATTCGTACTTAACACAATCATAGGCAAAACATAACCATTTAACTACAGAGGCGGTCAAAAAAAGTTAGGAATATAAAAATAACCGTTTCGAATTGAGAATAAATTGGAAGAATTTTTGACTCAATTGGTTGGAGCAACAGCGCGAAACGCTGACGATGCCGGTTCAAGTCCTACCTGAGTCAATTTTTTTTTAGATTTTTAAATTATATACTGCCTTCATGTGCAATAACAGGTGAAAATATATTATAGTTTTCAATCCCTTTCCGGTTGTAAAAAAATGAAAAGTTGAAAATTTCTCTCCATCATTTGTTATTGGTCGTTTATTTTTGTTCTAGCGCCAGCCCAATCGAAGGTCTTATGAATTTTTAAGGCCACACTATTCCATTAGGCTACAAAGTCACCCACGTGTCGCTTCCAACCTCCAACAGGGTAAATGCACGTGGGTATCTGGTAACGAGAGACCGCGCGGGATTCAGGTAATGTCTTCATTTGTATTCAGATTTACCTACGTAGATAGCACGTGTGTACATAGCCTAACTACGTACTAAACTGTTCGCATCATTATAGCGTTTATTACCAAGTGATAAGGACTAAAATCCCAGTCCGTTTCCACGGGTCAACTATATTTCGAAGCGAGCGTTAACTATCGGCTTATTTAGATTGGTCGCACGTTGAATAGGATACAAACGCGTGTCCCGGGGGCCTAATTAAGTATGAATTCTTGATTATTATTGACCTTTGAATCAGTAAGAAGTGTAGAATAAAACAACCGATCAACTGTTATAGTTCTATTCCATTTTAGTAACAAGTTGGTTAATAGATAAAAACCGATAATAGATTGAAAAATTTTCGACTCGCCCTTTACATACACTGGCATCGTCAGCGTTCCATGCTGGTGCTCCAACCAATTGAGCTACCAAGTCGAATAAGTAGTTGGTTAATAATAGTTATTTTTAAATACATGAACAGACCTATAAAACATTTATTTGTATAAAAAAAAACACTTTCAGCTGTATAAAACGCGAAATTTCTTAGTAAACCCCATTGCAGCAGTCTTGGTCCGTTAATCAACGTGCCGTTGTTAAAATAAGTTTATATAATACATTTCGCGTTTTGAACCGTTAAAACTGTTTTATTAAATGTGCACTACTCGCGTAAACTACAGACAAACTAATGATTATTTATAAAAATCATATATTTTTTTAATACACAATGTGTGTTTATTACCTAATCATTTTACTGACTATCAATGTGAATGGACGATAATAAAATGAAATGACGAAATAAATTTTTGACAAATATCAAATTTAGACGATTTATGTTAATTAATATCAACACACTTATTTAATTCCGTATCCAACCCAATAAGATTAAAATAATCTTAAAAACGTATCAAACAAATGAATTCGCCAAAATTATTACTAAGCTCTTAATACGAAACATTAAGAAATTAATCATAACACATAAAACAGTCTGTGATTCCAGACGGGCTCTCCTCATCGTAGGGCTGTGATAATTTTTATTTAATATATTTCGTAAATAATTCAAAGCTATAAAAGACTAGGTTATAATTTGCACTATATCGTAGTAATATTGGGGTATGGGTCGAGCACATTTTTGACGGTGCCTGTTACAAATCGTAATTCGAATGTTTTTGTTTATAGACAATATGTTGATCACACCTCTTTGCACAAGATACCGAAACAATTCAGTATCGTCTCCCTAGAATTACGAACCTCAAGACGCTTAACACAATAGCGCTGCTTGAGAACTTCAATTGTTTATTACCGTTTTAGTTTTGCTACGTCTGACCGTTTCGGACCGTCTCTGTGCGTACACACTTTTTTTATATACAGACACACTATTATTTTCATTCACTTGAATGCAAAGAGTTCTAATGATTAATTGACATAGCATTAAAAGCACTAGCGCACGTCTACATATTTTTATATATTTTTTACTACAAGGTTGGGTCACAGACAAACACAACAAAGACTAGATAGCAAAAAGTTGGACGCAGCAGCCCTAGACCGCATCGTTTATTATATAACACTGTTCAACTTTGACCTACTTCGAGAGAGCAACTTTTAACGGCAACAACTTTTCCTTTTACACATTATTAAATTGTTTTTTATTCACTGTTTAACACTTAATTTAGATGTTTATTTGAAGTTAATTCATAATGTTCAATCCACGTCGACATTTATTTATTTTTTAATGATAGAGGAGGATGGATAGGCATGGTGGTTCACATGATGGTAGGTGATATACTCCAGCCAAGCTCTAAACAAGTTGCGTTGTCGACCTATTTTAGCCTGGATATTCGGAAATCCACATCTAAACTAAGTTGCTACTGTGACACCCACGAATTTCTATATTTATCACCCATTCGATATCCGGAGTCCCAGTTCAGAGAAAATAGCTGACACATTACTGGCATTATATTTGAGTACGACATTATGTTTATGATATAATTATACTGAGTCGAATAAATCTTCTAGAACAAAGGAATAGGAACATGTCATGATTAAAAAGTCTTAATTAAAAAAAGCGGCGCCTGAAAAGGGATTACTAACCCTCGAGTTGCACTCGCGAAAAAACGTTCGCGCCTACCGTTTCTTTCTACTGCATAAACAAGGGTAAAACCTCCCCGAATAATGATTAGGAGTCTCTCTTAGGCCGCTGAATATCGGTATTAATTGCGTAGCCCGAGGCGTGTACTCGGTATATAGGCTCGAATTTCCGGGCACATACCTAGCGTATACGTGGGCAGCGTCTCGCGTGCCACCCCCACCCCATCTTCCCCGTGGGGGGAAGGCCCCCCGTCTAATTGACGCCGCGCCGGACGCGACCGGCGCCCGCGGGGTTGTGCTCGCCTTCCGGACTGCTCCGATTTACAACAGCGCCCGATAATCTTTTCTTGATGACGCAGCCCTGACGAACTAATGTTCGAGTGTGATACGGTCGAGCGATGGAATATATATCGACGGTTTTAGTTCGCTGGGCGACATCTTTATTTTATCATGCTCGTTTATTGCGGTAAAGTATTATTCGATTACTATTGGAGCGATTTTGGCCTTCCCCAGGAGAGTTTGTTCGTAGTGAGTTTAAGTCATTTAGTTTAATAATGTAAAGTTAGCAAGTCAGTGTATTTATGGAAATGTGCGTCAGAGAAAATTGTTGAACTTTAAAAGACAGCAGTTTTCATCAACACAATAGACATAAGGATACAATTAATGCACCAAGAAGGCTCCATTAAAGTAGTTATCTTTTAAGTCAACAATGCATACGATTGAAATAAAACACTTTAAACGGTTTAAAACGCAAAATGTATAAGTCGTACTTATATTATTTTGTATATAACTACTACATTCCGCGTTAGAACTATTTTGTTTAAATATGTAGTACTTAGCTAAGACATGCGATATTTAAAATTAAATGCAGTCAATAAATTAATTTTAATTTTATAAAAAACAAATTTTAATTAGAGGTCGTTATTATTAATATTGAAACGACTATAGTGCTTAGTGGTGGCCGTTTGTTCTAGACCGTTCTACACCCTTGATTTCAACACTAAGATGGAATGACGTTCATAAGTGTATTTAATTATCTACTTGAATAAATGATTGTACACGATTATATCTACAAACATTTAAATAATCTAAAATTAATTATATCAAAGAAAGTAGATATGTGTTGATTACAACGAGGTAATGACAATTGTTGGAAAAAGATTTACGTGTCACAGGCGCATTTTGCTAAGTAAAAATATAATAATTGTGAGATTTAAAGACCGGAATGTTACAAACATAACATCAATATAGGCATATCGCTATCGTTGTTGCCTCGATATGCTCGTGTATAAGAAGCCTAAAAGATACGTCATGTTCGCGAACCTCGCACGCGACATCGTAAATCAATATCGACAGACCCTTATTAATTAGTGCGTTCGTTACGCGGCCCGCTCCCCCGGTCCCCCGCACCCCCGATCGCCCGCTGACCCGCCAACCCTCTTCGATTCAGATGAGTGTTTTTAATTAGAATCCGGTGATACTGTTGACACCTTTCACCGTATTTCAAGAGTTCTAGCCGTGATGATTTCATCTGCTTTTTCCTACTTTCGAGATACGCTTTATGTCATTCGAAAGAAAAAGGCTGTACCGTGTATTTTGAACTATCCTCCATAAAGGGGGAATGGGGAAATAGGTGAAATGGTTAGTAGTTAAAGTGGACTGATAGCCCACCAGATAGGTCTTCTATCGGTGTCCGCAATAGAAAATAATAGTACTGTTTCCTAGGACATAGAACATAGATAGTGCTGGGAAACAGTAATAACCGTGGTAATGTACCTAGTAAGTCCAAATTATTAAATCAGGGACTATATTCTATTATCTTACGACGTAACATTAGCAATAGTAGCAAATACTTCTCAGAATAATAAAGTTTTTCTGATTTCTGAACATCCAAAGCCAAAATAGATCGACAGCTTGTTGAGATGTTAAATAGCTGGGATATTTATGAATTTAAAAACTCGTGTTCAGCCAAGAAGAGTTCAGAAGAGTCTAATCTTGAAAACTTTGCGTGCAATACGTAAATAAAACCAGCATCCTTTAATGACGTCATCAATAGCAAAATTCATCTGTTTCCCAATCTCTATGAGGAGCATGCTATTTAATTAAAAAACGATGAACGTCGTCGCCGGATCCAAAACTGTAACTTGCCTGACGACTCAAAGCATACTTGTCCCGCATCTCTGTCCATGCTCAAAGAAAATTTTAATTAAACCCCGTCCCTGGCTTTGGGCATCACGATGCTACTCTTTCGTAAAGGAAGACTGTTACTGACGGATTATTTAATAATGTTATTGTACTAATACATAAATCATTAGCGATATCCTGTTTTGATATAAGACATGGGACACGCCATATTGACAACAACAGACAATTGATGATTCAACTTCTATTACTTACCTCACTTAAATATCACGTTCCTCTAGGATTCGAACCCAAACATCTCGCTCCATAGATTTATAAAAACGTATCATTAATTTGTGTCCAATTCTGTTTTTATCAACATTCATGATTACGTCGTTAAGCCGTTTGAGTTCTTTTGCAAGTTTATATATAAAAAGCTAATGAAAATTTTCGTTATACAAGGGACCAAAATACGCCAATACAAAAACCGCATCTTCAATCCGTCCAAACGAAGCATCCAGATCGCCAAAACAAACGCGCCACTGATTAATAGCAAAAAAAGACCGCACCGCTGCAATACAAAAAAGCGCCTTCAACGAGGCAGCCGAGTTTCCACGACGTACGTGCATTAGTGAAAATTCTCAATTTCCATTTGCACGCTCGCGTTCCCAGTGACGGAGAATTTGCATCGAAAAGAAAACGGAAAAAGAGCAAGAACGGACCCCCTCACGGGGCGCAGTGCTGGACACACACTCGCGCAAGTCCGTGTGTCGGCTAGAATGGGTACGCTAGTGCTAAATTATCGCTTATTCGTTGCTCTTTCGAGCGTCGAGGTTTTTCTATTAAACTTGGATGCGACATCTCCGTTTCTATTATCTATTTATAAATGATTAGAGAAAAACACCGCTTGTGTTGACTACAATGCATAACTTTAAAGGTTTAAAACGCGATATATTAGTTAAACTTATTTGGAAATGAAAAAATCATTCATCATAAAAATCATTTCCAAATAAGTTTAACTAATATATCGCGTTTTAAACCGTTAAAGGGTTTTATTTAAATCTGTACTACTCCGCTCTTAGACATGATAGTGGTTTCTGTACATTTACATTATTGTAAACTCATTCTTGAGCTTTTGATAATCTATACTAATATTACAAATGAAAGTAACTCTGTCCGTCTCTCTGTCCGGCTTTAACTGCGTAACTACTGAACTGATTTAAATGAAATTTGGTACACAGATATTTTAGAGCCTAAGAAAGGACACAGGCTCTTTTAACAAAAAGGGCACTTTAGGGTTAAAAGGGGTTAAAAGTTTATATGGAAATTCGTGGTTTTTGAAACTAAAACAACGAAACTTTTTTCTTTGGCTTTTTGGGAATAGGAGTGGAGGAGAGAGTGGGAGTTAGAGTAGGAGTGATGTGAGGAAAGAGTGTTGCGGTAAAGTAGCACTACCACATAGATTGGCTGCCTTAAATGCGCCCTTACATAAATTAATAAACAGCCATTTATGGAAGTTTTTCAACAAAGTTCAAAGAGAGAGAGAGACTTTAACAAGAAATTTAAATTTGTTTTAGTTACTGTAGGTAAGGATCATTGAGAGATTTCGAAATATTCTGTTAATCATAATACTAGTAAAAATCAGTATCAAAGTTTCATCTCAAATAGCAAATAAATGATATTATAAACGTACTGTTTGAATTATGCAAAGAAAAATATTGTCTGTAGTTTACGCCAGTAATTTACATCATTATTATTATTGACTCCCCGTGACCACAGCTGCTGCAAAGTACCCGAAACATCGTAAGCTATAATTAAATTAAATAGTAAGTTAACAAATACATTTCGCGTTTTATACCATAAAAATGTTTTATTTTAACCATACAAAGAGACATAAACAAATCGATGAATGGATTTAAAACATATCCCAGTCTGATACCGATACAGAGGGAAAATTAAAAAGTACCTTTAATTCTGTGTGACGAGGCGCGCTGCAGTGGAGCTTTTTAAAATCTTTCAGACGCCTCGGGCGCTACACACAATGCTCATTGAAAAAATCCACATACCTCCCGCGTCGCTCACATACCAGAGTTTCTTGTTTCAATACATATTTTATCCGTTAGGGCTCTATCTAACGTGACATATTAACGCGATCGTCTTCTAGAAAGTTCTAGAAGTCTAACATTTTTTAAGAGGGAACCAATATTTTACTATAACTGTTAAGAAATAAACAAAAAGAAAAAGTTATTCACGTAACTGTTAATTATTAAAGATTTTTGCATTTACTTGTAGGCAGAGGGATTCGTAAATTATTCCTTCTCATCCGTCTCCCCGTGACCACAACTGCTGCAAAGCATCCGAAACGTCGGGCCGAAGTTAAAAATCATTTTCAAATAAGTTTAACTAATATATCGCGTTTTAAACCGTTAAAGTGTTTTATTTAAATGTGTACTACTCGCGTAAACTATAGACAGTATCTAAAAAATGTTACTTCATTAACGATATCCCTATAGTCACTGTGTTTATATGTAAAGCAAGCGAGTTTTTCTCGGTTATAACATTTTTTTTTATACTAGTTAAAAGTTCGTTACCATAATTCGATTGCTAGATACACAAACTAAGGAAAAAAGACAACTATTATACAATAACTTATAGTTCATATTTAAGAGAATCTTTAATTATCTACAAACTAAAAATATCAATTAATAAACAAAAATTGGGTAGTTTATTTTTTAATGTTTAATAATAAATTTATTATCGCGGAAAATGCTTGTTTATAGCGGCTCATTCGTAATCTAAACTCAAACGCAACGGATACGTAACGCGTTCTATTTTCACGTAGCGATCAACAATTCAATGGGTATCGCTCGCATCCATGTTATTTGAACGAAAGCTTTTAACAGTAATTAAAGAATTTTACAGTTCCGTTATGTTCCCGATATTTTAAATGTTCCATTAAAACACGTTTTCGATTCGTTTGACGTCAAAGTGCATGTTTATAACAGAGAAAATTAGATATTTCCCAACTACAGCGATAGTTATGTCAATCGATTTGGATTTAAAGGAGAATTGAGGTATTTTTTTTCAGCAATTTCTGTAAAAATTGATATATTTTTGGGCTTAAATTTTAGCCTATGTATGAGGCAGTGCAGCACGAGAGTTTCGTTTCGTTTGGCTAGTCATAGGTCCTATGCGTCATGCTGGACCCGGTGGGGAATG